TGCCCGAGAACACATTAATAAAACCAGGGAGTTCTTTGGAAAACGTTATCTTTAGTGAGGAAACAAAAATTAACCTTTTTGGGTCAGATTATCGGAATAACGTATAGGGAAAAAATAACACAGCTCTGAAAATCGAAAATGTTTGTCCTACGGTGAAGCATGGTGGAGGCAATGTTTTAATGTGGGGTGCATGTCAGCTAATGGGACAGGCGATTTAGCTTTTATTGACGGAATCTTCTAGCGACATGGCTATTTGAAAGTGTTGAAAAACTTAACATTGAGGGGCGTTATTTGGCAAAATTGAAAAAATACTATGTATACGGGGACTTTCTTGACCGCCTGTATAGATTCATTCTGGATTTGATGTTGATTTTCTTTCTCTTGAGGGCAAAAATAATGACGTTACACTTTGATGAATTTAAACGTAAATTATGCCCCTCCTGAAAGCTGGCTATATTTTCGAAATCCCTATTCATGATGCTCGCTGCATATTCACAATTGTCGCACTCAAAACTATGATGCAATTATGTATCACCACCACACAACCAAACCACCCAGATCCGCCGTATAAATAAAAATTAATAACGGTCCCAATACTGAGCCCTGCGGCACCTCCGATAAAATATCTAGAGATAACGAGAGCGGATTTTTAACAGTACTTTTGCCAAGAGTTTTGTAGATATGCCTGCAAAAAATTTTACATTCTTGCATCTATATACCGACATTTGGCAATCAACAATTTATGATTAATAGTATCGAAAACCTGTGTGAAATCCATTAAAACCAAAGCTGTCGCCATAGACTTGTCACTTGCTCTCAAGATTTCATCACAAAAGTGCAATAGAGCAGCAACCGTGCTATGTCCTTTCCTAAAATCAGATTGGTGAATTGGAACTAACTCATTCACTGAAACATATCCATTTATCTGTTACTATACCACTTTTTCCAGAATTTTGGCTAAAATCGGTAACAAGCATGTCCAAATACGGACGGATAAGTATTCTTGCGAATTGGCACGACCAATGTAAACTTTTCAAGAGACATTAAATTCCAGAAATGCGCACGAAATGTTATTTTTGAAAAATGCATGTATATTGCTAATTTTATTTTATTTTAAATTGGGAATATTCATTGTCTGATCTCGCTTATTTCGACGTTTATCGTTCAATTCTGTTAAGCAATCGCCAAGAGAAAAACATAGTTTCTCTCGCCTGTATATTTCTGGTTCATTGGAATTCGAAATGATAAAAATTAATGATAATTAATAAAACCATTCGCCAGATATTGGGATATTCGCATATAAATCGTCTTTAAACTTTTTTTTGTCGGTTTGCGTTATCAATATTGTTTTGGTTACCACAATCAACGCGTGAATACGGATGACGACAAAAACAAAAGGTTTTTAAATACTGCGGTACTCGCATGTGTTGAAAGCCTTCCAGAATTTTAATATTTGTGGCCTAAAACGTAAACTGGAATGGTTATTATCAACGTTTGTCGTGATCCCAAAAAAGCGTAACCTAAAACAACGCACATATACAAAAATATTTTCTTAAAGAATACTTAACAGAATGTTCACAATCTCATTACAAAATATCAATGAAACTAGGTTCCGTTTCCGAGATGGCTTGAACGTTTTGGGGCAGCGGAGTGATATGATCCAAGACCTTCATAGATGATTTATTGATTATAACAAAGGTTTCGACAACGTACGACACGATTTTCTTATCCAGCTCCTTAGAAGAAGGAATCAGGAAGAAGGAAGTCAAAAAACTTAAACCGCAAAAATACGAATGGAATAAAAATGCATAGAGGTGTCAGGCACCAGTGTCGAGCACTAGTTTTGATTATAGTTAATCGGTAGCTCATTTAGCGCCAAGTAGATTAGAAGCAATAAAATTATTAAGTCTAGATGTGTCTCGGGGGTTTGTTGCCGTTTGTTTTTGTAAAAAGATCCCTTTATTACCTACATATGCATAATTAAAATTTAAAAAAAAAGCTGAAAAACATTACGTTCCTATTATCCCTTGACGAACCATTTGGAGTTTTATCACTCAAAAATCTGCAACTAGCTGCACGCGACAATATGACGTCAAATTTGGCTGTGCCCGCGACAAAGGCCAGCAAAACGCACCAAAGTAATAATTGTTGAGTTGAAAACTCGTTAAAAAAATCGTTAAAACGCCCAGTCGACACGTCAGAGTTGACATACATTATTTTCGGAACATGTTGTATTGGTCTGTGACCGTTAAAGCAAGCAAACAGGCGACCTTGGCCTTTGCCGCGGGTCGTAAACTCCCAAAAATACAGACACAATTACTGGTGTATGTATATATGTTTAAGAATTTTATTAAGCAAACTTTTCGAAAGATTTTTTTGAGACGAGACCGGGTCGTTTTTTTTTTTTTTCGCCTGGCAACAGGATTGCGAGTTCTTCTTCGAGCGGTATGTAACTTTTAGTTTCCAGAATCTATCAGCTTCCGAACTGTTCGAATATAAATATAGGCGTAGCGACGTCACGAAAAAAAAAAAAAACGCCGGGCGTCGGCGATAAGGTTCGACGCGAAAAAAAAAAGTTCTACGTTCTTTAAACTTTCAGCTTTCCGGCTTCCTGGTTAATACGTTGCTGCGAACGATAAGTCAAAAAAAATCTGTACGTTGATTCCTAGTAATACTTCTAAATTTTTAATTGAAGATCACTAATTCCACTAATAACTACTAATTCCTTTAATAATTTCGATGCAGATTTCTGTTAATAAAAACATAAATTTATTAAAAACTTAGAACTTTAGGTATACAAAAATATCAAAAATTCTCTGGAACAGTTTCAGAAACTGCAAGTTACTAGGTTACTGATTTACAATCCCAATTAAAATCGCTAGTTCGGGATGTTAAACCATCGTAATATTTTAAACAAAGAATAACATTTTCCAATAAAAAAACATACGTATGTCAACTCTCTGTTAACTTTGGACGTTACGAAGTCTTGTAGCTTTTAAGCAAAAGTGACAACGGCAGCTGTGCGACTTTTATGAACAACTGAAGCTGTTTTCTGTGACTTATTCGAAGAGTCTTTTCAATTTTACATTTACTGATAAGAGTTGTATCCCGAATTTTATTTTGGCCACTCAGAAGGAATTTTAATTATTTGACGAAGTAACCAGTACGTTCAAATACCTCCGTTGCAAAAATGGCCATGCCACTAATTTTACTTGTTAGTAGTTCATTTTTAAAATATTTGGAAAAATCTATTAATCGTTATTATATTTTATTAACGACGAATTTTAAGGAGTAGGTACCTCGCCTAGTACTATCTCTTTCATATTGTACCCAAAGTGGTAAGTTAACTCAAATATGGACGGCATGTAATGTCAAGTAAAACTAAGATAAGTCTGTCTGCAAATTTGTTTCGTTGTTTCTTTCCATCTTTATATGCTATCGGTCTTACAAGTCAATCCTTTAACCTACTCGTAGGTAAATCTGTGCGAAAAATGGCGAAATTAATGTATTATTGAAATAAATTGAAATTCTCGTAGCAAGCGCTCAACAATCAAACCAATAATATACAGTTAAGTAGTTATGTTTCATTTTTCCTCTTAAAGCTGTAAAATCTCAGGTGTAATAATAAGTTCGAGAAGTTATTTGAAAAAAATAGTCAGTATTACAGTTCTGCTGGGAAATATCATCTAAAATAGGAAACGGGAAGTGATAATAAAAGGTAAGATTGACATTATCAACGCAGCAACCAAGAACTGACCTTACGTCTTATAAAAACTGTTAAGTTCACTCACTTATCGAAACAAGTACTTGATTTACTCTAAACGCCACTACTAGACTATGTAACCACTCAACACGACAACGACGGTGAAGTCTGAGAATTTTTGAAATGCCCGATAAAATTCCACCACTGCTAGTTAATTATACGGAGAGTTATACGGAGATTATAACCAGACTCAAACTTAAGAGTTGGAAGATTTGTACGCCAAATATTATTTTAGCGTTCAAAAGAAAAAAGCAAATCTGTATTTCTTGAGTCGAACTGACTAAAAACACAGGCATGGCGAGAGCTCTGCGACGTCATCAGATGTTCTGACAGTTGACATCGAACTGGCATTCCTGATAGATCCGTAGCAAAAACAATTATAAGTCTGAAGTGCAGAGACTCACAGAGGTGGCGATACAGGTAACCCGGCGGAAGTTTTCGCGGCGTTGTCAGATGATAATTACAACGTCGAAGGAGGAAGTGATCAGTTCTTTATTAGAATTGGAGGAAGCATAGTCACTGAATTGCTGTCGGGCTATTTGCTGAAAATACATTGGAATCCACAAGTATTCACCGCAGAAAACACTCAAGGTATAACAGGCCAGGAAAAAAACTCTCCACCGATCATCCATACATACTAATGAGAAAAACGAATACTAACTCCCGTTTTACACTGACGCGAAGTCAAATATTTTGCATTATACTTCAGCTGATTGAAATTTGACGTTGCTGGGGGCTTTTCTATTTGATATATCAAAAACTTGATAACTACCAAGTAACTTGACAGTTGACCTTTGCGAAGAATACAACTTAGTGCAAAACAGGTCGGAGTTTAACATCTCTTTTTCACTTAAATGTCCGGTTTTTTAAATCTTCCCTGCACGAAAACCTCGACGACCGGCTTTTCTAGTCGAAAACGTCTAGGATTTCCGTTATTTTCAATTCCTCAAAGTTCATGTTTTATCGTCTTTATGGTCAAAATATTTTTCGGCCGATTTAAAATAAAAGCGAAATTAATATTTGCTCGTCGTTTGTGATTTCTGCCAAAGCCGTTTCGATCGGATTTAACTTTCCCTCTCTGTCGTGTCAACGTCCTGCGATATATAAGGACGCGAAAACATCAAAATCGGACGGGAAAATTGACGCTCTGAGTTGGCTTTGATCGGCGTCAGCTGTCCCAGGAAGGCGCGGTATAATTTTCCCGAAACGTCAAACGAGGGAAAAACATTCGGATTACCTGTGCGTGGGGACGGGCGGCTGCGGTCGTCCCATCGCGGACCTTTTCTCGTCCTTATTGGGAAGCCGTAGATAATCTTGATCTCCCAACAGAAACAAGTCCTTGGAGATGATCATGGCGGCCCCCCGAGAGCCGAAACTCAAGTCACTGTTTTTATTCACACTTGCGTACGCGCGATCGTATGGTGCATGCGAGCGGCGAAATCGGCAACATGCTCGTGAACGTGCGCGTGCGGCTCTAAAGACTCGCTTACGCGGCGGGCGATTCGTTACTGACAGTCCGACGCACCGTGCGCGCGAACGGACGCACTTGTCGTGCGGACTCGCGCCGCCACGTTGCCGCGCGTTTCGGGATTTTTCTCTGGTCCGTGTGTGTGTGACGCGCGGGATCCTCATTAAAAAGTTTGTGTTCCGTGTAACTACCAGATAATCCCAGCGATTCTGTAGCAAATTAACAACAATGGTTGTGTTTTTTTTTTAAATCTATTATTCAGTCAGATACTACATATACATATTACAACTATATTGTAATGCACTATTATACTATCTAGATATGAATTAAGGTGACTTTCCAAACAATGCATTAAGCATTGGTACCGAAAGCATTTTAACTGATTTATCTAATATAATAGGTTCGAGTCTTGTAAGAATTTAATTAAATGTATTTTTTCATTGCATAAATATTTTTTAATTTTTTAACCAAAATATTATAAGAAGTCTCACTTTTCGCAATGTTGGGCGGTGGATTGTATGTATTTGAGGCCGCACTTATTGGATTTGGCAATTCTTTATTTGTTCTGGCATTCCATAACTGTATGTCAGCGTGATTTCTTAAGTTGTGCGAGTGTATTTCATTGATATGGGTTATTTTGGTGTTGCTTTTGATTTTTGTTCTATTTTATTTTAATGATAAGTTTAGATTGTTCAAATTTTAATACAATTTCAATCGGGTTAATTTGAAGCGTTTCAGTGTGCATTTTGCAATCTAAATTTTGAAGATTTTATTTTGAATTATTTTTATTTTATTAAAGTTTATTTTATTACATGTACTACAGACTAGATATATAAGATATCTTATAACCGACAAGAAACATGCATTATAAATTTTGTATCTTGCAATTTCGCTTAAAAAATAGTTACATTTGTATAACGCGGGAACTGAGAGACCTATTTTGTTCTTTATATAACTAATGTGGGCATTCCAATTTAGCTGCTCGTCAAGCATTAGCCCCAAATATTTTATTTTATCAAATCTTTTATCTTAATGTTTAAGTTATAATTTTTTTAAATTTTTTGTTTAAATTAAATGTATTAAGTTTTTTCAATGCTCATTTTTAATTTGTTATTTAATAGCCAGTTGTAGTATCCTTACTTCTGAATTTTTTGCTGTATAAATTAAGACCGTATCTGCAAATGTATAATATTGAGCTTTCAATCCAACCAAGCGCAGACTCAAGATATACAACTTATACAAGATGGGCCCAAGGACGGAACCCTGAGGGACCCTACAATTATTAACCATAACTGCTACTGCAGTCTTCCAGAATTACGTATTGTCTACGGTTGGTTACGTATGTTCTAATTAGGTTTGACATAAGTCCCATTTGTTCGACAACATCGAAGGCGTTTCTTAAGTAGACGAATACAGCCAAAATCACCCTTCCCTGATCAAGACTATTTGATATTAAGTTCACTAAGTCCATAGTGGCATATAGTGTACCACTTTGGGCATACTTTAACAATTTTTAGTTCCTCTGGAAATTCTCCGGTACCCAATATATTATTTATTAATAATACTAAGATAGGTACAATGTATTGATTCAGGTTGACAAGATCCTGATATGTTAAGTAGAGTATTTATTTGATGTATCCGCAATGAGCTTTTCATTAATTATTATTTTGTTACTGTCTGTTACTGAACGTTACTGTCCATTGTTTTCTTGAATCATTTCCCGCTTTTTGATTTACGTTTTGTGCGATGATTGTTGTCATTTTTTAAATTCTTTAATTTTATTTTTAAATCTTTATTACTTAGATTGTTTTTACAGTGTTTATACTATTAGTGTTGCAGAATTTTCGAAAACTCTGGTGGTTGGTGTGTTGGTCTTTAGCGTTGAGCAAAAATATGCCGTTTCCCATCTTTAATCAAAACTGGAGAAGTAGGGTTTGAAGGGAAAAGTTCTAGAACTTCCTAAGTATTACTTGACAAACAGAAATCAACATGTTAAGATCAATGGTGTAACTAGTGAAACAAAATAAATAGTTGTTGCTATTTTGAAACTAGCTGGTTAGTATGAAAATTATTAAATTACCATTATTGGTTTTATATTAACTAGATATTTTAGATAATTTGTATATCCAATTGTATTTAGTTAATATGGTTACTACAAACGTCCTAGTCGCCTAAAATTGGTAGTTTAGGGGCTAATTTGCACTCTACAACTGTGGTACATTTTGCCCGAAATCAATTTGAAATTTTTAAAAAGAAACTTTTGTCAAACATACTAATGTATCAAAACAATGTTTCAACATAAAATGCAGCGGATTAAGTAAATAACACCAAAGCAAAGACCGCGCTAGTTGTTTTTATAGGATTTTGTTAAAAAAACGTTTGTTTTAAAAAATAGTTTGATCTTAAAAGTATGTTTCCATTATTTGAAAAAATAGTCAGAAAGTGATAATAAAACGTAAAATTAACATTATCAACACAGCAACCAAGAACTGACTTCTTATAAAAACTGTTAAGTTCACTCACTTATCGAAACAAGTATTTGATTTACTCTAAACGCCACTACTAAATTATCTCACCAATCAACACGACAACGACGGTGAAGTATGAGAATTTTTGAAATGCCGGATAAAATTCTAGCACTGTTAGTTAATAGTTATACGGAGAGTTATAACCAGACTCGTATTTAAGAGTTGGAAGCTTTGCAAAAACTGTTTTAACCCAGGAAAAAGTTTTTTTATAACTAATTCCTAAAACCGAATATCAATTCCCAAGATTTGTGCGCCAAAGTTCCTCTGCGATTTACCCTAAGAATGAAGGACAATAGCAAACTGAGTCCATATTATTTTAGTGTTCAAAAGAAAAAAGCAAATCTGTATTTCTTGAGTCGAACTGACTAAAAACACAGACATGGCGAGAGCTCTGCGACGTCATCAGATGTTCTGAGAGTTGACATCGAACTGACATTCCTGATAGATCCGTAGCAAAAACAATTATAAGTCTGAAGTGCCGAGACTCACAGAGGTGGGGGTACAGGTAATGACTGCTTCGACTGATGAGATATTAATCGTACGTTTTGCCCGAAATCAATTTGAAATTTTCAAAAAGAAAATTTTGTCAAACATATTAATGTATCAAAACAATGTTTCAACAAAAAATGTAGCGGATTAAGTATATACCACCAAAGCAAAGACTGCGCTAGTTGTTTTTATAGGATTTTGTTAAAAAACGTTTGTTTTAAAAAATAGTTTGTTTCCATTTTAAAAAAAATTGAAGTTATTTAGAACAAAAAATCCATAATCATCAACACATTTGTTTTTACACTTTATACTGAGAAGTTGTAAAACAAAACAAAGTGAAATTCTAACGCATTACTAAATAAATAAACAAAACTATGTTTAATGGTTTTTATTGAACATGTAGTTACAAGGTTAAGAAGGTTATAAATCCGCATAAATAGGAAAAATAATTACAATATTAATAAAAAAATAAATCTATAAATAAAAAATAAACTTATTTGACATTTTTTGCAGGAACTGAGGTCTATATTAGCCCATGCTTTCCGTAAAGCTTTCTTGAGAGCGCTGATGTTAGAAGTAGAAGTATTGCGTGTTCTCATATCGGGCGACCGCACTTTGTTTTAAATTTTGTATTAAAATGTTTACGTGCATTTCTTGCTTTATAATTTCCTTTATAAAAAGCAAGTTTTCCGCTCCTGCTGTAGCCATATAGCCCGCGCCGTGTTTCGTTGTCACTGTTTTTCTATTATTATTATGAAAAATAACGAATTTTCGCATCGCAATTAATGTATGGTTTCCTTGACTTCCCAAACTGAGTTAATATTTTTTACTTTTAGATTAGTAAATTTTGTAATTATTTTTGGTAATTATTTTCATTCCTATGCCAAATTATATTTTAAAATTTTGTGTTACATACTAATATAAATCATCAATTATAACTATTTTATAAATTTATTTAAGAGCTTAAATTTCACTTTGACTGTTTATTAAGTTGCAAAATGGGAACGAAATATAAAATAAAATTTCGTTTTAGTTGAAATAATTTATAGGTTAATAAGAAAATTTTTGCTTTTTTAATACTTAAAAACTTCACCAAACTGCAACAATGAATTATCTTATTGTTTAATAATACCACATTTTAACATTTAAATACTTCAAACGCTCTAGCTTGTTAAAGAAAACAACAGTACTTTTTGTAACGGTTTAGTCCTACTGTTAGTCATAAACTTTTTAGTTGAACGAAAAGGGGAGAAAATTTTCAAAAATATGGTTAACTATGGCTTTATGAATTAAAAACGATTAAAAGCTTCTTATAATCCAGTTGCAACTATACGACTATATTGACATTGATTTCAGGCTTTTTCAGGCGAAGACAGTCAACGCAGGAGGAATTCAGAAGATTTATAAATATAATTTATACATATTTATAAAATTGTGCACATCCACTTATACAAACTGTATAATATCCTCAAGATCGAATAAGTGTATACTAAAAAAATTCTTGGTTTAAACACACCAAAATCAAAAATCAAAATCTAGTCAGAAATTAAAAAAACGGATTTTTCAATTTAGCTTATACGTTTATATAAATTCTTGAACTTCTGAGAAAGGCTTTCTTCTTGAATTATCTAAGTTTCTTTGAGAAAGTCCAAATTAAACCCGGAGATGCCACCATAGTTCTATAATCTAGGCAATTTTTATGACGATTTACAGCTCGATAATATAAAACTTATTAATTTAATTGTAATAATTGTACCGGGAGCAATTTGGCATTGCTACCTATGTTTTTTGTATTGAAAAAAATTTTTTTTAATGTAATTTGGTAAGCAAATACAAACTAATTCTGTCAATTTTATAACATTATTATCATATTTCCAAACTTAAAAATGTCTTAATCTAATAATCTGTCCGATTTTAAATATATTTACTGAAAAGATATACGAAGTTCTCTGGCCAAAACGGACAGCTTCCTAAGTGCTTATTCTGGTTAAAACAAAACTCACTAAAGGAATATTCAGATTTTTTCTGTTTACGATCCAAATTTTTCATTTTCATCTCATAGAGTTTAGATCGTTACCATTTGAATGCTGATTGCTGTGTTTCCTAAATTCCTTGAATTGACAAAATCCGACTTTGCACAATACACTGAATAAATTGTCTGATATTTCTAAAGGCTGAATTAGAAAATACATTTAGTGCGAGAATCATGGTTTACAAGTACAATTAAGTTATAGGTTAAAAGCTATTAAGTTTGAATATAAATTTCGCTTAACTTAACTTAAATAGTGAAGTAATTATTCGGCACATTAAATATAATTGAAAATGTGTTTTTTGACAGATCACCATGGCAACGAATGAATTTTAGTGGAATTTGTTTCCTCGTGGATCACCATAGCGAATTAAAGGGGAATTTTATAGAAATATGCGTTGCTATGGAAATCTGCCAACAAAATCAATTTTGATTGGTTAAAAACTATTGTTGAGGAAGTTTCTTATCGAATACCACACGAGGTCAAATTAAATCCGAAAATAATTTGACGTCTAGTATTACTAGTGAAAATTTGTTTTATAATAAAAACTTTATAATAAAATTATAAAACGGCAAAAGTCACAACCACTTTTTAATGCTGACTTACCCTTTCATTCTTCTTGCCACACAGTAGCCGTAAAAAAATCTGCTCCCTACACCGATTGCGAAAAAAAAAACAACCCCGGATCAAGGACCACAGCTAGTTATGAGGAAGATGTCCCGCGAATGAATAAACTGCTATAAAAAAAATCTCCGGCGTTTACAAACGGAACAGTAAAATGACTCCGTTTTATTTTAATTTAAATAAAATTTTATCTTTTTTAATTTGAAGATTTAGCCCAAAACAATACCAGAATATTTACCCAAGGATAAACGTATTTACCGCCGTTTGAAAATTGTTTAATTTTTGGCCTAACAATAACGCCCGAAGAGACAACGAACTTTCGTGTAATAAATAAAATAACTATAGATATCGTGTCTCTTCCAATACCTTTAAATCTTACGTAAAAAAATCTGGTTGCGTGCAAATTTCAAAAATACCAACTACTTCAACTATCGCGGATGTATTAGAAGAATATTAATTAGTTAAATCCTCATAATCATAAAAAATAATTGGACTATATGATAAGGATTATCTTGGCAATTACTGATTGCGAGCCTTTGGCAATCGAGTTCGTCAGTTGCATTTGAAAAATACGACAGAATAATTATTACAAATTATGCAATAACTGAAGGAAGTTATATTTCTTTTTATTGCAAAATTATAAAAATTTCAGTTAGCAGGAGGTAAATTGTAAAACCGTAAATCCGATTCTAATCTTCTGATTCTTCTGCCATATATACCTTTGGAAATCTACCCCAAATGAATTAAATTATAGAAACAAAAAAACTTCCATGATCTTAAAACCGCTGACCGCTCAAATAGTTATCCGGACATACATTTTTATTTCTTTTTATTGGTGGAATGGATATTTATTATTTATTTATTTAATGTTTATTTTAATTGACAAAAGACAAATTTGTTTGCTGAATACAGCTTAGAAATCGTAATAGCTACAATTAACTGGTGAAAAATAATAGTCATTAATTTAACAATAAAAACACCGGATCAATGAGTTATACAACCACACATACAACCGTGCGCCGACAGAAAGCGGCGGCGCTGTGATATAGTTGCAAATTTTGTTATATTTCATGAATTGCATCTCTTTACTCATAACAAGCTGCGAGTGGAATATGGGAATAGCTAGACAACTGTTCCGATCTTCGCAGAAGGAATGTATAAAATAATATATATTTTGTGTTCTATGATACTAATCTTACCACAATTCCGGTCTGATCTGTGTCCCACAATGTTACCAAAATTGGTCTGTGGTGCTTATAGTTTAGGAATTAGTCTATGGTGCATTTTACTAATAAATTTTAATTTTTGGAAGGGTCCAAAACTTGCAAATAGAAAAACTAAAACTAATCATGGCTGGTGGTTCTGATGCAGCTGAAGAAGCAAAACTTAAAGGACTTTCCAAATATTTTAACAGCATTACCACACGAGGAAGAGCCAATGTACGTATATCGCGTTTATAAAACGATCAATTACATAACAACCAAAAATGTTTTGTTCTTAATTATTATTAATATTTCTAATTACTCATAACGAAATAATCACTTATAAGTCTAGCACTAGGAGTACATATTTTTTTATAAAGTTATGGCATGAGTTTATTCGCTGACGAAAAAATCGCAACAAGTTCTTGTGGCGCTGCAATTCCCTTACTTTTAACATCTAAATCTAGAACCCCCTGCTTTAATTTGCTATTGAACATAATAATAACGAAGATTTATGTTATGTATAACTTTATTTTCCATTTTTAGGTAGCAATAGCAACACTTTCGTCACTGGCATTGTTAGGGCTGTATTATAAGTTAAAACCAAAAAAACAGAGTTAAGATTTTTACTATATCTCATAGCATTAGTCGTTTTAATAATGTATCTACTCCAGTATGAATAAAACCCATGCTACTGTAAGGTGTACACTTTGTTCATTTTGATAATTTGCCACCATTTTTTTTAAATTAATTAATTGTTAAACTTTATACAAAAGTTTTTATTAACTAAAATCAACATTTAAAGTAGCATGTGCTCCTAGAGTCTCAAAGAGTGCTGCTATTCAAAACATATTTTAAAACTGCTCGTGGTAAATATATTCAAATATTTATTTATAATGTAAAATATAAAAATAAATTTTTCCTCTTTAGAAGAACAGTTATTATTATTGCAAGTAAGTAAAACATTTTGCAAATTCAATTTTAGTTATAAACCTGGGCGATAAAATAAGGGTGGAAATATTGAGGGTTGCATAAGCATGAAAAAGGCTTACACGCTGCCACCTAACCTGAGTCGGTCGAATCTCGCCCGCATATACAAATCCTGCTTTTTCGTGTCGCTTTAGGAGTGCAATTATTTGAAAAATCAATCGTCTAATGAAGAGAAGATCGTGACTCTCCTCAACCCATTATACAAGCTCGCCGACATTTTGAGAGAGTTAAAGAGTAAACAGAAGAAGAACGAACCGATTTCGCCTTATTTAAGGTTATCTATTATTAACGCTGTGTTTGAAATGAAATTTCAAACGAAAGTCGATAAATTGATAGTAGCCTATCTATCCGCGGACTTGTCCTTAAAAGCTCACATCGTGTAAACACGGTAAACCCTTCGCCTCGCAATGACGGTACCCTACACCGAAATTCTGGTTGTGGGGGGACTACTCTTACTGCCGATTTTATACGAATCGAGTCATGTGTTTCGTTACCATCTCAAGTTTTTCGTGTATTATTTTATAGTCATGTTTAATTCAGTGCTCCTGATTCCAGTCTTTTGTTTGAGGGCGAAGAATGTGAAAAATTTGATGTAAGTACTTCTGTTTCTATTTTTATTGATATAATATCAAATTCGCTAAAAAATAATTTTATAGTTTCGTATCGTCGAACCGTGTCTATGTAACTTGTTGAACTTTACCATTATTGTATTTTTCTCAGAGCAATAACAGAATAATTATCTTATTAATACTCTGCAACTCAATAGAACGTTCACTTCTCGCTATCAAAGAAAACCTAAGTAAAATACTTACGTCCGTTCAATAAAAGATACCGGTTTAATTTCATATTACTGTTAAGTTGAATTCATTCTTTTAAAAAAATAATAGTAGCTTTCTGATATGTTTAATTATAAAAATGGCTAATTAATAACATATACATTTTTGTTGCACTTATGAGTTTAAAGAGTCCAATTTATTTTAGAACTAATTCCCGATGGATTAAAACTATAATCCGCTAAAGATTAAAGAAAAAAAATTATGTCCTAAAATGTTCCATTTCGGAGGGTTGAATATTGCAAAAAAAAAATCCTTTTTTCCTATTTTAAAAAAATCTCTTCTAGATTTTGCTTTCAAACTTGGTAGGTATTATAACAATTAACGACTCGATTTAGCAATAAGCTGAAGAGACGATTTTTGCTTAGAATCAATCAGGGTATCAAAAATTATTAACCAAATTGCAATAAACCATTTGCGTGCCACTTTTTTTATTGTTTAAAGTAATTAAAGCGGTCTCACGAACGCCACTGGTTGTTTATGCCATACATTAGCATTTAAGTGGCAATAAGTTTGAAATCTAGGAAAGTTTTTTTTTAATAAAAAAGGAAATAAGTTTATATGAACTTCTTTTACTTATTTTTATCTGTCCAATGCGATGTAAAATTTCTCCATTATAGTTCGGACCACCCTGTGTACGCTTAAATAAGAGTTTACATGAAAAAACATGAGTTGCTAAAAAAATAATGAATTTGCTTTTGTTTTAGTTTAGCTTCGTATTTTTGCCGCTGGATCACAGCGCTTATAGGTATTCGGTGGATACTTCGCGGAAGTGATAATCTACACGAAGAAAGGGCATGTATAATTGTCTCGAACCATCAAAGCTCTTTAGATATTTTGGGCATGTTCAATATCTGGCCGACCATGGGCAAATGCACCGTGGTCGCGAAACGTGAACTGTTTTTCGCTTGGCCTTTTGGTCTGGCGGCCTGGCTCGCAGGACTGATTTTTATCCCGAGGGTCCAAAAGGATGAAGCGAAAGTTATTATGAACAAGGCGGCGGAAAAAATAAAATCTGATAAGGTACCTTTAAAGTAGACATTTGCTTAACAAAACCTTACGAGCCTATGCCCTTGAAGTAATAATTGTTTTAAAAAGCTTTATCATGCTTTTTCTTTTAATTTCAATGTTATTGGTGTAGCTTGTAATTAGTTGTCATTAAAGCAATTGGGTCTTTAGAACTAATGACATGCGCATCGCGTAAATATTTTCTATTGACACACAGACAAGTTTGTACAAAATAACGCAACAATTTATTCCCTTAGAAATTTTAGAATTCCTGTTCAGTGTGTTATTGATCAATAGAAATTATTTATTTATGTGTACTCGTATTTATTGATTTCGTAATTTATTTCACGGAAAAACAAGCATTTTGACTGAGAATATTACGATATACCTATTTAAAAACTGGATAATTTTGTTAAACGTTGCTCCCTATACATGTTATGGAAACGCAGATATTTTAGCGACAATAATTGTTCGAAGGTTACTGATCATATCACTTATTGTAATATAATGTAAAATCTGCAAATAATTTAGGCGTTAAAATAAATTAATGGAACGTTTGAACTACTTTATTTCCACAACGTTTTCGTCAGATTTGGAATTTGAATTTCCCGGTTTTCGTCATTCGTAAAAATATGAAATTGTACGAATTTAACAAAATAGTTATTTTAACTATTATTAAATACTTTAACCATTTGAGATATTGTGACCATTTATCAGGCTATCAAAAATAATTAAAAACCCTTCAGTTCAAATATAGGGTCATCAGCTTTTACAATTATGTATATTATGTGTGTGTTGCAGACCAAATTATTCATATTCCCGGAAGGCACAAGGCGAAACACTGGGCAAATACACCCCTTCAAAAAAGGTGCCTTTCACTTGGCCATTTCCGCTCAGCTTCCAATATTGCCAGTAACGTTTAGTCGTTATTACTTCTTGGATAAAGAAACGAAGCGATTCGATTCAGGTATTTTATCAATATTATTTTTATCATAGACATCTTTAAACGCATTTTTTTGTGGTGTCAATACTTCAACTTCTCTTCCAGGTGTAGTTATAGTTAACGCTTTAGATGCCATTGATACCAAAGGCATGACCTTTGGGAATTTAGATGATCTCATGGAAAATGTACGCGATAAAATGTCCGCGTCGTTTAGAGATTCCACAAAAGAAGTTCTTGATATGGTTCACCACAATAATTTGTGTAGTCAAAAAAATCTATAACTGTAATCATAAAGTGATACCGAGTGACCCGAATTTGGGTATATATATTGGATCTGACCATTATCAAATTTGCGCAGTATTTAAGACGTGACATGCCAAAATCACTTATTGAATTAAATCATTGTCATATTTGTTTTATATTTCGACCTAATGCGTTTTTTGAAAGTAATTTTCTCTTGTGTGTCAGTTACTACAAAGTATCAGAAAATTTTGCAATTTTTTATGAGAACGTTTAACTGAAAATTGTTTTTAATTAGGCAAGTTTATGCTACATTAATATCAATTTTATAAATTTGTTTATGAGTACGGTATTATTTTTAAGTTCATAATAACAGTTGATGTGGGCTATAATTTTGCGGAAAGGCCTAAAATTTTAAACAAACATCAGTATTAACTCCTTCATAATGATTATTCCATCGTTGAATTGAGAAAACCCATTGTTATTTTAAAATGATTGATTTATATAGGATTAGAGATTTAATCTGTAATTAAAATGTCAAGTTTTTAGTTTGATGATTTGTTAAGTTTTAAAATAAATTGACGCGACAGGCCTTATTGGCTCATATTTTTGCTGCCTTTGTACAAGAACTCTCCTGGAAATCTAAACCTAAACTGTAGATTTTGTAAACTTGATTTTAAGGCAAACTTATTTGATGTAAGGGAATAAAATTATTTGTCAGTATTTTTCGCAAAATTCAGTGTGATGTTTATTGACCTAGGTGCGGAATTCCTTTAATGTGTAACACAATTAAGGTACTATAATTTAGGCTAATAAACTTTTGCCATTATATATGTATTGAATGGTTGCCTAAAATATCTAGTATAGTTTTATAATATCGCATTCCCAAATTTGTGATTTTTGTTGCCATTGAATTATTTTTAATATGACTTTTTATAAATATGAAATACATACTTGCAAAACGTCGGTATTTGTTTCCTTATAAACACCACCCCATAAATGAAGCACAACCATATTCAAAGTAATTTTTACTAAGGGAAAAGTTACACGAACAAATTTAATATCAGAGAAATAAAATATCACAGATACAAAACTAGTATTTAAAAAATTGATCCACAATAAGGTTCAGTCACGTTCAGCTAACTGTGGTGACAATTATTTTTGCATCTTCGCCAAATGCATCCTATTTAATTAGGTTAATTAAATCTGGTTATTCAGAGGGGTCGTGTAGTTCAGCCCTTTTAGGGAGGCTCTGCACAAGTTGTCTTTTGACAAACATTTAAAATTATTACATACAGTGGAAAAATGATTTGATTTAAAAATTGCACAAATAATTTAAAAAGACACTTACAATTAAGACATGGGTCAATTCGTGAGAAATTAGCGATAATAAATTAAAAAAATAACACAGGAACGACAAAAACTTAACAAGAAAATTGGTTAAGAAGATTTAATTCTAGAGTAGGTCCGCGACACTACTCGGAAACCCTTTGAGTTCCCAAATAGTGGCGGCCAACCTACGCGCTTGCTCCAATACGCACGAAGGCGTCACTAGTCCCAAATGTATACAAAACAACTCGAAGCATTTTACTTTCAACGGTGAAGTTTTGGGAAAACAAGTTTCCTTCATTTTCCTGCAATTTGTTTTGCGTTACGTCCTATCATAAAGAGGCGACAAACTCACGTATAAAAATGATCCGTCAGGATACCAGGAAACGACCTAAATGGTCCTGGAGAAGAGGTAGTTTTCAGACCAGATCCTCCACTGTCTTCAAACCAGAGAAAGAAACTGCAAGTAAATGCCGAATCTTTCCATATTAAACTGGTGTGGCCTTCCTGTAAATGTCGCTGCGAAAATTTCACCATCTGCCAAATCTAAATATTTTGGTGTTACTTATGAGAATTGCCAAATGCAATTTTTACCTTCTTCTTTGTAAGATGCGCCTTATTTTCCTCCCATTCTAAGGCCGGTGTTGTTATTCTATGGGTATTGCGGTCGACAAACAAAAAGTGAACCAAGCCCGGAAAATCTTCCAAATACTTGTTAATGGTTATGGAATCTCTTGTAATGCCATAATTAAGGATAACAAAATCTGACACATTGCTGCAGGTAATTTAAGATGGAAAAGTTAATATAGCATACACCTAGTATTGCTTGATTTAAGATTAACATTTTTTTTTGTGGTTTACATTTACAATTACAATTAAGTCCAAGGTAAGTAAAGGTTCTTAACAATTCAGTTACATTTTCTTTGGCAAAAATATGTCATATAAATTGTTTATCTGACACTGCAAGAAAAGGATATGATCCAAAGGTGAAATTTTTAATTCCCTTAACTGTGAAAAATTCGGTGAAGGTGCTCAAGTCCTTCTTCACCTTCTGACTGATGTTCAGAACGTGCTCAGCACCAAAATCCAATACGGAATCATCCACAGAACTCAATGTCAATAACTGTTTCAAATTCTCTAAAAACCCCAAAAGTAACGTTTCTGCCCTTAGTATTGCCTCTTCGGATCCAGTTTTTAAATATTCCTAAATGGACATTATATTCATTATATGAATATACAGGAACAAATTTTACCTGATATTTTTTCTTTATCACGTCCCATTTTTTCATTAACTGCTTGTGTGATGCTTCAATATCAGTGTTCTTATTTTTTTTTAAAGAAATGTTTAATTTTTTTGTCGCCAAATCTAGATTCTCAAATGCTAGCTGAAGTGTTTCTTTGTCTCGCTGTATCTGAACACTTTGTATAGTGTGCAAATGACAAAATGCATCATAGAGCGAGCCTAAAATATCCGATACATTGTTTAAGGCAAAAATATATGATTCTATTATTATTAATCTGGCTAACCTGCAACTGATGGATTTCCTATTTCCATCAAATAGACCAAAAACATCTGATCACAAATTTCAACAATATGAATTGCATGGGGTATACATTTTGGTTCAGTCTCAGGCCCTGCCAAGAGGATTCTGTAACTTTCGATATTCTTAAAAACATCTCCGCGGCAGTGTGTTAGTATAATTGTAAAAAGAATATCAGGTGCAGATAGTTGTTTGGCATTTGAACTGAAAATTTATACCTCAGAGAAATAAACAGCAAATGTGAGATGGGTACCTTGAATACAATGACAGAAATTTATCTTTTACCAACAATAATGCATGTACCCTGGATAAATCTTGATACAAGGACAACTGGGTGACAGATTCCTTAAGCGCCTCAAGGCAGGTATTGCTGAGATCGCTGTTGATAACTAGTTGCTCTAGCGCTTCCACCAAAAAGGCTTGGTTATCCTCTTTTAATTTTAACCAATTATCATATAATTTATGGAGTAAAGAACACCTTTCTTTATTTAAAAGCAATCTAAAAAGATTCAAATCTGCAGCTGCTCAATAAAATGATACAAATAAACTCACTGATATACATCAGGTCCACACAAATATCTAACAAAAGTTATGCAAATGTTTAAAAAACCATCATTCTCGTCAGAAGTCATGCCCAAGAATAAGTAACCCATAAACTAAAAAAAACGAGTACGAATAAATAGATTTAGCCAGACAGTTGGGCTTCTACCTCATTAAAAAGCATTTTAAGTTCATCTTTAAACTTCATTGAGGTATACGAGTTACCAAACTGGCAATGCATTATACGGTGGGACGTTACAATAGGTGAAAACAGTTGAATGATAATGTTCCGATTTAGAGGAGCGTCAAAATCCCCCTTCAAATAAAAATACTATAGTAAACAATGTATTAGGTAAAGTTTGAAGCGCCACTTACTTCCAGCAGCAAACCTTCACTTAGTGCGAATTTTTTTATGTGATTTTCAAATGGATCGTCGTACTTCATAAAAATTATATCATTTAAGTGATCAAATATTAGCAAACAATTCATTTTCATGTTTTGTTGCTAAATGTTACCCATAACCTAAAATTCAGAGAATAGCATACCAAAGTTTGGTTGTTCTTTGGATGCCATTGCGGTGTGGTCATCTTAACAAATAACCTGTGTTGTGATAATTGTTAGGTATTAACAATTAACACTGTTGCAAGTTGGTAAGCCGTTATTAGACCTGCCAACTCAACTTGCGGTAGGTTGTGCATTGGGTGATGCAATCGTTAAAAATTTGTCTATAAATTGAAACTTGGTTGTAAGCTGGCCGAATTGCGTTACGAAGCAGTGGTCAAATAAAGCCTAATTAAAAAAACTGTTACAAATTTGTTGTCTTATGCATAACGAGATACATAATTATAAATCATGCGTTGTATCTAAGTAAATATAAACATAATCATAATTTGTACTGTTTTTACAAGTTCGGTAAAAGCATATTACATAGAAAATGCTTTTCAAACAGGCTGTGTTGTACCATACAAAAATTATTACATTTTCATTCACATCTCAAAATATTAGTCATTTATTTTGTTACTATGGCAGCTTAAATTAAATTGACAGTCCCGAATGTAACAAAATGAGGACCGCAAAAGTTCCACGGGACTCTTGACGCGTGATAGGGCCGAAAAGATCAGTTTTAGGACGCTTAAAAAAAATATGATTAACGTCCAAAAAAGCCAATGCGTTTTGATAATGCCTTTATTTAAGAGAATATTATCATAAGGAAGGGTAATAGCATGGTTTCAACAAACAAAATTGAAGAATACGTAAATAACATGTACTCCTTATCTAAACAATTATTCCAAAAAGAAAAACATACAGTGAACAAATTTTGGGAGAAAACTTAAATTTACTTGTTGACTGTGCCGAAGTAATCTTTGCTTGCGGCTACATCAGGTTTAATAGATTTTTTGCCTGGAGTCCATCCGGCGGGGCAAACTTCTCCATGTTCATCAGTAAACTGGAATGCCTGGACCAAACGAATTGTTTCATCAACTGACCGACCCACTGGCAGATCGTTGATTGTTATTTGTCTCAAAACACTTTTCGCATCGATAATAAACAATCCTCGGAAAGAAATCCCAGTGGATTCGTCCAAAACTCCATAATCGCGAGAAATTTGTAAGTTTTTGTCGGCCAAAAGTGGAATATTCATCTCTCCAAGACCACCCTGTTTACGTGGGGTATTTACCCAAGCCAAGTGAGAGAAATGACTGTCCGTCGAGCATCCAACCACGGCAGTATTGATTTTCTTGAACTCTTCAAACCGATCGGAGAAAGCTATGATTTCGGTGGGACAAACAAAAGTGAAGTCCAAGGGGTAAAAGAAGATGACTACATATTGGCCTGGAAAAATATCGGTCAACTTATTGGCCGTTAAAGAATGGTTTTATGTACCTTTGTAATCCTCCAATGATATGTCTTTGAATTGCCCGTTGACAACAGCGGTTCCTTTAAAGACTGGAGCTGGTTTTTGCAACGATGGCACCACCATTTTGCGCTTATTTGGTAACTGCACTTAAAACAAATTAGTGGAAGGATTTTAATGACGTCTTACACAGAAATTTATCCTTAAAAAAATGTCCCAGGCTGCCAAGAAAAAATCATTTTTCATTAAAAAAACATGCGAAACCGTGGATGCCAATCATCATCGGAGTTCAAATCGACATTTTGTTTTATATGAACCGCCTAAATTATTTATTAATATACGAAACTAATACACCGACGCAACAAAACATCTTCACCTACCAAAAGAACGAACAACAGAGGATGGAATGCACACAAAAAGTAAATTGAAGGTCGAGTAATATACCTGTTCGATGAACTTTTTTTGCACCTGCAAGTGTGTCAAGCAAATCCCAAGCGAAGCGAAATGGATTTGATGTAATTTATAAACAGGCTACTCTTGTAAATTGAAGGTTTATTTATTAAAGTAGCTAATAAAACAAACACCACGTTTTCTTCTAACTTATATTAACAGTTTTCTATTATTTACAATCGCATTTTAGGAAACAAGGGCACACTAAGCAAACGCGTAAATTACTATTTAATTGGGTAATGTTTTTTTTGTGATAAATTAAATCAATTGTCCAGAGTCACAGAACGAACCTTAAAAATTCATAGACCAAAAGCATGAAATTTTAATTTGGCGTTCTTGACATGGATTAAATAGCATAGGACAAACAAATTAAATTGTTTTGGGTCACCTTTTGTTCATTCAGTTCCTTATTTTGTTAAACGCTTAAAAAAACCATTGCCGATTAGTTGTAAAATTTATTGATTCGCCGTTTTTTTTTTGGATTAATGAAAGAATTTTGCCCGGCTAATTAAATATAATCAGACACACACCGTTTATTATTATTTACGGAATCATACACAAACACAAAAACTAATATTGTAAAAAAGTGTCGAATATTATCTGGCATCGAAAACAACCAATCGTTTTGTTCTTTTCTTGTACATTATACGGTAACCGCATTCTCTGCATCGTATGGGATCTCTGGGCCTTATTTCGTTTTCGTTGTGACATTCGCCACAAATGTAAACCATGGGGGCTTTCTGAGGCGCCGTGTCTTTACCGGTTGAACCTTCCGACATAGCTTTTACTCAAAATTAAATGTTCTACCTAAAAAATAACAAGTTACAAATAACAAGAACGTAACACAGATCGATCGAAATATTTTGATAGGTAGAACATTTAATTTTTTTAGTGCAAAGCTTATTTTATACATGAAACCACTTTTTTTTTTTAAAGTAGTTTAAAAACGTGTGACCGGCATAAAAATTTAGTCGGCTGATAAAAATTAATCTGCTTCATCTTAACTGTCGAGACGTAACTTTACGGCGTACTTTGGAATGGTAGAGTTTAATGATAATTTTACTCAGCGTACATTATTGAATTTTGAAAACGTGTTAATGTTTTTTGAGACGTATGTAATTTTAGTAATTTTTAAACTAAAACAATTCGTCACGTACTTTCAACGAGATAATTGGGGCACAAAAACCGGTTGACCCGTGTTAGGATCAACTACGATTGTGCAATGCGTCTTTTTTTAAATAAGATAATTTACTGTCCTCTCACTTTAGTCAACTATTGAGTTAACCGAAAAAAATAAGTTTTAAATATATACGTAATAGATAATCAAAACGTTGGATTGAAATTCGAATACTTACACAGATCTGACAAAAAAACTACCACCCAACGACACCGACTGTTGGATATAAAATGACAAACAGCACGCGGAACTGCAATGGTGACGACGCACAGATAAAGAACCACTTTCAAAGGTGCAAACTCAACGCTTAGAACGCTTAGGGGTCGACATCTGTTAATACTTAATACTTAAAGCGCATTACGCAGTTTAATTTCTTGGAAAATTATATTTTATTTTTGTTTGACAGCTTTACGTTTTCGTAAATTATTAGATATGTAATAAAATAGAGTACCAGTAATGTCATTTTTTTAAATTAGTAACAAAAAAACCATAAAACTTGTCCTCGAAAGAAATGGGGTCTGATATTTTTATAAACGCTTTTCCGACTCCCGCCATAAAGAACTATGAACGCGGAAACGAAATTCAAAGCACAAAGGAAATTTTGGCGGCCAAGTTCATTTACACCAAAATAGATTTTCGTTTTTGCAACTACGCTTCAAAAAAATAAAGATAGCATGAGATCTGCGCATTCATTTCTTATAAACGTTTTCGTTTGGCACCATTCTGGTATGTTATTAGGACAAACGTGAAAAATTCGTTATGCGAATAACGTTAGCAAAAGTGAGACGGACTGCCCTAATGAAGTGTGCGGGGTAGGTTGGCTAGACTGTGATTTTTATTGTCTGACTTGATGGTGATTTGCAAATTCTAACCAAGCAATCATTTTACAGCTGTTCAGAGGGGTGACTGACATTCGTCTGACGTCGCAGACACGGAAAAATCATTGTGGCGATAGGAACTGGTGTGCGTTTCGGTAGATCGGGTTCAAAAGAAAACTTTGTTTTTCGATAACTGTAAATACGTACGTAGGTATATCAAACAATGAGCGAATTAAGTCAAGAAGAGGTAAGTCCCGGTTTCTCTGTTTTTAGCAACGATTTCTTTGTTACTTACATCTATTTGCACTAATCCAAGGCCTTGACAATGTACATTTCATTTTTTTATTGTCGTTTTTGTTCTCTATTTAAGTACTTTTTATCCATTTTTATTTAATCAGGTTTTTTTTGTTGTTGTTTGCCAAACAGCTGAGTATGTTTTTCGATAGTGACGTTTAAAACGATGTTTTTCCTATACCACAAATTAGAAATATATAGTTAGGTAATTAATATTCAACATTAAAACGTAAATACAAATACAACTGTATTAAATGCTTTCTCCATCTAGTGGAAATTAAAGTAATAAATAAGATAGTTTGTGAATAATTGTGGTTTGTGAAATGTTAATTGATATTTCTCCAAACTTCTAGATTCGGAGAAGACGACTAGCTCGTCTCGCCCCCCTAGAAAGTGGATCGCCCTCGAACTCGATCTCTCCTCCCATTACCCCAATCTCACAATCTCCCATGAGCAATGCACAAAGTCCTCCTGTGCTGGAAACTCAAATAAATCCTCTGGACCAAAAATGTTTTATAGCGCAGGGATCTAGTAGAGATAAACAAGAGAAAGAGCTGACATTTCATGATGAAAAAGACAAAGAGATGAAAGATGTTATGTGTAATGAATCGGAGAATAGGCGTTTCGATGGTGTGTTTAAAGAACCAACAAAACCTATAGATATACAAACGCCAACAAGTTCCAAGGTGAGAGTTAGGGCGCCTCCTCAAAGAAGTGATTCAGAAACAAGTTCCATACATATGGAGGTTGACGAAGTTAGTGGATGTGCAGATAAAATGGGTGGTACTGACATTGATTCAGGATTTGAAAATATGGAGGTAAGTAGTAAATTGTTTGGTGGTATATTTGATGGTTTATTTATTGTTTGATTTGTTCCTTAATGCTACAGTTCTTAGTTAATCCAAAAAATGTACACATCTTAGTATCTTATCATTTTTGTCATAAGCGCTAAGAGAGTCCATAAACTATAGATTAGTAATAGTAAAAACCCGGTAATTTGACTTATTCGATAGTCGGAGAGCTAATGAACTTTATATCATTTTATGATGCCTTTTTTTATAACTTCGAAGTAGAGTTGTGTTCTTGTAAATTTATTAATGTACTAAATATGTGTTGTGATTTTTATTGTAAATTAAAATAAAAAATAGCTACGGGTTTCGCCAGGTGGACGAATCGGACGCCCAGAAAAAGGATAATCATAGGCAGCGGACGACGTCCTCATCTAGTGAACTGACTGTAGAGCAGGTTCACGAAACTATAGAACGCATCCTATCCGTATCATTCGACGGACCGAAAGAGAACCGTCTCTGCTTAATAGACCTAGAGAAAGGCGTCGAAGACAAACCCGAAATGCCGATCAGGAGCCTCATTTCGAGATCAATTTTCGAAACCATCGCTCACATAGCGTTCAACAAGGAGCCGTTTCAGAACGTGTCGCCCCAGAATCATGATATTTCGGACAATAATAGCCTCCACTCGGGATCTGTAAGTCCTACGCTGAACTCACCATCACCCAGCCACGTTATGTCGTGTCCCATACCGCTTCTGACCATGAAGGAAGCCCCAGACCAGACCCCTATGGCCTCCGCTTTGAAATATATCATGGACTCATATAATCGGGTTGCTGTGGAAGAAAGAAACCACCCGAAAAGGTCTAGCGTTCCGCCCTTGAGCGACGTCTTGACGGAAATCAGAGCTCAGCTTATCCAATATACGGTTATAACGGTCGAGGGTCCCTTCGCTTCTTTGGAATACCCCATCGCTAAATCTCCCCTTCTTGGACCGATTTTGCAGCAGGTTGTGCCAAGAGGTTTCCTGACCGAACTGGTCACTCGTACTTATTCCGACGAGAAGATGTTCGATCAAGTGTTTAGCCCCATTTTGCAAGGGTTATTTAGGATGATGCAGCACGCGGACATTGTCGAAGACGAGCACCGATTACCTTTGCAAACGTTGTTCGAATTGGCCGATATCAGGTGCAGTAATAGGCCGATATGTTCGTTGATTACGCGGCAACCTCAGTTCGCCATCGGGGAACCTTTGACGGTCGCAGGTAGTGTACAGAGTGGCCTTTTTATCTTGTGACACCACCTTGTATAGGGAACAGTCATTATTACATACTTAGTGTCCATAAAAGAAGACCCAGCACTCTCTTGGTGTCTCTTCTATATGTACTTTTTGATTCTGGTTGATTTCAGTTCAATGTATACACGACTTTTCTTCACATAATTCCCACTTACCGTACCTTGCCTATTCTGTGTCCCAATCGGATCTACATTTTTCACTTTCTTTCTGTAGATTTTATTCTTTGTAATATTGTACTGTCTAGTTGCGACTTTTTCAATTGAGTATTGTGCCAAAAAAAACGCAAAAATATACAAGAGCTAAGACTGGTCTAGAAGCAAACTTCAACACCATATATAACATGTTAACTGCAACTTTTTGTTTCATCTGCTATATTTTCTGAGACAAGGTGGTGTTCCGCCCTATCGTAAAGTCATTTTGTCTTTCCCGGCCATTTTTTTTACTCGCCGTTGTTTTAGGTGGACGCGAGGTAACGTTCACGTCGTTCCTCGGCCCTTTCCTGAATATCTCGGTGTTCGCCGAGGACGAGCCGAAGGTTGCCGAAAAACTGTTTTCCGGCAATGCGGTCAACGACAAAACCCTCAACCAGTGCCTGCAGCTCGAATTGGAGAACATCCGGAATACGCTGCACCGCATTTTCCATTACATTTTAGCGAATCAGGACAGCAGGGAGCCCTGTCTCAGGTACATCGCTCAGTTGCTCAAGTATAACGAGAAACGGGCGCAACTAGCGATGGACGAACGCCTATTGGCCGGCGACGGTTTCATGTTGAATCTGCTCAGCGTCCTGCAGAATCTCTCGGTGAAGATAAAGTTCGCGAAAATGGATCCGATGTATCCGTTCCACCCCGAAGCGATGATCAGCATCCAGAACGACACGAGACTGAAATTTTCCTCTCAGGAAGTCGGCGATTGGTTAGAGAAATTTGGTAATAATAATAATCGTTCCTCCTCACATCTGTAAACTATAGTCTCTACTGTAAAATAATAGTGAAAGGGCATAATACACTATATTCTTCTTCTTCTTCTTCCTATTGTATATAGGCACTATTACCTGTTCTTCACATCTTTGCCATCATTCAGTCATTTGGGAAGTTGTCGCTCCACCTTTGCCTAGGCTCCTTAGTTGTGCTGGTGATTTGTGCCTCGATATTTTCACTACACTATATTCACTGTAACAAAAATGTATGTTTAATTTCAACTAGTATTTCTCGCAGTTTAATCTTTTATTATTTGGTAACCCATATTTATAAACAAAACTAACAAAAACGTTTGGCAAACAATGGGTTCTCAGTTTTTATAAAATAGGTAATCAAAAGGTAATTAACCCGTGTGTGCCATAATAAAACGAAAAATGTTAGTTGGAATTATGGTAACCTGTGAGAGACTAATATAGAAGTCATTAAATAATTTCATCAACTGAGATTACCGTTGATAAAAAAAAGATTTTTTGGGGGTACTAGGCAAAATATAAGTGATACCCCTACGCTCTTTTAAGGAATACGAAAATTCCTCAGGATTTTTACTGCATCTCGAAAGAGCAGTTTTGTGTCGCCCTCGTCTTTAAAACTGTCATATTTTATATAAATTATTTATATATATATATATATAGCACAGCGAGAATCAATGCGGATCAGACCTCATGTCTCATCATATATGCCCCGCAATTGATTTTTTTTCTTCCGCATTCAGGCGAATCATATGACTTTTCCGCGCCGAAATTCTCTACCATTTGCTGGTTTTTGACCCTCCACTGCCACCATTTGTCCCTTTTGCCGGCCATCCAAAAGTATCAGCGGCGGCTGCGCGCGATCAAAGACCTGCAGAAGTTGCTGGACGAGACTGTAGCGGCGGAACCGCAGTGGAAGAACACACCATTCGCCAGCAGGAACAAGAAATTCATCAAACGGTGGAAGCATCAGGTCAAAAAATTGAACAAGTAAACTATAGGTCGCGAAAATACCCGCCGCGGAGGTGACACGAGCCTATATTTTAGGTCGAGAGCTTGTGCCAACGCGGGCCTGTTAGATAAAAACCTGATGGGCAGGTCGTTGATATTTTATACGACCGTCTCCGAGTATTTGCTCAGTCTAATGACCGGGGCGCCACCCGGAAGTCCCGTGCCGGACCTACCACTGCCTCCTCCCACCTCCCCTGCGTTCTACGCAATGCCCGAGTGGTACGTCGAGGACATCGCGGAGTTTTTGCTGTTCGCCCTGCAGTAAGGCCAAACCGGTCAAAGGGTGCGCCAGAAAATTTTATCATCGGGGTGATTTTTAGGCATTTTCCCGGCCTTGTCACGAAGTATGCCGAGGACAGCCTGATAACGTGGCTCCTGGTCACAATATGCTCATCAAACATGATCAAGAACCCGTATCTCGTTGCTAAGCTGGTGGAGGTTGTGTTTGTCATTATACCCCAGATCCAGCCCAAATGCGAGTTGCTTTATAACAGAATGTTGTCGCACCACATTTCGCGGACCGTTCTGCCTAGCTCGTTAATGAAGTTTTACACAGAGGTTGGTACATTTGAACTACTCGATATAGCGCGTTAATTTGGCGAGCTCTCTCGAGTTTTATGCCGCAATGAACTACATTTGAATTACACCACATCTCTGCCGGGAGTTTTACAGCAAGTTTATTTTGATTTAGGTGGAAACGACCGGTTCGAGTTCGGAATTTTATGACAAATTTTCCATAAGATATCACATAAGTCTCATAATTAAAGGCATGTGGAATTCTCCGGTACATAGGCAAGTTTTGGTAAACGAATCGAAAAACGGCAATCAGTTCGTCAAGTTTGTCAATATGCTGATGAACGACACGACATTTTTGTTAGATGAGTCATTGGAGTCGCTAAAAAGGATTCACGAAATACAGGAATTGATTGCGGATACCGATAAATGGTAAGTCCTAATAAATTTAATTCGTTTAACTTTCCTTACTTAGTCCTTCAGTGTTCAGTGTTATAAAATCCTTAAAGTTAATAATGGATTCTTTGGGGCAAGATAACTGTAAGCATAGGCATCTTCCTGTACGCACTTTAATCGTCATAAATAAAAATAAAAGAAATTTGCATTTCTTGCAGAATTGCTTCAGGTATTAATAAATAGAAAATATTTGATTTTTCTCAGTACAGCCATGTTTGTTTACAATATATTTTAACGATTTAAATATGTAATCAGATTCAGTTTTCTTTTTTTTTCTTTAAATGCAAACATTTTCGTGTCATCTCTTAAAAAAATATAACAAGTATTTATTATACTTAAAAAAATATTGTTTTTTTTTGTTAAACAAATTTTTTGTTGTGTTAATAAAGGTGTGTTATTGTTATTATCAACACTTTTATTATTATAAACTCCAAAAAACTTTAAAAGTTCCGTTTTTAAAATGTGGGTGTTAAACTTGCAGAAAACTTTGTTGATTTTAATTATTTAAATAAAATTATGTAACTTTAACATGTATATTGTAAAATATAACTTTTGTTGTTAATTTTTCCCGATTGTTCCCCTCCTCAAGTATGGAAAATTACTCAGTTACTACGAAGCTTAATGTAAGGTCACGAAAGGAACCCAAAAATATTTTATTTTGTCGGAAAATCTATTTATTTAAAGGATATTATAATCCATATAAACCCACAAATTTCTCTGATTCATTGTGCATTTGATATATTTTTGAATGTATAATCTAATTGCTGAGAAATGTATTTACTTTACTTACTTGCTTACTATGCATCTCACAGGAAGTCTCAGAAATATAAATCTTACTCTTATATATTGTTTGAGGGGGGTGAAACTAAATGAGCGGCATTAACATTGTCTCAGATGACTGACTCTCATATTGGTGATAGGTAAAGGGAATCAGTCATCCGAGACCCCTCAAGCAATATATAAATAGGTACAGAGTAAAATGCAGTTCAATTAAGCTCTGAAGAAGCCAACTGGCGAAATGTTAGCAAGTTTGATTCAACACAAACCGACGCAGGAGGAATCCAGAAATTTTGTATTACAGTAGTCTGTGGAAGTTTCTTTGAAAAAAAAATCCTTTTTTTTATATTGAATAAAGTTTTTCGTGAACCCAAAAAAAGCCACGCCCTCTCCGGTGGGTACAGCAAATAATAGCAGGGGCGTATTATAATTTTTCTTTGGATTGAATACGAATTGGTTGGAAAAACTTGCTAGTATTGTTGCATATGTTAATTTCTTTCGTTGGTCTCCATTTAGGCACCCATAATTTGTATTGTTCAACCATTTCACTTGTATTTCTTACAGGTCGAAGCTGTCAAACGATCAACAGCAAAGCAAAATGCGACAGCTCAGCGCGGACGAAAGGCAGTGCCTTTCCTATTTGACTTTGGCGCGGGAAACTGTCGACATGTTCCACTACCTCACCATAGACATTAAAGAGCCGTTCCTGAGGCCCGAGCTGGTGGGCCGACTGGCATCCATGCTCAATTTCAATTTGCAACAGTTGTGCGGCAAAAAGTGCAAAGACTTAAAAGTTGACCACCCCGAGAAATACGGTTGGGAACCGAGACGCTTGTTAAGCCAATTGGTAGACATTTATTTACATTTGGACTGTGATGCTTTTGCGGAAGCACTGGCTGGTGACGAGGTAATATAAATATAATAATAATAAATAATAAAATGAAAGATAATTTCCAAAGAATGTATTAAATTACATTTTTAAAAAAATGAAGAAGTAATACTTGTTCAAAAAAATTTTTAACTTTTCGAAAGGCACTTCGCTAAGTAGAAAAATACATAACTTTTGTCCAATTAAAAGTCTATACTGTCGGTTTTTTATTATCATACTGTAATTTTAGTGTAACCATATTCATGTTTAAAGACATCAATAAAGATCTATTTATAGATGCTCAGGTTACTCAACATTGAAAATCTGATGAACTTAATATACAAGGTATCAAATAATGTTCCGCAAAAAAAAATTGCTTAAGATAGCTTATTAATTGGGTCAGCATTCTTTGCTAAAATCTCAAGGGAGGAGGACTACTTCAAATATTTTTTTTGCCTGTGATGTGTTTTAATTGGTATTGATGTGATTTTTTACTAATAAAATATCTCTCTATGTATCTACTTTAAACAAGAGTGCCTTTTTATGGAATACTATACAAAAAATATGATTTTTGCCCAAGAAATTGAAAATAATTATCCCCCATTTTAGGAGACGTTTTCGGACAAACTAACCTAATTTTTTAATATTCTATTTTGCCGAGAAATTAGCGGAACATTAGCAGCATTAGGAGGCATTAAATTGTTTTCGCGTTTTGGATATCTTATAAACATATCAGAAAACTGTACTTCCACCAATTATAATCTTTAAAAATCTATTAAAGTTTTTCTATAGCTCCCATTTCATACTTTCACTGCATTAAAAAAAAAAATTGTTTAATGAAAGGAGTTAGAGTGCGCATAATTTCAGAATAGGACAGCACGTGGCGATTGCTATTGTTCAACTGTGGTCGGCCGATGCGGTGTGTTTATATTTTGTATTTTCATTTGTGGGTGTTTATTTTATAGGTTGATTATTCTCATATCTCTAGGTATGAAAATGAAATTGCTTCATATCATTTCATCATCAAACTTCTCCAATCGGTCACATGATAGTGTCCCATTCCGAAATTATGTTCTCTCTGGTTTACGAGTCACATTTGCCACACTTTTCTTTTTTTACTCTCAATTTTTGATTGACGTATTACTTGATATTAATGTTGATCGCAGATCAATTTGTAAAACCGTGAGAGTCCTCTCGATATACGCGGTTTTGCTAAACAAGGAAATAAATTATAATTCAAAAAATACTCAAATAAAGAACTACTATTTTTTTTATGGAAAATTTGAAATACATCGATTACTGGAAGGGGCTCATAAAAATATCAGTTGTAGTTTTTAATCGAAATTGTTAGGAATTATGGTCTCTCTTTTTTGTTATCATTTGTTCATGAAATGTGGAACGTAAAACCGAAATAAAAATATTTACTCAGAAAAAATACTCAATCATAAATAATCATAAAAATTTAAACCTTATAGTTAGGTTGGAAAGCATCGTTGAACGATTATAAATTTGCAGAGGTCTTTCCGTCGGGAACTTTTTAACGACGCCCTCGTCCGTCTAGAGCGGAACGCCATAAAAACGCCCGTCGAGATTGAACAGTTCAAGGAACTGGCCGCGAAAGCGTGCAGAGTGTTGGAGAACAACCAAAGGTGAGCACGTGCGTGCGCAGTCGCGTCGCATAGTCTCACCCTAAACCGTCGTTTTAGGTCAGACGAGTGGTTGGAAGATGCACCCGACGAATTTAAAGATCCCCTAATGGACACACTGATGACTGATCCCGTGCTGCTGCCCAGTGGACAGATTATGGATAGGTCCGTAATTATGAGACATTTGCTGAACAGCAATACCGACCCGTTCAATAGGCAGCCGTTGACTGAAGAGATGCTTTTGCCAGGTGAGATGTTGCAATTAATCGATGATGATCAGGGTTCTGAGTAGGACTTTTACCCATATATACATGCATATTAAGATACTTGACATTTGTTATGTTTATATTGTTATCAAACTTGCCAGGAATCTTTTTTTTTTAATTTTTTATTTCTAATGGGAAAGTCATCACCATTTGAATTCTATACAACTATTTATTTTCATTCAAGAAGCAGTTTTAACCGTTTTAAAGGGACCATAATTTCGTTACAAGCTTCAGAAGTTAACACACAAAAAGACATTAGTTTATCACTAAAATATTGCAATAAATTGGGATGTTTCAATTCATTCTACAAAGTATTTGCCAAAAAAAATGACACAAAAGAAAATTTTGAAGTTTACTTATAACTCTTTCGAATTCAATGCTGCGCTCAGAATATATGTACGGGTGTCAAAAATATTCTTTGACGCTACTTTTTTTTTTAAATATAAGATACATTTATGGAGTATTAAATTTTAGCAAAAATTGCCTACTAAATCACGCTTTCGTGAAATTATTTGGAAAAACTTATGAGTGATGAATTACAAATTTGGTCCTCGGGTTTCGAAAGTTTTGTATCTTTTTTTTTAAACGAATTTTAATTTTTTTATTTTAAAAACGGAATAAGTAATAATAAAGGTTTATTGAGATTGTAGAACAAAAAAAATAATTTAAAGTGTAAGATGGTTATAAAATATTTCTGAACATAGTTGAATTGGTTTGACTCATATAGCTACTAGATATGTAGAGAGGTCCTCTTTATGCTGATAATTTAAAGATTTTTAAAGGCGTCGATGACGAAAATATATTGAGATGGTATTTTCTCAAAATATGCCCGGATCACATTAAATGTCCGTGGTAAATGAGTTAAGTGGGTGGAGATCGCTGTTTAGAAAGAAAATGGTGCAGGTTAGTGGTGAAATTTAAAGGCATGCTATATATCTAATAGCCGTATGGTTTGACCAGTATTAGAGATTAGGCTTCATGTGTGGTCGCAAGATTTGTCCAGTAACATATATAAACGGATTTCAGTGGATGACCTGAAGGAGAGGATACGGATATGGAAAACGGAAAAAATACGCACGACACTGAACTGAGCGCGCGTCGCTTTAAAAATCGCGATACAAAAAAATCCTCCTAACGCGTGACCGTCGAACGTCAGCCCGGTTATATTGTACAAACATGGCGATTTTGATTTTTTTGTTTATATATTTTTGATTTTATTAAGATTTTATGGATTTATATAATATGGCGCGTTGCCGCGAGAGACAGAATAAAGAAAATATAGACGTTATTTGTTGGCACGAGACGCGGTCCAGTATTTCGTACAGTCGGTAACTGCCAATAGAAGCTTCGGCGCTTCGCAACCGTAAGCATTTAGTTCGGACCTGCGTATAATTAGAAGGGAATTGGATATTGAGCGTACTTTAAGGCTGATAAATTTAGATCTCACAGCGTAATGTAAGGTTTATATTTCTTAGCGTATTTCGTTTTTCCTTAACAAAAAGTAAGTTTTTTTTCTTGCGTATAAAATCGTCGGCCACCCGGTTCACTAACGGATAATGGATATTGCCGATGTATATTCGTGTTGACTACAAACGTAACTGCCACTAGGTATTTTGCGTTCGTAAACTCTCGAACGGGTTCGCGCAATTTTTATCGGCCATTTTCCAACTCGGCGATAGAAAATCATTCTTACGCACTTTTTTATGAAATAAAAGAAGTTCTGAAAGGTGTGATTGGTACGAATTTAGGTAGGACACAAAAGTTTTGTCGAATAACCGTCATTACTTCATAAAATTAATATAATAACAAAAATAGAAAACACTTGAGGGAATACTTATTCCAGTGGCGTAGGAACTGTTTGTAGTCCACAAGGATACGGAGGCCACCTGAATGACGCATCTGAATGCATGTTTTTCTCGAATTGCCGTCTTTACTTCATATAACAAAAAGTGGCGTCCTGGAAACAACTTTTTCTACTTTTTTATTAGTGCGTTAATTAGAATAATAAAGGCGTTATCGTTTATTGCTGATAAAAAAGACAGCAAAAAACGAAAACACTTGAGACAGCACTTATTCCAAAAAAATAAAATTAACAAACCCGGTGGCGTGGGAAGATTAGATAATAAATTTATATGAAGTGTATTAAAAGTTGTTTGCGAAAAACAGATTTCCGGCAACGTGTTCTACCTAAGCGAGCTTGGCCACCTGTTGTTTTTGAAGCTCGAAGTTTTCTCGAAAATCGGAACATAACGATAATTCTCGATTAATTATTCTGTAGCGTTGCCAACTTGGTCAAAAAACATTGCCTCGTTCCGAGTTAGTGGCCGTTCAACGTCACTAATCCTCATATTTTCGTGTATAATGTGGATGCGATGTTCGATATTCATTTTCAGTTCCAATGGTCACTGTTTTTGTTAAATAGAAAGTATAAATGGGAATTCATAATTAGTTGTACATAGGTGGTAAAAAATAGGTTGAATGAATTTTTAACTTGTAAACGTTCTTCACCCACCACTGTCGAAGTGTGATTCAAACCGACACAAATAATAAGTGCAAAGAAGAGGTTCGTTTCGGAAAAGTATGAGAAGGACGGATCGTTTTCCACACGCACACCGATTTAAAGCGCGTGGAGCCGGTCCAGTCTTTTTTCCTCGTAATATATAACAATTTTTTATATGAAATTTAGCGGTAGGATGTTAAAATAAATCAATTTGGGGCAAACTACTTTTTTTTACTTCACCCTGGCGTCACAACCATCAGGCCCGACGTATCGAATAAAGGTAAGCCATGGAAATAAAAGTAATTACGGGTAAAAATCGGTGTTTTATTTAAACAGTGAGCAAATGTTCATTTCAAAATATAACAGATATGTATCTTGCAACACGTGTTTGGTGAAATTAAGTCACGGCACCGTTAAGTACAAAAAATACAAAATCTTATTACGCAAAAATCAAAAGAAAGTGCAGTGAATTAATTTTTCAACATCCATCTTTGTTACCACACCAAAACAAAGCGGCCGGCACTTACATTTATGTAAAAAAAAAACTTTATTATTTTACACTTAGTTTTGAACACTGTCTAAGCCCAATATTTTTTTTACGTCGTATTTATTAAATCTAGGACTAATTGATTTATTGTCTTAACAGTTCATTGCAATAGGAAGTCTCAAATCACCAAGAATGGCTTTCTACAAGCTAAATCTGATTGCAAAATTTACTAGGCTTTTATAAAACCGTTTTGATACGGGGGTAATAACAGCAACTGTCACTAGCGTTAATGGGGTCTCTATCGAAAAAGTTTGTAATCAATTTGTCAAGTATTTTTTAAATTTAAATGGGTTTAATTTCATTAATTGTAAACTTATTGAGGTTAAAAATGTATCTATTAATTGGTCCATTAACCATTAAGGCTATGACCAAACATTAATAATCTTAAGGATTTTGTAACCTATAATTTTAAAATCAACGTTGCCACTGTCGCCTTATTAAAATTAACGCAATTAATATCCTAAATATTTTGGTGAAAAGAGGGCGGCACTGACCTACTACTAGAATAAATATTTGAAATATGATATTCCAAATTAAAACCACAACAAAACTGGCCTGGCTTCATACTAACCATAAAAAATATATTTGCTATAAAGTTCATCTCAATAAAACAATAAATAACACATTTAGCTGAAATACATACATATTAGTAAACAAAAATTACAAAAACATGACCAGACATTTACTATAAATTACTGAATGTTTTTAATACACTGAGAATCTCACACATGCAAACATAAAAAGTAAGATTTTGGTGTCTATCTTTTTGTTATAAACGGCAAAGAGGGCGCCATATTGCATGCCAAAACATACAAAATACCAAAATATAGATTTAACCTGGCGGTTTTTTTGGGTACATTGTGTATGTCATTTGATCTAAACTGTTTCTCGATTTTGAAAGCACCTGGTAAAGTGACTAAGGGCAAAACAAACCATTTTGAATATTTTAAAGTAGCTACCATGAACATGATATATGGAATAAATAATAAAAATGCATATAAAATATGGGATGCTGTGTGACCAATAATTATAGCCAAGGTAACAATTCCAACCTTTTTATCTGATTCAGCATCTCTAGTATTGTTACTGTGAAGAATAGCTTCTGTATTTAGGGCTAATGGTATTGCATAGTAAATAGTCGCCCATTCAACTCTACCTGTTTGGACCATAAATGCAAAAAGAACAGAAATGGGGCCAAAAATTATTAGGATCAATACGTCCCCTAATGCGATGTATTTGAATCCGACACCTCCAGTGTAGAGGAAGCTTGAAGACAAGCCTCCAAAGTAAACTAGTGCCAAGTGTTCAATTTTTGCTGGTGATAAAGCTCCCATTAGAATAAAACCAATGCACCCAAATAAATAAAGCAGAGCTCCTAGCGAAACTACTTCATCCTTTGTCAAAATATGGTCGACTAGGATTCTATCATCAGATTTTCTATTATCAATGCCTGGAAGGAAGATAAGATAAATGTTCAACTGATAATAATAGTGTAATAGTGTAAATTACCTTTAACATAATCAAAATAGGTATTCACGACATTTCCAGCACCATGAACGCAGATTATTGTAAAGAGAGTGAAAATTAATGTCAAATAACTAAAATCATCTGAGCCAGGATATTTGTGAGCAATGGTGGCACCTAATAAAGTAGGCATAAGACTAGCGCTCCACGACCAGGGTCTTAAAGCTAATACATAGCTAGACAACTTCATCAGCCCTGACTTGGATTTAATAGGAATCTTATTTATCTCTCCATTGGTAACTAACTGGGACACTTCTTGTTCTGCTTGTGACATACTTTCGCGGAAGTCTATGCTCGCTGTGAAATAAAAAACGCAACGAATATTGTATTGACGTAGCAGTTTTCACTTTCAACTTTGGAATCTATCAAAAAATAACGTGTACTTCTTTTAAACATTAAACTTATCTTTGGAGGACATAACCAAAAATTTTGCTTTAATTACGGCCACAGACCAGAAAGTAGAAATTTCAATGTGTATAGAGAGGAAACGCGGTATGAATATGTTCCGTGATTCCAGTGTCGCCACTCTTATTTTGAAGTAAAATAACCTGAATTTTGTTGTTTACTTTTTGTCTGCAACGAACCTACGGTTTTACTTTTAGATATAAATATGGTAAATGTTGCGATTGTTTTTAACTTGATATTTTTGTTACCTATGTCATTTTATTTCGATAAATATTTAAAAAGTTAGCTCTGGTGGAAGTCGTTGTTTTGAAACCATTTTACTTGTTACCCACAGCTTCCCAAATAATGGTAACGGGAAACGTAATTTACAAAAATTATTTAACAGAACGAAGAAAGTGACATTGGGCAAATCATGTATAAATGAGGATTTGAATTCACATTTTTTCCGGAAATCTTTGGCTCTAAATTGTATAAAATTTGTAGTCCGATATCTACTATAGGGCGTTCAAATAAAGTGTGCTGGTTTATTTTAAAAAGAAATTTATTTCTACCACTTTTACATTAACAGTCTATTGAGGTCGCTAAAACAAAAAATAATTGTATAAAAAAAGATACAAAAAAAGTTATATTTGACAATCGCATAACCACTATGTACAATAATAGAATGGATTAGTTAAATCTTAATAAATAATAGACTTTGCATAAAAATTTTAGGATTTGCTCTCAAAATGGTCGGGTCTGTCCTGAAATTAAAGTAAAGAAATTAGCGCACGTCCTTCCTAATCTAAACGATAAAAATATAAATGCGAATTTAAAAGCGACGGGCCCAAATAATAACCGACTGCGGCCAAAGAACTCAAACTAAATCTTAGATTAAGCGAAATTTAAATGCTAGACCCATGCTCCCTACTACCACTCACCTATCTGACGCTCACCCCTCAATTTCTGGGTGAGAATCTAGAATAAACATTGACACTGTGAACAAGAAATTTTTTCCACGAAAATTTCTATGGGATATTTACTCCAATAATGAGAAATCACCATCATTACACATTTATTGGAAATCGGCCCTTACCTGAACGAGAATGCGAACCCAACGACATTGGTGGATGATGACTTCGCGAAACGTGGTAAGGTGGTGGGGGCGTACCGTGATGCGAAGGCGTCCTATGATTTGGGGGCGGAGGGGGAGGCGCCATTATGATATTCAAAGGGGGAGGTGGGTACACGGGAGCGTACGACACTTGTTGCTGCTGTTGCTGGAGCTGCTGTTGCTGCAACTGATGGTGTTGCAGCTGTTGTTGTTGCATGTGCTGCTGCTGAAGTTGCTGAGAGTTTTGAATAATCGTCGCGAGATACGTTGCCGTCACGTTATTTACCGGGCTCGTTTTTATACGGGGCGGGAAAAGATGGGGAGGTGGCGAGCCCGGGGGCGGCGACGGTGGCGGTAAATTGTCCTCGTCCGATTCGCTGTCTTCCGGAGTTGGCGGTTTTTTAATAATTTTTACCTGAAAGCGTCACCCGGTGACGATAAAAACAAAACATTTACTGTCTAGTTCAGTCCAATTTTCTATAAAAAAACATATCTAGCCACTTTGTTGGTTTATATCAAACCCTATTCGCGCTGTTCAAGAAAATATATTTGAATACAACATTAGGGTCAGAATAATTATGACCCCAAGAGTACCTACCAGCAAAATATTCTGTTTCATAAGAGTCACTTCTTTAGCTTTAGTTTAGGGATGTACAATAGTGTTAGATGGATTTTTTTATTTACTTATATGCTTGTTGTAAGCGTGGCTAGTGTTAAGTAATTTTATTCTCTCTTGCGTTGGATTTAAAAAAATACACAAATTTTTATCAACTCTAAATACTTCCGACGAATACCAACCCAACATTTTTACAAATATAAACAATATAATAAAATAAAAGAAAATAAAAACAAAAAACACAGACCTTTACCTTCTTCTTCGGATGTTTCTTGCCCTTCTGCAGCTTCAAGTACCTCTTTTCTTTCGGCAGCTTTTTTCTCGGAGGCGGAGACGCGAGCTCTTCGCCAGCCGATGGTGACGTGCCCTCGCCGGGTCGCACGCCATCGGCGAAACTAACCAATTTGGTTTTCTTCTCGGAGGGTGACGTTGCGTCCGCCCTAGAACCGTTCGGATAAAATTGTACTCCATCCACTGGACAGACAATTAGAATTGTCATTGAAGCGCCCTCTATTAGAAAAAGTCAAAATCAAATTTTTGAATAGACATTTTTAAGTGTTGCCAAAGTTTTAGTTAGTACCAAGCCGTCGGATTGTACCGGGTGTCCCAGTCCCAGTCCCATACGTTTTACCATTGAGTTGGAAACTAATAATAAACCTTCCATTCTTAGATATTCTTATCAATAGAAAATCAGACCTAACATTGGGTCATTGTGTTTAAAGAAACCATACGCACTCAGACCGATACTTTAATGCATCGTCATATCACCATCCGGCCCAAAAATCATCAGTTATCAACTCTCTTGTTTACAGAGCCATAAAACTATTTCAGCCCGAGTCACTGAACCCAGAATTAAAACACCTTACCTCTGCTCTTCTCTCTAATAATTTCCACATTAAAGATATTAAGTGTTCCATCAAAAAATAAACTTCACCACAATCTTCTAATAACAATGAGGCCGAAAGCAATCCTACACTTGCCACTGTGGTCCTTCCTTACATTCAAAACATCACTGACCACATATCAAAAGTTCTAAAGAAATATGACGTCAAAACCAGATTTACCACTTGTCCAAAAATCTCTCAACATTTTGAGATGATTGAGATGCCAGGAGTTTACAGCATTCCATGCATATGCGGCAAAGAATATATTGGAGAGACCGGATGAAAAATATCAACTAGACTCAAAGAACATGAAAGAGCCTGACGACTAAGACAAATAAACTCATCAGCTGTTGCCGAACACACTCATGAAACCGGACACAACATTTTATTCGATAAAATTAAAATTCTTGCATGTAATCAGTTCTTCTACCAACGAAAAATCCGAGAGTCTATAGAAATCTATAAACAACCTAATAATCTTAATCGCGACTCAGGTCTCTATCTGTCACCGATATGGGAATCAGTCATCCGAGACGATGTTTATGCCCCTCATTTAGCTCCGCCCCACTCAAACAATATATAAGCAGGTACAGAGTGAAATACGAGCCAGTTTCAGTCAAGCTCTGAAGAAGTCAACAGGATGGTTGGCGAAACATCAGCAAGTTCGACTCAGCAAAAACCGACGCAGGAGGAGTCCAGAAGATTTGTTAAAAGTATCACAGTAGCCTGTGAAGGTTTCTTTGAAAAATTAACATGTATTTAAATAATTACTATTTTTCTTCGTACCTAACGCGTACTGTTTTTCAATGAGTTTAAATAAGACATTTTGAATGCAACACACATTTAAACTAAGCAATCAAGAGACTTTGACATCTCACTTACTCTTGTTTATTTAACAGTATACTCTTGCCGGCTTCTTTCGCAGTGGTGTTGTGTACGACGACCAACGACAACGGCGGCCATTGAGTGGGTTTGGCCTCAGAATCCTCCACGTCTATGTTCTCCTCCTCTTCCTCCAATTCCAAAGCTTTCTGAGGAAACGATGAACGCCGCTAGTGAGCGCGCCAGTTCAACGACACGACGTGTTAAGAGTTACCTTAATCATGTTTTCCGTTTTAATCTTCAGTTTGGCTTGCCGTTCGTTTTCCTTTTCCATTTTTCGCCGTTCCTTCTCTTTCCTACGCAACTCTTTCTCGTGACGTCTCTTTTCTCGTTCCGCGCGGCGTTCGGCCACCTTCTGCATCAGGGCGGCCTCAGCAGATTGTTTTTCCTGCACCGCGATCGGATCGACCATCTCTTCCGCCTTCTCGATTTTAATCTGCGTATTTTTTTTTTTAATGAACGATATGTACGAAACGAACCGGAGGTGTCACTCACTTTGGGGCTTGGCGGGAAAGCCGCCGACTCCGGCATGGCCAGTATGTCGCTGGGCACGATTTGCAACATGTTACCGACTTGAACGATCTGAGGTTTTATATCATTCATCGGGGCCCTTCCCTCAATGAGAGGAGGCGGCAGATGCATATACGCGGGCGGATCGGGATTCATATATCCCTTCTGTGCATCCTTGAAAAGTAAGATCAGGATCAATAAAACAAAAACACCACCAGGATATCGATTGCGCCGGCACAAGATTAGGTACTGCGTCGCTCGGGCCAGACAGCACCGTACATTTGAACTACTCCTTTTTCCTGACATTATACGCTTATAATGTCTACCAAACCTATACCTACATATACCTCATCCATATATCTCTCCTATATCTCCATATATGTTAGGTATAATGGTATAGACTGGGTGGTGCGAGTTATATTGGAGAAACTTTAACAGCGTATTCACCAGATAAAAGTCCACATAGGCTTATGTACTAAAATGCTTTTATTTCGGACGGAGTGTTGAAATATTGCTTCCAAATTTAAGCCAGTACAACCAGTGGCGTTCGTGAGACCGTTTTAATTAATTCAAATAAAAAAAAATGGGTATACCAATTAGGAGCACATGTAAACGAAAACGGTTATTTTTAGCGAAAAAACAGACCATTTTTGTTTTAAATTGATCAAAGTTCGATCTAAATCTAAATTTAATAATAAAATGACTATAAACCATTGGTGTACCACGAACGCAACTGGTTAAACAAAAACCAATTAATCTATGCTATAAATATGTTTATACGAATAATACAATACGTGTTTTTTTCCAATATTCAAACACGGACCACCCCGTGTATGGAAGTATGTCAGACATACGGAGTAGTTGAAATGTACCGACCTGTCTCATTCGAGCCACGTATACCTACCTATTCATAAGGCATCTGCCACAAGTTTATTTTTTCTCGGTCCTTGTTTATAGAATGAAGGATAAATGCCGACGAACAAAATGAGCGTTGGGACAACTCGATTGGGTGGGTATAAGATATATGATAAGTATGAAGTGCTTAATGACACTTGTGGTTTTTTCTTACTTGGTTCTCCGCTCTGACAGAATACAAACGCTCCGTAGTTTTGCCACAAAACTATAATCATTTCCTTTCTACCGACTGATCCATATAGTCTATTTCAATGTGGTGTAGAGTAATAAAACTTCATTAGGTAGGCAAGTGATTCATTGAATAATTAAGCAACTTTCATTGTATGTATGTATGTATGGGTTTTTGCCTATTCTCATCCATTTACCATCACTAAAAATGGCGTGCCAAAGGCGTCGCGCTAGGTTATTCGTAACAATGGAAGAATTTCAACAGAATAAAAATTGAGCATAATGTACATAGTATTTGGCAGCACTATTATTTTAACATTATTCAAGAAAATGCATTATACATGAATTAGATAAAAAATCATAATATTCTTGATGATCTCAGGAGATCTCATTTCCTCTGGTCAAAATTATCAAGTAATCAAGATCCCACATTGTCTCCTTATCTTTAATGACACGCTGGACTGCTTTTCGCCAGTTCTCTGGTATCACTTCCGTAATTAGTTTAAAATAGATATAGATATAGCATTTCACCCAAATATTTTAAAAACCGTAGAGTTTCCAGCTCCAAGATGGTAACTGGTCAAAAATGATTAAGCGGATTTACGATAGGGTATGAAAAATAATTTTATTGCCCAAAGTTTACCTACTCCTATAATCGACATCGAAGTCATGCGCGACATTCGTCTGTGTGAATATTTTCTTTTGTATCAGCCGCCTCCGCCTTGATATTCAATATGGTCGCTGACAGTCCGTCGATTTTACAGGTTCTGTACGCAAATGTCATGGGGTGCATTAAATTTACGATATGTATGCGATACTGTTGTGTGCTCACTAGAACCTGAAGAAAATTTGCAGAGACGGTCGAGCGGTTATGCTCCTCGGAAAGGATCAGCTCGGCTTTGCTACTTGACTGCCGAGAAACAACGATAAAACTGGCGATATGTATTTTGGACCGGAACCTTTCGTTGAAATAGCATACAGTGTACTGAAAAGCGAACTGAATAAATGATTCGGGAAGTATTGGGAGTTGTACTGAAGTGGCTTTTACTTGATGAAAATCCATTTAAAATCGTTAATTATGCACAAACGTTGTTCAGATTTTCACATAAATATATTTAAATGACAGCTGTTTCGGCAACACCGTACCTTTATCAAATGCGAATATCAAACGGAACCAATGTTTATAAATACAAAACAGGTAGTAATTACTTATGTATTAAATTGAGATTTAACAAGGGGGATCCGTTCAAATCCAGTTGGTCATTAAGTAATACATTCGAACCTCTCATTTTATTAATCTCCATAGCTTCTAGTAAATTTAATTTTCTACTTTTTGAAACAGTGTGTAAATTATCGAAATTGTCGTCAAAATTGTGTTTTTCTAAATTTAAATGTATAGCGTAATTAGAATGTGAACTATTGTTTTTAAATGATCGTCGATGTTCGTTGATACGTTTTTTAAAAGATCTAAATGTTTGTCCAATATAAATCTTAGAACATGATCCGCAATTTAATCTATAGACTCCAGAATTCTGGGATCTATTAGATATAGATTTATTGTTTTTAACACTCGTTTAGTGTAGATAGCGAGGATGCGGTGGGTCGCAGATAGAATAGCAACGTGTAACTCTTACCTCAAGTTTAAAGACGGGCACCTCGTCGCTCGGGACGATCTGCAGCATGTTGCCAACCTGCTTGAAACACGCTTGCCCGAGCCGGGCGACCTCCCTGTTGACCCTGAAGCCGACCTCAGTGGGCAGGGGCGGAGGAACGTTCGAGGAGTAAGCAGCGACGTACTGATGATGGAGATCGGGCGGACGCTTCGACGGATCGACCATGTAATTATTATATACGCCGTATTGTCTCGGTCTCGGCGAGCTCGGCTCGTCCAATCCCAGCACTTGATTAATCCTGACGTCTAACGGTATACGTTTCGGCGAATCGTATTCGTGGTCCTTGAATCTGTTACCAAACATCAGCTGCTGCACCGACGGATTGATGAAGTCTTCTTGGACGGGTGCTTGCAGAAGCAAGTCGTCGCTTATTGTCGAATCGGCGACGCTGCGCTTCAAACCTTCGTACGGAGACGCGACGGGCGACTTTTCCCTCTCGACCGCGGTCACGTGGTGTTTCGATGGCGCGGAATTCTCCAAAGAATCGCTGAGCCTTCGTTTCGACCTAGGCGAGTTGCTTCTCCGAGTCCATCTCCTCGGCGACTGCCTATCGACTGTACCGCCGCGTCTTCTGGGCGACGAGATTCTTCTCCTCGGCGACAGACTTCGGCGTCTCCTCGGCGAAACGCTCCGTCTCCTAGACGGAGACTTGCGCCTCGGCGACCTCCTAGGCGAGGACGCTCGGGGCGACCTGCGTCTCGGAGATGACCTTCGTCGCGGCGACGGCCGTTTTGGAGAGTGCGGTCGCCTCTTGGAATGTCTCGGCGACGATTCCCGTCGCCTAGGCGAACAGGCGCGGCGTCTCGGTGACGGAGCGCGTCTCTTCGGCGACGATCCTCGTCGCTTGGGCGACGTATCCTTTTTCCGAGTCCTGGGCGACTCTTCGCGACGGCGCGGAGACGAGTTTTTCCTCTCGCGCTTAGCGGAACTATCTTGTCCGCTGTCGTCTGGTTTAGGTTCGGCCGGCACTCGTATCTCTTCGAGGCACGTTTCTTTCTGATTCTTTTCGATCGGCGTCTCCAATTTCTTTTTTTTCGTCTCTTCGACCGCGCACGCATCATCCTCGTCCGATTCGTTCAAGTTCAGGCCCGAGTTCGGCAGCAGTCGTTTGCTGCGCAGCGTCAGGGCCGTGAAGGTTAGTTTGTGATTGACGACGGCCGCTTCTTTCACGACGTCGCGGGTGAAGCCGTCCGAAGTGCTGTCTTTTAACGACGGCGAATTAGAATTCAAGGTAGGGGGCGCTCGTGGATCCGGGTCGTTGACCAAATCCGAACCCCCCGTCGTCGAGATTTCCACGCCCGCCTTGGATACGTTGATGGTGGAAGTGATCGGCGCCGCGATGCTGGACGACGTCGTCGTGATGTTTTGCGTGACGTTCGGCTCGAAGCTCAGATTGATGAGCGGTTTGCTTGTGTCAGCCGGCGCGTCGGCCGACTTGGGCAACGGTTGAACTTCGATCGGTAGTGGCGGCGGCAGAGGAATGTGCTTCAGGAGGATATCATCGGTGGGCGCACTCGGCACGACGTTCAAATCGGCAAAATTAATCATTGGTTCTCGTTTCGGCTTTCGGAATTCGTCCACCAGCGTTACGGACGAATCGGAGCTGCTCTCGATCACTATGGCTTCCTTCGTCTCAGACGACACGGCCTTTATGAACTGCTCGTATTCGTTTTCGAGCGCTGCGGACGAATTGTTCGACGAGTTCATGCTCACGTCCGCCGTCAAATCGACCTTTTGCTTCGGACTGGACACCTTTCGGTCCCATCTGCCCTTCTTCCACGACTTGTCTAAATCGTTGACGCTCGAGTTCGCGCAAGCCTTCCCCCCGCTTTCCCCTTCGTTTTGTTGACGTTTTACGGGTTCGTGGGAGTCCGCCATGACGCGCAAAGTTTCCGCTTCGGACAAACCTTTCTGCCGTTCCAAACTGCACGCCTCGTTTATCATTTCGTCGAGTTCGCTGTTCTCCACTATCATCTCCCGTTTGAGGAAAGGCCCGATGTTTAACGGAATCTCTAACGAGAACGAGCTGCGCGCGGGCGACGTTCGCCTCGGACTCTGTATTTGGGCGACTTGTCTTTCGAAATCCTCCTCGTCGCTCTCCCACGACAGATTCATGAGCGGCTTCGGTTCCGCGACCTGTTGATCGTCCTCGCTTTCCCAAACCAACCTCGAGTCCTCCTCCCACTTTCTTTGACATTCTTTAATGTCGGGGGTGGTGGTTCTACGATAATCCTCTTCTACTGCTTCCGTTTTGAAAGTAACGAGTTCCTGATCTTTGGCGTCCGGCGTATCGCACGATTTCGCGTTCTGGTTGCATTTCTGCGCTAGAAACTCGGCCGCCCGTCGCTTCCGCCTGTTCCTAATCTTTTCCAATTCCTCCATTTCCTGTGCGCGTTTTTCCATCGTTATCTCGTGAAACTCGTTGTAAGTCCTGACGAGTTCCTTCGCCTCCTTCTTCAATTCTTCGATGGTGCCGAAATCGCTTCTCGTTGAAGACCGTCTTCGGTTTTCCTCTTTCGAAGCGATCCCCTCGCCGCTGGATGTTCTGCACCGCTTTCCCCCTTTATAGTACCGTTCTTTTTCTTTTCCGGTTTTGATTTTTTCTATAGGCGCCGCATCGCTTTTATGCCAACCTTCCGTTTCTTCTTTCTTCTTGAGCATCTCCTGTTCGCGTAAATATTCCTGATTTTTCTTTAAAAGATCTATTTTTACCGCCTCCACTTTCTCTTCGCTTTGTCGAGAACCTTCGTCCCTGACGCGCCTAACCAACTTCGGTTTTGCTTCTTCGTCGGAAGATAAAACCGCTCCGGTGAGGACCAGGTTTCTACCTTTCTTCTTCGGCGATGATTTTTCTTCAATTTCTTCTTCAAACGGATAACGAACAGCTTCCGAATCAGAAGCTTTGTCGCCCGATCTTTTAGATTCCAAATTGCCATCATTATCTACCCGTTCTTCCTTCTCCTTCTTTTTTCTTCTATCTTCGGCCGAGTCGTCGGAGTCGCTTCGGCTCTCGTCGCTCGTGCGCCGCTTCCTCTTTTGTTTCTTCCCTGATTTCCTTTTCTTGCCTTTTTTAAACTTCTCCTTCTTCTGTTTCACTTTCTTGGATTTCTTAGCATTCTTATCGTGGAAAGGTTCGTCCCTCTGCCTTTCCCTCTTTTTCTGCTTTTTGTCTGAGCCTTCTTCTTCTTCTTCTTCATTTTCCAATGAGTCAACGGAATATTTCTGGTCGTTGCTGTTGCAGATGTCCGCCAGGATATCCAGTTCGCCGAACTCAGCGGCTGCTTGTTTCAAGGACGCCTCCAGTAGCTCGATCTCCCGTTTCGTCTTATTATATTCGTCTTCTTCTTTAGACACATCAATACTGGTCTTCCGCTTCAAGTTTTCAGTTTCTTCATTCGATTTCTGATTCGCGCCTTCTTCCGTATCATCCTCGTCGTCGGAGTAGGTTTGCAAGAACGAAAGTCCGACGGAATTTTCGAGCAGTCTAGCTTCGGAATTTTCCTGCCGCCTCCAGTTGCGCGGGTACCATTTTCTCGCGTCGATTTTTTTATTCGCGGGTGGGCATCGTGGGGCGGAACTCCAGAATTTGACCAGCAACTCTTTCCTTTCGGCCGGCACGACCGCGGTGATCTGTTCCTTGGTCAAAAATCCCGGTTGGGATTTGCGATGATTCCTGCTGTAGACGATTCGGGGTTTGCACGCAGTGTATCTAAAGAAATGGCGACCCATGGGTTATGTTTCTTTTTTCGGAAAATTTCACTTTTTATTATTGTATAAATACTTATCATGTACTTCCAATTTTTCAAAAATGTGGGATGCTAAATGTCAATCAATTATTCGGTTTTTGGCTTTTTGATTAGAAAAAATGAACAAGTAATATATTTTCGCTCGTTTTTAGTTTTATGATTATGTAATATGTAAACACTAAACTTTCAAACAAAAAAAATCTACAACATATTTTGCTAGCAAAATTGCATCGTGTCTTGGGGGGGGTTTAAGATCCCAATAACGAAATGACACTGCGAAACAATAATATTACAAATCGAAGTTTAAAATAAGGAGAATGTTTCTATTTAACTTAACACTTACTGCAGAAATTCAAAAGGCACAACATTGGGATCTCCACTCCTTGGCATACACTTAAACGTCTCCATGCGAGGCGAAGGAGTTTCAAAAGCATAAAAATCTTGAGGACTAAAAGGGAGCCAACCATTAAACAAGGTTTTTTTTATTTTTACATTGAATGTGTTACATACTCCGAGCTTTTTGTTTTCAATTGCTTGAATAACTTTGATTTTAAATATGCGTCTTTTTCTGGATCCAAATTTAATTCAATATATTCAGACCAATTTTTCGGATACTGCTTGGGCCCTTTATCGACCACCTCAGTTTTGCCAGTTCTAAATTGCTTTTCCGGAGACGGGGACCTTCTTATGTTAGGATCCAATTTTCTTATGTTCCGACATTTAATCTCCCTTTTTTTAAACTGAAGTTTTTGGTCATCTGGAATATTTCCACTTATTGCAATCTCTTTCAGTTTAGAACAGAACATAAACAGGACAATAATGGTTGACTAGATATAGATTTCAGGTTCATGTTAAACTATTCGCATAGCTTGTGTTTTTTTATATGGGGGCTCACCAAAAATTACTTCATAGAATGAATGTTACAAGCACAAAAGAGGACTAATAAATTTTTAAATGGTAAAATAGTTGCTTTTCAATTTTATCCATCCATTTTATAGACTTTTAATGTAAACAGTTAATGCAAATCATTTTACCTAAGTTTCTCGATTATCATTACTGTTGCCATGTTTTACACAACACTTATTTAACACTTTTCATGTATCACCTGCCATTGATCAATCCTAATTAACCTTATCTTAAGGGATACACGACACTTACGTCAACATATTCATACTTTCCGAGACAGCATATTTAGGAAGAGTGGCATCAAAGAAGAAGTGAGAAACATGACATTGGTGGAGCTTCGAGTGACCATTCTTGTTCTGTTTATGTTTAGAGATTAAAACTAAGTACCTGAAGAAGATGATTGTGATCTGGCTCTAGTTATAAACCCAAATTTGGCAGTTTGTATGGTGTCAGTTTTGATGGGTGAGAGAGGAAGGTGGACAGGAGCAAATAGTTGATTTGGTTTTGTACTTAATTGATGTTCCTGTCTGGTACTCCCAGCAAATCCTGCCTTTTTTAAGTCTTCAATTTCTTGTATTATAGCTTTAGCAGCATCCTCAGGATAAAGACCTACACATTTAATATAATAATAGTTACACTGCCACATTAACACACAGAATTTCTTTAAATTTCAAATTTTCAAATTCAATAATTCCCTTGATATCTGGAAAATTTATATTCAAACTAACCTAGATTCAAAAATCAAAAGAGGTAAATTTTATTTAGCAAATTAAACTAAATAAAATAAAGACAAGAGGGAAACAATCATGCAAGTTTTCTAACCTTTCTTGAACTTTTTTAAAGAACTCTTCGGAAGTTTTTCTATATCAATATTTGCGTTATTCTCTTCGTTTATTGGGTTGCCTTTCAATATCTTTCTATAGGCCTGCAGCCGCTTCTTCGCAAGCAAAGCATTTTTTGAAGCAGACTTTAGATTCAAATCATTGTCTGTACCAGTTTCAGTTGGTATATCAAAATTGTCATATAAAGAAACTGAAGAACTGAACAAGTCATCCCTTAATTCTACATTATTAGGGGAAGACAGCGTCTCATGATTAACTAGAGCTTGGTTGCATCCACTCAACAGATTATTATCCATTTTTAAAACTTCGACCTAAAACTCAAAATAAAATCCGCCGAGTCTTTGCGATTGTGCCGGGCTTACCTTTTTAGCAAACAGTGCATATTGGCTATCCTATTCAAGTCGACATTGCTATATCGGCACTCAATAAGCAGATAGATATTTAGCGGGCTTTTATTACAATTTTTTTATTGATGTGCATTATACAACGAGTTTAACTAAAAGGGGTAGAGTTTTATTTTCGATGTATGTGACAAATTAATTTCCTAAAAATTGAATTGATAATAATTTAATAATTGAATAATTGAAAAATTTGGTTGACAATCATAACATGGATAGTTTATGAGAACTGAGAACACGAGCCACGAGAGACCTAAATCAATATGTAGGGATTTTATTGATAAATGGAAAATAATATCTTGGCAACAGTGACATGACATGACAAGTTTCACTGTTGGTGATCCTGCTGCGACTCCAGCGACATTTGACAATTACGTCCATTTTGAAAAACGACGTAAAAGGAAAGTTGTCAATAGCCATTGCCATCCATATTGATAATATATTTCCTATGCCTGCCCGGTTATAGAAGTTTGATATGGAACTCGAAAACAAAGTAAGTATCTGTTTATAATTTGTAATGATCGTACTTTAAATAAAACCTTTCTCAGGTTCCCGTATCAGACGACGAGGAAGATTTGGAAGCTTTACGTTTAGCTGCTCTGCAGTCTCTTAAAAGAAAAGCTGCTGGATCAAATTGTTCACAACAAATCAGCGAGCCTAATACGTTTGCGCTGAACGAGTTTGGATTTCGTGCTGGAATTAGGTCTCATAGGGGTTTCTCTAATAAGCGGGGGAGGTATTTTGGAGGCAGGGGTCTTAAAAATGTAAGTTGATCTTAAAAGCAAAGTAATCTCTGAGTAGCACTGGTTTAATTTTAGGGTCAATTTTTTAATGCAAGGGTTAGAACCAGCAACCTAATTTCCATTACCCCTGTGAGTTCAGAAGAGGATAAAGTCTCTGAAAATGCTGATGACACTAGCACAAAATTGATTCTTCCTCAGGATAGATACTGTAATAAAAGTAAATCTGAAGAAAAGCAAGATGAATCATCAAGTAAATTTGATAGGTATAATGACTCGGATGAATCGGACGAAGAATCAGAGGAAGAGCTTAGTTCGCAATCTGAAGACCTTAGCCCAAGTAAATTAGAGAGGTCAAAGAGTTTAGAGGCATTAATGAAAGAACTAGATGATGAAATACAAGGTACATTAAAAAGTGGTGAAAAAGAGGATAAACCAAAAGTGAAAACAAAAAATAAAAAAACGAAAGAAACTATGAAAGAGGATGTACAGAATGATGAAGCTGCAAAGAAAAAAACAGTGGATACAGAAGTAATTTCTGAAACAGAAATCACTGAAGGAAAGAACGAAGTTGTTGAATCCAATGCATTGAATTCTGTGCCAAATGAGAGTGGACCAAAGCCTAAAAGGAGAAGGTTGTCTCCAATTGAAAAGAAAGAATTTCATTCTAGAAATATGCAAAGAAATGTTCACAGTTACAGTAGACCACAATATTTGCCCAGTTTGCCTGTACCTTTTCCTTCTCTTGGTTCAAATGTCCTTCCAATATTTAATCCAAACTTGGCGCCTCCAATAGTAATGGTGCCACCATCAAATCCTCTATTTTATGATAGACCTCTTTCACCATTGTCATTAAATGCTGACACCTTACAAACACAAACGTTGGCTCCTTTGTCTCCAAGAAGTGCTGCTTTTGTATTAGAAAACAGAGCCATTATTGAAAAGAGGAAAAGGTCCCCAAGGCGTTCATATTCCAGGAGCTTGTCGCCTAGAAGCAGATCTATGAGTCCGAGATCACCTAGAAGGTCTCTAACGCCCAGAAGAAGATCACGATCACCCAAAAGAAGAACTTCACCTGCCAACCAGGCTCAGTTGCCTGCTCCCAGAGGGTTGATTTCACCTAAGAGAAGACTTTTATCTCCAAAGAGGAGGTCATTGACTCCAAAAAGAAAATCTCCATCTCCACGAAGAAGGTCACTGTCACCCAGGCGAAGATCCACATCCCCAAAAAGAGGGAGTAGAAGAGGTCAGTTGATATGATTTTCCTACCAAAAACTTCTTCAAGACACACTTATTTGCAACTACAACTTTTTTTTTCAGAACTTAGAACGTCACCCAAACTTAAGCCACACATTAAAGAACGTTTGGGTTTAAAATCCCAACAAAAACCCGAAACAAAAGTAGACAAAGAAAAAAACTCTTCAAATTCATCTCCTAAAAAAGAGGAAAAACCATTGGACCCTGTTCTGGAGGCCAGAAAACGTAAATTTGAGTCGAAGGAACTCAGGGTAAAAGAAGGAGTTATCAAGTTAAAACCCAAAGAGGAGACAAAGGTTGAACCACCTCTTGAAAAGGAAGAAACTAAATTATGTAATGTTACTGAGAATAATCCCAAAGATGAAGAAAATGCTGATGTCAAAGAAGAAAAGCTGGATGACTTAGAAGAGTTTAATGAGGATTCACTTTTGGAAGATTATGAATTAGATTTAGAAGCTAAAGTACATCTGTTTTCCGATGAAGAGGAGTCAGGAAGTGAAAATGAAGGAAGATTTAAGGAGAAGGAACACAACAACATCAAACCGCCCATACTACCATTCTCCAAGTTGCTTAATGGAGTACAAAAGGATGTACAGAAACCCTCACCAAAGTCAGAAAAACCTAAAAAAGAAAGTGTGAAAGAGAGTAAGGAAACTTCAACATCTAAGAAGGAAAATGAACCAAAGAAGATGGGAAGCTCCAAACCAGTATCAAAAAGAACCAGGAGCTCACCATCACAGAAAAGTCAGATTGTGTTGAAGTCAGATAGGTACCCTCCAAAGAAATTTGATAGGAAGATTGAGATCAAAATAAAAAACCCTTCAAAATATGAGAAAGGTGCAAAATCTAAGCAGACCAAAGAAACGGACATAAAGGTCAAGGAAAAATCATCAACCAAGTTAATCACAAAAGATGATGAGTATGAAAGTATTGAAAGAGAGCCTGAAAAAGATGTAGAGGTAGAAGAAGTAGCCAGCTGCAGTGAAGGTGAGTTTTTGTATAGTAACTATGATTTTATAATGTTCGTTTGTTTAGTTGACTTGAGAGCTCAGCTGAGTAAGAAAAGGGCGGAGAAAATGAATAAGGTAGTCGCTCCAGAGCAGGTGCCCAGCAGGCTATTACAGAATGCCTTGCAGAATGCCCTTCAGAAAACGAGCAGATCAAAAGGTCAAGAATTTTCGAGTTCTGGTGAGTTATAAAATGTAATAAATGTGTAATGTCCTTTTTGTATTGTATTTGTTTTAAATGTTTTTTTTTTTACTGATTAACATTATAAACTCACTCATATTGAGGCAATTTAGATCATTATTTTTTTGAAAAAGTCTACTGGATTTTTGCAGCTCACTTCAGTGACGGGGTTATTTTGGCTTTCCTGGTTTCATTTAAACTTACAGTTTCTCTCCCCTCTAGAACTGGCATCAATCAAACGTTTGTTCATTGCCGATTTTATCGCGAGTAAATTGCGGTTGACTGTTAAGTCAGAAAGAAGTGTGATGCTCTATCACAGTGGAAATTTAAAATTCGGTTTCAAAAGCAGGGCGTCGGCAGGTATCCATTTAGATTATCCTCCTTTTTTTTCTCTCGACCTTTTTTTTAAAGATCGGAATTGCTGAGGAAATCAACGTTTTCTAACCTAGTAATAATGGGCGCTTTTCAAAATACAAAAAAATATAATATAATATAAAAATATAATAATATTCATAGTAGGCAGCAAATGCTGATAAATTTTGAAACATTTTAAATTTCCACTTGGACAAGTCGGTTGACGTTTTGTCTCATCTAACCGTTAAAAATGACATGGAATTTTATGAGCGAATGTTAAAGTGACAGTAATGATTTTTTTTTTTAGCACAATTTAGAAGATTCTTGAATTACGAGATAATGAACAAGTTATTTTAATAGCTGACTTGTTCATATTTAAAATATTTATATCGGGGAAAAAAAACTTAATCACCAAACAAAGAAACCAAAATCTTATAGACCAATAAAATAAGAAACAAAATCCACATTCTCCAATTACAATTATGGCCGAAATGTAAAAAAAATATATCAAAAAGGCAGTTCTCAGACAACTGTTCTAAAGAAAAATTTGTAAAAGTTTTTCCTATCCAGTTCTAACAAACACCTCTTTTAATTTTATTCATAATGTATAAAATATTTGAATTCAAAAGATTTTCTTTTTTATATGTGTTTTTAGGTTTCTTATTAATGTAATACATTTTCTTTATTGGTTTGTGAAATATATTCCTCAACAGTATCACATGACATAATCTTCGAAGGGTCAAATGAGGCTTTGCATCCAAGTACCTCATCAGAGTCCTCAAAAAATCCCCAATGATAGCATTTTATCCTCCTGAGCGCTGCTTACTTTTTGTTTATTCTATAATTTTTAAGCAAATTTCTTAAGTTGTTTTCACATTCTTCTACAGTAACAAAAAGTCTTTATTGTATTGAACACTCATTTCCTTTACCATAATTTGATTTTTTTTGCATTCTTTTTCATTGGAAAATCTTTTCCGAAATCAAAACAATTTATGTGTAACGCTTGTATAAGACCTAATATTCAATTATCTTCTATCTTCCGTGTTTTCGCCATATCCAATCATTCGCTAGAAATAAAAAAAAATGGATTGAAAACAATGTCTATTTTTTAAAATAAAAAAATGTATTTAATATCCCATATAATTAAATGTGAATTATGCATGTATGTATCTTTTCCTACTTGTTCGTGTCATTTTTCATAATATCACAGTTATTGTGTAATAGTGACCTGCAGGCCTCCTTTACGTTCATCTTTGTTTTGTTTGGCAGGACTTTTTATTTCTTCCACTACACAAAAATTAATTTATATGCGGTACAGTACAAATTGGCTGTTCTTCCTGAACGAAGACTTTTGTTCAAATATGTTGTTTACGTTTTTGTTTAAATTAACGACAAAACCGTTGAATATTGGAACGTTCTATTCAGAAAACGGTAGACATCGACGGTTTCCGTCAATTTTGAAAAGCGCCCTTAATTAACTGTTGCACCGCCGACTTGATTCAAGTACCGATTCGTGGGGCTGTGAGACGCACGCAACTTCTCAGTGATCGCGATCTTTTAACGCCAAATTTAAATGTCGCGTTTTTCCTCAATCTGCGTCACATTTAGATGGAAAGCTGCCTATACATCTGCGTTTGGGTCTTGCCGGCCACACCGACGTATTTTCGAAGCCCAAACGCAAGTCGAGAAAGAGGAAGAGTCGCGAGGTCCCGGAGCAGGTATATACAATTTTATTGCGTCATTCCTTACCCACGTAACAGGTTGTATTTTGTATTAGTGTAATTTAATTTTCTTGTATCGATTGATTGGTGTGGGTGCGCGTGCGCGGGAGAGTGAATGCCGTTATGCTTGACGTAAATTTCTGAATTGCGAAAAAAACTTAAAAATTTATATTTTTCCTATAGTGTTAAAATTGACCCGACCGAAATAGTCTTAGAAATTGATTGTTTGCCTCATTCCGGATGGCAGACCCGAATGAATGTGGTTTAGTTATTGTGCAGTTGTGTAAATCTAGTCAAACGATGGAGTCTGTGATAATGCGCTGCTGTGCCGGATTCTTATACCTCTTTTATATGTATACAGGGTGTTTCGAAAGTTATGAACCAAATTTAAACAGGCGATAAGGGAGGTCATTTCCAATTAAACCGCTAGGGGTGTTCACAAAAAGTGAGGTTGTTTTCGATTAACGTGTTAAAAGGTAATAATTTTTCCATTGTCACATTAAAAATTTGGGATTTTTAATCATTTTGGAAATACTTAAACATTCAAATTTTCCAAATTTCTGCTTTTCACATGGTTGACATATATTCAGAAAAAATGTACCTCGCATTTCTGAGCTGGTATCAACAATCTAAAGCGCTTTTAGAACTTATTTTTTTGCATTTGCATTTAATGTTTCTGAAGGCAGATGAAAAAAGCCAAAAAAAGGCGTTAGCGTGTCTGAAAGTTGCAAATTTATCAAATTGGTGAGCTTCTATTCTTTTTAGTTTTCATGATTCGCTCACTAAAAAATATGTGGCACTGTCACACATAGTTTTTTTTGTTGATAATTTACTTTAATCTTAAATATTTAATTAAATATATAAGTTATTTCTAAAGAGCATAATCCTAAGAAATGTTCAGTCAAAAAAACATGATATTCTGGTTAGGGTAGTCAAGAAAAAATAAATTCAAAATAGAAAAACTCAACAAACCAAAAACTTAAAATTTTCAAGGATTCCGATAGATTCTTTAAATTTGGAAATGACATGCCATGTTTCCTATTTTAATTTGATTGATGAATTTTGGGTGACTGTATATTCGACGCGTGAGCTTATACTAACTGCATGTAGTAACTTGGTTTTTAGGGTTTCAGTACCTTTTTGCCAAAATTTTCTGTATAAGCAATTTATATTATCGCAACATTTTTAAAAATGTAATTGAATTGTAAAGGCTAAGCAAACTGTGGTCATGTTCGGTATGTATTTTTTATAGGTACATATAAGTGCAAATATTAAAAAATGCATACCACTAGAGTATTTATTTATTTATTTTTGATGTATTGTATTCACACTTTTCATAAACATTTTTAAATATATATACATATTTAAGTTCCGGTTCTGTCGAATGCACTAGTATTAATTCCCAAAATCTTCATTTTGACTGTGTCAATATAGTTTAGGGTTATCTGATCATCTGTAATCGTAGACTTAAGTGAGTTTTAAAAAAGGAAACGTTTTTATTCTAATTTGGTGCTCAAAATAACTTAACAATTGTATGTTTGTCATCATATAGGTGTAATGAAACAGAGGAGTGCTCGAAAAAATAGTCCAACCAATATCGGAGTAAATACAGCAGGAAATGTGCGAAATAAAAAATAATAGACTTTTTCAAAGTGATTTTCGTATTAATAGGTTCCATTTGTACCATATAAATTGCATTGAACGTGTATAAATCTGGTTTGTTAGGTTTCCAACTTTGTTTTATCTAAGTACAAAATTATATTAAGATTAAAGTTTAACCTAACCTTACACACAGTTTATATTGATTTGTACATAGACCTTTTTTTGTATATACTGTTGATAAGAAGCAAGTTTTTATTTTATTTACAATAAACACCTATTAAAAAAATAAATTGTTTCATTGACATTTCATGGATATTTGTCTTTCAACCCTATAAAAATACAATTATTATTCTGAGGTATCAGAATCTTCCTGCTGTTCTTGACTACTGAGGTACTGAGATATTTTTTCTTCAAGTTCTGTGTCGTTAATTAAATCTCTATTTGTTAAAGTGTTGTTATTACATCCAATGTATGGGCATTTTGCTTTATTTCTAGACTGTCTGATATACTGCAATATCGAAGTCATGTCATATATGTGCTTACAGATTTGATTCCTAACAGGTTTTTTTATTATAATCTTTGATATGGGATCAATGGGAGCAGAAAATGCATCTGAACATAATAAAGAATCGTCTTGAACTTGCTTATAATTTGCCTTATCCACCTTCTTTTTGGGTTTTATTTCTTGCACAGAAGCACGATTTTTAAAAATCTCTCCCCAAATTTCATTATCTCTAATTTCAATATCAGGCTGTTCCCCCAATTTGCTTTCAAACATGGCATCAATGTCATAATCTTGTCCGGGCTCATTTATGCACCCCTCTAGATCCTTGAAAACATTTTCAATTTTTTTGTGGTTGTTGTCGATGACACAATATTCCTTTCCTAGTTTTTCAAGTTTCTGCATCTCCTCATTTTTCTCGATGCCTTCCAAACGACTTACACATTTTTTCCATGTATTTAACGAACCGACACACTTTCCCAACAACGCATAGTACCGCTCATTAAGCGCCATTTTTCGCAATGAAAAGACTTGTTACTTTCACATAGAGTTGTGTCAATCGTCATTGATTCGGTTACTTTGATTCAATCACTTCACAGGAACGAACGACCGAATCCCGTTTGTTCGTAACGCTTCGATCACCTACCTTGTTCGCTCTCGCTGCCGCTCTAATCGGTTTGAAGTAACCGAATACAGGACGACCGATCGACCGAATTCGCCGGAATACTTTGAATGGTTTAAGATTTAAATGCATGACTGAGACAGGTCACGGAAAATGAATGCGGGTATTGTTATAATTATTCAATAGTATTGAGTTGCGACATTGATCTGTAGATTTGCTGATGTGTTTACTTTAAACAAACTAATGTATTGCTGCTACAAGCTAATACGTAGAACCTATTTTGATAAAATTATGATTCAATAAAATGGAGAACACAACTAAATATTATACTAACTAGAACAGAAAACATAACATATACATACACACAATAATAATTCAAATTCAAATGAATCTGAAACGGTCATTCGGACTGTTCGGATTCAGTGACTATTACCTTTTCGAAATTGGTCACTGATTGATTCGGTCTTCGTAAAATGAACGATTGACACAACACTACTTTCACACTTTAATTCAAAAATGATAGAAACCAATAATAAACATCTCTTCAGACTTTATTTACATCATAGCAGAGACCATAGAATAAAAAAAATACAGGAACAAGAATGAGCCCTCGGCAATTCTGTCAAAATTACTACATTTTTAAATTGATTATGCGTTTGTAAAATTATACATTCAGTCTGCCAATATTTCTTATCCATTTTTTTTTTACTTTCCCGAAAGGTTCTGTAATCCTTCCGACATACATTATAAATCTTTTGCATACGCTTACGCAATTGGTTGTATTATTCACCTTACAAAGATAATGTTTAAAGCAAAAACGGCGTTATTGTGCAGGTACACTAGAAAATAGAAACAAGCCTTTGTTTTCTCTTGATGAATAGAAGGGCAAGTAATCCAAAAAAGCTTCCCACCATGGTGGGGTTTTTATCCATGTTACGTACACGTTGCGTGTTTTATTAAGTTAAATATCAGGTCACTTTAATGGGAGTTCAAGATGCATCATTTAAGTAAAAAAAACTGTACACAAATTACAACAAAACTAGGACTTTTTTACCTATAGTAGAAGAAATAAATTAGGTTAGTTTGTTACAGGCGGTTGGCGATTAGGTTATCGACAAACGTTGAACAAGGATCCGCAGAAACGAATTTATTGAAAAAATGATAGTCCGTAGCACTGCGTTTGCGTCAGGAATCGCGCACCTCACGAATTTCCCGGACCTGGGAGAAAGGGAAACTTATGGGAAATTCACTTTGCCATTGGCATTGGCCTATTTGTCTTCCGTCCTTCTCTCGTCGGTATTTAATGTGGAAACGGGACCAAACGACACCCCAGTCAGTTGCGCGTTGCCGAGAGGGTTAGATTTGATTTGTTTGTCGATCTTTTCATCATTTTAAGCTACTTCCCATAGTATATCAGCGAAGTAAGTTATTTTTCCTAAAATTTTCCGCCTGCATTTATTGCTGACACGACTTTCGTCTGTTGTTAAGATGATGACTGCGATGACCAAGGGCTACAAAGTGACCGATGCCGAAAGGAAAACGAGAGTCGGCATCGCGGTGAAGAATTTGGAGGAGCTAAAGAAAAAGACGGTCGACAAGTTTAAATTGGCACATTGTCCCGACGAAATAGACTTTCAAACACCGGACGGGACCCTCGTCGACAACGACGAATATTTTCAGACATTACCCGCGCAAACCCTTTTGATTTGGGTGAAGAACGGCGAACGTGCCGAAACCGACGCGGAGCTGCTGTACAAAACTATCAGGGAGGTGAACGAGGAGTATCTGAATGCGGGCGAGAAGGTCCAAGAGTTTTTCACCGAGAAAATGAAGAACAAAGTTTTCAAATTGGCTGAGGTGTTAAAAGGAATCGACGTGGAAAAAGCGAAATTGAGTGCCAAGATTGATCACCCTGAATGGTTCGAAGGTACAGTTATTTTGTTGGCTATTTTTTTCGAGTTTTTGAAAATATTTTACGGCATACAGTCGGTGAAAAAAGTCGCCGTACACATGGTATTTTTTCAGTTTTCTTTTAGTTTCTTCTTTCACTTCCAATTAGTAAGAAATATATTTTAAGTAAATATCGGCAATCTCATTAAGAGTACTAAAATTGAAATAAAAATCATTTGAGACACTGTATTTGAATGATAAAAAATAAGGCAGTTTTAGAAGCAAGAAACTATGTCAAATAAGTATCCATACACTTTAATAAATCACTATTCAGAACTGCAGGTAGAACCGTTTATTATCAATATTTTATCAAGTCAGCTTGTATCAAATTTTGCTTAAATAAATGAATTATACTTGCTTATTTTTGACCCCACTTTTAAGTCAGTGGTTTTGACGCAAAAGCAAAGTAAGCGCTAAAAATTGCAAAATTCCAAAAGTCATACACCACCACAATCTCCGGATGTTAACCCCATAGAGCACCTGTGGGAAGAATTAAAGCGACGAGGGAAAAAACATCAAGTTACGAGTAAAGAACACCTCAAAAATAGGATAAGGCGAAAGTTTCCTTATTTTTTATCGTTTAAATCAGTGGAGGGGGAAATATTTTTTTCTACTCCCGTCTGTAAACTACCTAATTACCCACCGATCTAGCGTGCGGGAAGCGTCACTTTACCACGTCAGCTTCGTTTGCCACGAATCCGAGTCACTTCGGACATTTCCGGGATTTTACCGCACGGGTTTGGCAGCAATCGGATGTTTTCGGAGATATTTCCCACGCTTTGAATTTTGACGTTTGTCAATTCTGACAGTCATATCAGTGAATGTATTCGTGTTTTGCGAAAATGTACGCAAAAACTAACGGTCGTAGAAAAAGTATAGTATGCAACACGTTCAGTAAACTTTTTGACTCACTCATTTATTAAACACACGCTCCGCTCGTGTCAAATAAACTCCCGAATCACCGTTTGCCCCACTTGTTGCATAATTAAGACTGTTCATCATTAAGGTGCTCATCTGTAATTCTGTTTCTGAAAGAAGTTTTCCTAAGCTTCATTGTTGAAAATATTTTTTCGCATATATAAGATGAGCCGAACATTGCCATTGCATGAGTAATTGATTTGGGAAATTATCTGGACTTAAATTTTTATAAATTTCTAGTAATGGTACTGTATGAAAAGTTTGGTGAAAGTTGAATTTTGCATCAACTTCTTCGTAATTAACATTGAATGGGGTCGCAAAAATACTAAACTCTCTAAAGTCCCGAAATCTCCTTTCAAATTCTGAAGATAGTTTTCTCAAATAAATTTCATATTTTTTAATCTTATTGTTTGATATATTGAATTTTACAGATTGTAATCTTGGAAAATGAGAAAAATCAGATTTAGAGATCTAATTAGCAAATAATAATAACTGTAATTTGAAACTCTTCAGGTATTGCCAAATATCGTGAAGAAACTGATTTTTCCCTACACTTTATTTAAACTTTAAATAAAGTGTTTCAAATGATTTTTATTTTATTTTTATTACTCTTTATGAGATTGCCAATATTTACTTGAAAAATATTTCTCATTAAATGTAAGTGAAAGAAGAAACTAAAAAAAAACTGAAAAAATACTGTGTACCGAGTTTTTTTTGACCGATTGTATGTCAACTAGCTAAGGGGTGATTGATTGTTTTACACTTTTCTTACATTTTGGAAAAAAAGGTGAATACAAAAGTTGTAGGGTTTAATGTGTTAATTTAATATTACATACTTATTTATATACAAGGTACGCCGAAAATGTATTAGCCAAAAATGAAATCGTCACTTATTTAGCCATAGCGTCAGTTACGGCATATCTGCAATATTATTGTTCTAAATTCTATACACAATAATGTTTTGACTTAACGAAAAATGTCAAATATCGTCGTGGTAGATTAAAATTAATAAAAATGCAAACTGGGCCAAATGCGAATATACGGAAATACACAAGGAAGGTATGCGCATACCATCCAAAATTACATTCAAGCGCACTTATACAACATTTCAAAGAAACAAAACTTTCGAGACAACAAACTAAGCGGTGCGTTTTAAACACTGATGAAGAATCGAACGTCCTTTTGTTTTTGTATTACTTAGGTTAAACAACTTGTTTAGCCGAATAAATTCATATAAAATTTTAAAATTTTTTAGAAAATCGATTTAATTCCATGCGAGGTGTGTTGTTTGTTACATAAATGCGTTTGAATCTTATTTTCTATGGTCCGCGCCTATCTTTCCTGTTTATTTCCATATAATCCTGGCTCTATTTGAATTTTTTTATCTACAACAATAATATTTCGAATTTTTTGTCAATTGAAAACATTGTTTTTTTTTTTGTGAACTGTCGTAATTAAACAAAAGAGTGACGGGGGCGTGACGCCATGATGATGCATAACCTACTGACGGTTTTGTCTAATTGTTGCCTTAATGTTAAAAATAACCATAATTTGTTATATATTTCTGAAGTCAGCGCAAAATGAGCTTTCTTTTTACAGAGCTTTCAAATTAAACACTATGCTTGTTTGGCGTACCTAATATATCTATTCATTAGACTTTAAAACTTTTGAATTCACCTTTTTCTTCTAAAATAAGAAAGTTAGAGGGGTGTGTGGGGGGGGGGGTAACATCAAAATACTTTACCAGATTATTTATTGTTATCGTTGACTTTTTCTCTTTACACTTGAGCGATGGCGGCAGCTAAAAGTTTTAAGGGTGGTTTAAGGTACAATCGCCACTTAGAAATATTTCTCTTTCCAGAGCTCTCCGCTTCTTTTGTTTTTTTTTATTTGCAAACTTGTACACTTTTGTTTATTTTGGAGAACCCTGTTTGTTTTCACGCAGGCTTGGGCACTCGCGCCAAGACAAAAGAGGAATATTTGTCAATGAGGGCGCAGGATCGCATCCGAATGTATTTCTACAAAACAAAGGAGGAATTGTTAAAGGCGACCGAGCTACCACCCGGGACGCTGTGCAATTTATTAAACGACTTACAGAGTAAACTGAAATTAAATAAATACCACGGCTATTATTTCGACAGGAACGCTGCTGCTGGAGACGCGAACGTAAGCGCCCTCTGCAATGTGGCGGGCGTATTTACGTGTCACGGACGGTGGGACAAAAACGGTTGTCTTTACAATCCGTCTCATTCCATTAATCCTTATACGAGTCGGGAGGAGAGGATCGTCTTTCAAACGTGGAATCTGGATCATCAAGTCGAACGATCCAGAAGTATCATACCGGCGATACGCGAAGCTTTGCGGGAATCCGGGAAGATTATGAGGGACGAAAAACCCTCCGTCGACATAAAGGCAATTTACAACGACTTGTTTACCCTCAATAATCTAAAGCTGGTACATATCGTGTGCCACGACAAGGGGGCTCACGTGACTAAGAAAGCTGGACCCTATCTGATTACCTAATGAGATTCGACTCGTTGGTAAATAATTCGCCAGACAGATTGATAATATATTTTTCGATATCAGATTTGTTTGACAAAGTAAATAATATATTTTTTCTGGGTTTATTTGGCGTGACTCACTTGAAATTGGTAACAAAAAGGCTGTTTTGCTTAAAATATTAGGCACCTTACAGAACATAAAATATTTTTGCAATAACATTTTAAATTACCCTTGTATAACACAGTTGTTAAACATTTGATGTATTTTGGTGAAAGGTAGGAAAAACCTCGTAAAATAAATAGTTCGTTGTTAGAAAATAATTTTAGCATTCAATTATCAGTAGACAATATAGAAACAATTAGAGCGCCAACTTTAGGAGTTGATATTTGACAAATGATTTTTTTTTATGGATTATTATTTTTAAATTAAATTATTATTTTACTTGATAATTTTTCCGGTGGCACCATTTTTTTTTCAGTGTTTTTTTTAAATTAGTTTGAGTTTTATCGGTGGCTTAATCCTTTTAAATTGAAACGCTCTAAATGTTGAACGTGACAACGAGAATCCGAGAAAAATTGCCATTTAGTTTATACAATTAAGAATAGTGTTTTATGTAGGTTAGATTTAAATAGCATTTTTTTAATTCGTTTCCAAAATTTTTCTTCTATTATCAAAACACCTGTTTTGCTGCCAAATGCGTGCAACAAAATTACTATTTCCAGATTCAAATGGGCCACACTACTCTATAGACGATCTTTCAAAGCGCTTCGAATATACTTGACAATTCAAAGCTAAAAGAACGTAAAAAAAAATATTTCACATTTCACTTTTGATGACTAAACCAAACCGTATAATTGTTGCAAGTTTACAACATACCTTTTTATATTTTTAATAATTTTATTGTAGATTTTCAGTCGCCAGGAAGTAATACTTGATATAACTTATTTAGTGAAAAAAAGGAAACCCCCTCAAATTTTTTTTAAATATTTTAGTAAAATCAGTTAAAATCTTCCATCCGATTATCTTAAAAATGTCTGTCGTAATCTAACAACAATTGGTTAACTCAATTTTAAAACAATGCGCCACAATGCGAAACCCTCTAAATATAAATATATATATATATATATATATATATATATATATATATATATATATATATATATATATATATATATATATATATATATATATATATATATATATATATATATACTACGTCAAGTCGATAATCAGGTAAAACATATCAGTATATAGTATAATGTAATGTGGACTTTAGAGGAACCTTTCGCTAGCTATTTATTTCTAGTGCCCCGCTTAATTGATATAATCGATGCGAATGCGGCTATCGACTTGACGTACTTTTATTTAGCACATTTTAAACAGGGTGGTACTCAGGAATGTTCCAGTTTTTAACGAGTTTTTGGTGACGTTCCCCCGCAGCTTCCACGTATTCCAAAAAAGAAATACATTTGCATTTAATTTAATGAAGTCATCGATCATACATACTTAGGTTAGATGTAATCAAAGAATTACGAGCCCAATCTAGGCAGAAATCTTTTTGTAGAAGGCGATTTTCAGCTCGAATTGATATTCAAAAATCGAAATGCAAAGAACCTGTGAAAAAAAAAACGATTATTCGCTTAAACGCTTGATATAACTATGTAAACGTATTTGTTGTATTTTCCCCATTTAAATGGCTAGTTTATAAACTACATCGACGATGGAGCTTAATGCTATTATGTTTAATCGGGTTTTAACTGTTAAAATAGTTTACAAACTAACCAAAAGACGACTGATTTTATAAGAGCTTTCAATTAGTTCAACTCGGATTTGAAAAAATCTGCCCTTTATTTTTCCCCATATATCGGCAATATTACTACTTTTCGAACGATATACTCGTAGCAATTAGAGACTTGTTGACTATATATATTATATCGTTGAAGCATGTTACAAAAATCGAAGTAAAACTGTTTAGTAGTAAAGTGACAACTTATATATTTTAACTAATTATACGAGATGCTTGTCAAATGGTATTGTGATTACAATTTAGGAGTTACAGTTGCCACAGCTGCTTTGGACAATTTGGTAACGCAGCCCCTTGCTTCCGCAATAATTAGAATAGAATGTAGTAGGGTAAGAGACATATTTAATAACATAAGCGACGCGCTGTGATTATATTTTGACGTATTCTTTTGTCGAAATTCTTCGAGAAAATGTATTTTTTCTAATGTTTGATTTTTTAAAACCATTCTATTAATGTTGTTTTAACCGTTCGGTTTTCATGGCGTTTGAAAATAGGTTAGGATAACTATAGAGGTTACTGTTGATCTCGCCGTTAAGGGCTCGACCTGTACACTATGGAATATCTGGATAATAATCATATCAAGAATTTTATTTTAAGATTTTGCGTTATTGTGTACCGACTGACATAACCTTTCTTGTTTACAATAATAAAGGTTAAAATATCGATGTCTTTTTATTTCCACCCCAGAATCATTTTGCTATTAGATAATATAGGTTTTGTACTCCCGTCCCGTTATTAAATACCTAATTATCTATCTATTATAACGGATCCCAGCCACTTCGGACTTTTCCGGGATTTTACCGCACGGGTTTGGGAGCAATCGGATGATTTCGGAGATATTTCCCACGCATTAAATTTGACGTTTGTCAATTCTGACGGTCATGTCAGTGAATGTATTCGTGTTGTTTGGCGAAAATGTACCCAAAAACTAACGGTCGTAGAAAAAGTATAGTATGCAAGACGTTCGGTATACTTTTCAACTCGCTCGTTTATTAAAAATATGCTCCGCTGCGCTCCGCTCGTGTCAAACTCGTGAGTCAATTGCCCTTTACCGCACTTGTTGCATAATATACTATTTCACGCACTTTGTACATACTTTTTAACACTTATTTCGAATAAAGACATATTTTGTGAAAATTAACAAAGCGTCAGCTGCCATGTCACAAGACCGTCAACGTCAAGTGCTTATAATTTAATGTTTAAAATAAAATTATACTTTTCATATCAACATTATTTCATTTAGGATTAGGTAGTATAAAATTAGTAATTTTAATACGCACTTGAAGAAGCATTACCCCAGGAGATAAGTAAGATAATTAACACTGTTTAAAAAAATAATAAAAAGTTCTGTGTTTTTTACTTGGCTGTTAGTACGTCCCCTGTTAATTCAATAGTGCATGTTGTAACTCTTTCAATTCACATTAAAAAGGGATAAGGTTCGAAAATTGGCTAGATCATCTTTTAGTACTTACTTTCTGAAGGTGTCCAGAGTTACCTATTTTGAGAAAATTCACTCAGTTTCTAGTTTAAATATTTAGGAATATCCTATAAACAAAAACTCAAAAACATATATTTGGAATTCGCACACTAATTCTGGGACTTGTAATAACGACTATTCACACGTTTTCGCAAGTACTGTTTCTTTCAAATTGTCTTTTTTTTTTTAAACAAAAAAAAATAAACCAATTGAAACGTGTAATCTTATCCTTCCTTTTCCTAACGCTTGCCGGTTGTTTACGGTCTGACGTTTCTCCGCCTTATTGTAGGGTTCGTGTTGATAGTATGTGCCCAAAATAAAACTGCCAACTAGATTTTGGAAACATTTATTGCTATCGAGGAAGAAGACAAATTTCGGTACCAACGTTGGAGAAGAGACCACTTGATTATTAAACAACCGACAGGGAAAAATACAGTGAACGAGAAAATAGTGGCCGTGGGCCCTGGATCACTATTAATAATACCTAAAAAGCGCACGGTTATTCATGTAACACGTAATTAACCTAATGGAACGAAATATATGGCTACATTTAAATAATGATTAAATGATAGGTGATATATAAATAAGTGATACTGATAACCTATTTAAAATAACTTAGATTTTCAGGGAAACATAACAAGTAGGTATAAGTGGACAATAAAGCAATACAATTGTTTTAGAGTCGACAACTACTACTTTTTTTATTGGTAGCCTACTTTAAAACCACAACAAATACAAATAATGGAAGTAATGAGTAATAATATAAAATGTAAATTAATTCATAACATATTTAACACTTATATCACTGGAAAATGTGTTCTTAACATTAAGGACAATGATGATTGCGGTATATTTTTTAAAAATTGAAGTTGAAAATAAACACGCAACGGATCGAGGCGTACCAATAAAAAAAAACTATTTTTGCTTTTATCGGCTAAAAATTATTATAACGACACCGGAAGCAGAACTTTTTTTTCCGACCCTCGCAGAAAAGGGTGGTTGTCGCCGTTCGATGTATCTTTGATGTTTATTATTGCTATAATTTAACACCGACCATCCTAAACATTTTAAACAGATCCTAAACAATAACCGTCGAACATATTTTCGACCGGTAAATCATTCTTTGGTTTGACTTCGCCATGCACAACAAACTGCAGCATAGCCCACGTATCTGAAAAAAAAAGGTGGATTTCAGGCAAAAAGGCCTAAACGAAAAGTTAAAAAAAAATTGTACGAATGGGATACATAAAAAGGCAAATATCAATTTGAATATTATGAAGTTTTTCAGTCAACTTGTATTTTGAAATTTCAGAACTGAAAAAATTGAAAATGACGACGCGTGAAAAAAAAAAAAACAAAAGAACGCCCGATGCATAACTGTTCCTCTAGCCGTCCAACCGGAAAAAATTGATTTTTCTGTCCCTGTAGCTCGCTACAAGTGGGTCAAGGGCTGGAAGGTTGAGCTTTTGGGCCCAGACCGTCCCAGATATCCTCCGCAAAGTAGGTCAGCCGCCCAGATTCAACGGCGACGCGAAATCTATCGAACGATCCTCAAAATAAATTCTCCTTATGTCATTGGTAATTTATAAACGGATTTAATCGTCGCTATTCTTCGTGATTTTAATTAAAACAGCCTATACAGCTCCGCACAAAATTCCTAACTCGTATTTGTGTACGGGTTTTGGAGATATTTAAGGTTTAAAGTCTATATTTAAAGAAACACAAAATTTCTAGACCATGCTTATAGATTTTTTTATAGTGACTTTGAAAACTTTGAATAGCAAGGTTCAATATACCGTAGTACAGAATACGAGGGTTGGTGGATAAGTCCTGGAGCTGACAGAAGATTTATTTTTTTATCAGCAACGTATAGTACTATCCCTAGCATGATTTATAAATTTTTGGGTTATTACACTAATTAGTAATGATTTCACAGTCTTTTAACCAAAACACTATTAACATGGAATTTTCTTATAAATGTGCATATTATATATATCAGGTTATATAAAACTTTCAAAAATGGATGGATAACGCGCTGACACCCTCTTAAGCATCATATTCAGTGCTTAGAAGATCGGTTTTTGATTTTAAAAAAGGTCGCAAGAGTGATGAGCTCCGAAAAAGTGACAATACCAGAAATAGTAGAAAAAATCAGGAAAATAGCTGTGGAAAACCGCAGATTAAAATTGTCTGAGATAGTAGACACGGTAAAATTATCAGAAGAGCCACAATATTTTCAATAATATTTTGATGTGTGCCGCCGCGCTTGCTAACGCCTTAGCAAACATTGAAATGGAATTTTTTTTTAAGTGAAAACAAAGTTCTGATGAATTTTTTAGTCGATTTGTACCCATGGATGAAAATAAAAAAACGGTAAAAAATAGTGAACATGCACCGGTGAACCAGCTCCAAACAAGGCAACGGAGATTTTGTCAGGCAATAGGGTTTTAGCGAGGGTTTTCTGGGATGCAAGGTACCAATGGCGACTACTATGCATATTTAGTGGATTGATTGAGCGACGAAATAAAGAAAAAACGACTTTTGGAAACAAAAAATCTTGTTTTGCTATGACATATGATATTTCGAGAAAATTTTTAAGGTGTTTCTTTCATTATCAGGGACTTATGAGTCCATCCTAGTATTTACAAATAACGCAATGTAAACTCTCAGTCTTTCTGCCACGATTTCTAAATTTATTGTAAAATAAGTAGCTCTTAAATTTGTGAAACTTTAGTATAACGCAGTTTTGCGCATTTCTCAGGGGAGTTCGAAAACATCCCAGACAACTAAGGTCGGTCGTAAAATAGTCGCGTGTAACTTCGGTTGTATTTTAATCAAATCCTTCGCGAGTCAAGTTCAATTTATGGAACGTCAATTCTGCGACATCGACAGAGAGATATAAATTTAGGTTACGAGAGCCGGTGGATTTGCGAGGGTCGTCGGGGACCGAATAAAACCCCCTAAAACTGGGTCAGGTCCCGACGAAGGGGCGGACGGGCGGCGACCTAGTTTTGAGTCGGCCCATATCCCGACACAGCAAATATATGGTCCCTTAACGCGGCTTTTCCGATAAAGTAGGTGAAGAGTCACTTCGCAAAAAAAAACTAATACTTTCGGCATTTTCGTTGAATTTTTTACTTTAACGCCTTACGCGATGAATTAATTCGGATGCTCGCCGGCGCTCGATGCTTACTGCCAAGCTTATTAAATTAAAATTAAATATTAAAATATACAGGGTTTTTCAAAACAATTACGGAAGTATTCCTATTAGAAAAACATACTTTCTGCATATTTTTTATTTATTTATTTTTTTAATCGCATCCTCTGTATCGGCTAGTCCGAATAAAACTTTATTTTGCTTTCTGTATAAATAAAAGTTTTCAAAAACGCTCTCCCGAATTTTGAACATTTAGGTGGCGCAGTCGGGACAGATTTTCTAAGTAGTGGTGGACAATTAACTAGAATCTTCTGGGAGTTTCTGTGAAACCGCCAATCGTGGAAAGTTCGAAACTTTTGGACATTCGCTACGTGGATTTTCGAATCCTTCAGCGCACAGAACCAGCAGCAAGGGAACCATAACGACGGTCTACAAAGGTACAACCCGCATGTGACGAGTTGGAAAATTGAGCCGGAAAGGAGACGGAGAAATACGAAACTGTACGTGCTATTTCCTTTTGCCCCTCCTATACCTCTGTATAAGGTAAAGGCACGCCATTAGGTTAGGAAAAAGATAAAATAAAATTTAGAAGAATATTTAATACAAATTACGGTGAAAAAACTTGAAAATAAATAAATGGCTATTTGGAACTCTCGACGCTGACGACGGCAATTAACATAAAGCAGCAATAAATACACTTGAGAAAAACCAAAATAATTTAGCCCAAGAATTAGAACTACAAGTATCTTTATCAAAGGGCATAATTAATAACTATAATAAAACTATTGTGAAATTAAATGAAAATCAACGAAAACCTGGTTTAAAAACATTCCAAAATGCAGTATTAATGACGATAAATTTTTTTCGAGATTATCTTAGTTTTCACGGGATCATTACGCAATTAAACTTAGATTGTCAAAATATTATAATGTTTCTAGACAACCTAGAAGACGTTATTATGTTTGCAAAATGCGCTTCATAATACTATTTTACCGATTTCGGATTTGAATAAAATGCTTAAATATCATCACTCTATACAGAAAATCAAATTCCATAATTTAAAAACATTTTATCCTCTAACCAAATTTTGGGAACACAGGTAAATTTTGTACACTCGAAAGTGATCTTTGCAATCCATGTACCAATTTTAAGATCCGTATTTACCATATTTTCCAAATAATCTAAAATCAATCAATTTTTATACCGCAATACCCTTATATGGAACCAGCGGAGAAGAAGAGACAATTCCTCGCACAAATATATCCAGTCATCGAAGGAATCTACTTTTGTAAAGAAGAAACTCACCTCCGAGATGCATGCGTGAAGAACTTATTTGACGACATAACGAAAATCAACCTGTTCTGCCACAGAAGTCTGAAAAACTGCTAATCAAGTGTAAGGATCGATATATGCAAATCGAAGCACCAGTACTGATTAAGAAACCAGTAAACTGTCAAATAGAAATTAATGAAAAAAAATTCTTCAACGAAGTAAAAATCCAGTTCGGAAAACCAATTTTTTACCAAAAATCCAATTGACGGAAATGAACGCAATGAAAGTCCTGGATACCCCCAGTCTTTCAAAAATAAATAATGACGAAATATACCAGCTAAGAGACTTAGCACAAAAAATAACTCCCATGGAACCAGTGAAAGAAGAAACAAATACGTTCCAAATAATTGTTATTGTTTTTGGAATAATCATGGTTCTAATTTTAGTTTTCATCATTACGAAGCTCTTCTTGGAAAAGGTACGAGAATTGAAGAAAATCACATCCAAAAAGGAAACTTGCCAAGAAGAAAAATTGGAAGCTTTTTCGAAAAAACGTTATTTTCGAAAGTTAAGGAGGGAGGAGTTATATGCCCCAAACTGCAGAGGAAGTCTAAAGCTAAGCGAAGATAACGCCTCGCTGACACAGCATCGAAAGCCCTATTTATTCGATTGTCACATTGTAAAAGTACTCTTAATTATCGGCTAGTTAGAATAAAATTTTATTCTGCTTTCTGTAATATATTTTTTTAAAAACGCTCTCCCGAATTTTGAACATTTAAGTAACATTAAGTAATTCAAAAAAAAAACTTACCGAATGACACTGACAAAAATAAAATTCGATAGACGGGTTTGTTAGAACCTTTTTAAATATTTTAGTTTGGGTGCTATCAAACACTTGTAATAATGTTTGATTCAATTAGTTGTATTTTGTATTCAAACTAACTGAAAAAAAAAAAAAAAACTTTTCCAGGCACTCGTTTTTAACTAGTTCCGCTCGTGCCAAATAAAACTCGTGACTGCTAAAGTGGTGTTTAAGCATCCACCCATCAATCATATTAAACTACTTCAATTTTTTTTTGAGCTTATTATGATAATTTGGTAAGTAGTAAGTTGAAAAGAACTTTATCCGGATTTAACTAACATTAAATGTGTGAGTTACTAATTATTTTTTAATTTAGCGCAACAATTTATATTTATTAGCCAAATTAACTTAAATATCGATTAATGATGAATTTGCGAACAAATAAATTTATGTCTGAAAATGTACTTGGGCTTGTCGTTCAATAAAATTCAATTGCTGTAGATTAATTTGAAAAAACCAAAACAAACCAATATGTCTATGATTATTAGTGTTGGGACTGGTGACTACTTCTTAATCGACGAGTCAAAAAATGATTTAAATAACATCTTGCAATTGTAGAGATATGTCCAGAAATATCCTAATTATTATATCTTGGCACTGCAAAGCAACTTAATTCTTGTTTTTTTTTTTTAAATAATCACTGGTTAATTTTCAATATTTTTATTGATTTGACTGTGTCTTAAATTATGATTGACTTGGACAATAAGGAATAGTGTGCACCCAACTATACTGAACCTTCAAGCGGGTTTATAGTCAAAGGGCTATTTTTACCGAAATAAATAAATCCTTAATGCGGATCTCTAACACCCTTTTCAATCCGTCCAATCCGAGGATCAAAGGAACTTTTAATGCGACCAAGATAAAAATAGTTAATTTCTCCTTTGTGACGGCAATGAATGAGAAAATTGGAAATTATATGCCCCTCGTTGTCCGATATATTTAGGTCGATTCCACACAAACGTGAGGTGTTTTCTATATAGGTTGCCAATCTTCAGGGGGTGGTTTTTTAAGTACCTCAGAGGCCGAAAATATTTATGAAATGCAGACATTATTGTATGTTGGAAAAATGTTAGCAGTTTTAAAAGGTCTTTTTCACTATTGTTTTTGTTTTTCATGCCGAAAAATCCAAGAAAACAAACCATGGAAAACGTAATTTGCACCCTTGAAAACAAAGCTTTGATGGTCTACTTTTATACAGTTTTATACAGTGGGCTACGCAATTAATAGAAAATTTGTTCAATAAAGTGACGGTAAATGCTTTGGAAAAAGCGAATTCGGTATCAGTTTAAACGTTTAACTAGCATACATACATACATTTTCATATTTAATATATTATGTTCCTGTTATTGAAGAGAATTGTATGTTTTGCTTGCTTGCCTTGATCATAGGAAGTTGGAGTTCAAAAAGCTGAGCAGATTATAATAAAATAAAAAAAATGTTAGACCATAGCCTATTATCCGTTAATCTATATAAAACAAAATTTATACCGTTCAGCTTTAGACAGAACAGTGCACCAAGCCAAACGATAAGTCATATTAAATTATCTTTACGTTTTCTTGCATCAGAATTTAAATTGAACATATTGAATATACAAGAAATAAAATAAGAAAAAAGAATGAAATAACGCATTTTAAAAAGAAAATCTCTTCCACTAGCCTTTTATATAACAACATTGACCTACAAACCCTGAAACAATTATAGTTAAATACTAGACATGTGTACTATCCAAGCGTTCAGTTGCTCCAGGTTAAGTTATTTCCTATGCAAAGGTATGATATTGTTTTACTCTTAAACTTTAGGTAAGTTCTATACAAAAAAAAAAGGGCAAATGTTTATATTTTTAATAAAATATCTGTCTAAATGACTTCTGAGTTGGTTATTAGTGATATGTAAATACAATTAGAGATTAATAGGGTGAGTTGCAGTTTGAAAATGTATAACCTAGAAGGGACTAGGGATACATACAGAGTTTCATTGTGCAGCCGAGTTAATTTTAACTACAAATAAGAAAGTCTTTGTATATATTGTAAATTTATTGACCTACCTCATGTTTAAATAGCATGCTGTATACAAGACCACTAGAGATAATATAGTCGGATAGTTTTAATTTATTAATGGTAGGATAAAATTGTTTTCTAAATGGATATTAATCTGTTAATTATTATTATTATTATTAGAAATTCTCAAACAAAATGGCGCTGCTACATCATCGCATCAACCCGCTCCCGTCCACTCACCGTTCTACTGCAGCTTCGACATGAAATTACTAAGGTCGTACTGCTCGTCGTACTGCTTATGGTCCCACAATTCCGGCAGCGATTCGAGAATCGCTTTGACCCCGTTGCTACCTTTCGAACTTGAAGCTCCCTCGTCGCTGCCGGCATTGTGCGAAAATAAGTCCAGCAACTGTTCGGTTCCCATCGTCTCCAACTTGCTGTTCTCGCCGCTTATAACAGTGTTCGCGGTCTGCACTTTGAACTTTTGCAGTCTGCGAAAAAATAACGAATCAAATTTGTACCGGACGGGCAATGTGACCGATGCACGAACCCCATGATTTTCTCCTCCAATGTGGCCCGCGTGATCAACCTGTAAACATTGACGACCTTCCGCTGTCCGATTCTATGCGCCCTGTCCATGGCTTGGAGATCTTTCATCGGGTTCCAGTCGTGTTCGACGAAAATTACGGTGTCTGCGCCAGTCAAGTTCAACCCTAATCCACCCACCTGCGTGGTGAGCAGCAGCACGTCGATTGAAGGATCATTATTGAACCTGAGAAGTAAACGCATGTCGAACTGAGGAGGCTTAAAATAAATAAGAACTAAAAGTTCAGATTTTAACGCAATTATATATTTTGACAACACAGTGTCTTTATCAAATGTATTTGATAATTGATAACAATTGTCATGTCAAAATATATAATTTCGAGAAAATCTGAACTTTTAGTTCTTATTTATTTTGATAAACGTATGTCGCCGGCTTGGGTTATAGTGTGGTATAAATTAGCTAATGGACCTCTATACGGCCGGCTTAAAAATTAAAATTACAGCCATAAAAAAAAATTATTGACCTATTATGATAATTTTTATTTAATTAATACTATTTTTATCAAACTTTACTTTACATCACACCATATTATTATTTTTTTAATTTTTTAAATCAATCATCTTTTCTAGCAAAAACAATATAGTTCTGGCTGCTTTAATCAATTTAATTTAAATTTTGAAACAACGCTTATTTAACGAACAAAAACTAGAATTTATGAATTATTGAACAATTTTTTTTTCATTTTTCAAAAATCCAAAAAATATATATAGGAGAAGTTCGACAAGAGCGGGTTTATATTTAAAAAAATTGTAAACATGTGACAAAAAATAATTAATAAATCAATCACTTGAAAAAACACATTTTTTTAGTTTTTGTCAGAAGACGCGATTCTTTAATTGCCCATTCAAAAGATCCAATTTTCAAAAAAGCTTTCTATGTGGCTTTGGGTGTGGATTTTTCTAAATAATGGTTGATATAGAATACTTTTTGTTTTTCAAATAATATGAAAAATATAAAATATTCAACAACAAAAATTGGCATTCAATGTTACAGAGACACAAAAAAATGAAATTTTTCGGGCTTAAAAGTTGTAAAAAAATGTACGCCTGTGACAAAATAATGGTTCATATTGAATTTTTTTCTTCAGTCTTTGATTTTTATGACCTTCCGTGGAGATAGTATTAGTAAATTACAAAACAAATATTGAAAATATAGTTTTAAAAAAATTAATTAAAATTTGAAACAACGTTTATTTATCAACATTTCTTTAAATGCCTGTTTATAATATCAAAGCGACAAAATAAATTTTAAAAAAATTATATAACAACAAAAACTGGAATTCGAATTTAGAAAAATCGAAAAATATACATAACTGTGGAGAGCCCAGTCAGACTGTCGTTGAAGGAATTGTAGTTTGTGGTAAAAACAATAATCAAAAATCAATTTCCAAAATACAAAAAAATAAATTTTAAAGAAAAAGTTTCGATTTGGTCAATTATTTAAAAAAATATTTTGGTTAGTATTAAATAAAAAAAAACAGAAAAAAATTTTTAGGTCAAATTAAAAAAAAGAAAAAAATACTTGTTGGTTTTCAACTACCAAGCAAAAAAAATCTCAGAAAAACTCTTTTCATGGGTACCAAAATATATTTTAGAAAAAAAAATGAAACAAATTCGGGGTTTCTGTGCGAAACGCTCCATTTCCATCAACAGTATAATTCGAACAGGAAAATCCGAAAAACTCACCTCGTAACCACCGAGTGTCTCTGCACGGGCGGTACGGAGCCGTCCAGTCTCAAATACGTCACGTTAGGCATATGCTTCTTAAACAAATCGTTTTCGATTATGTCCAACATGGCCTTCAGCTGGCAGAATATCAACGCGCGGTGTTGATTTATGATGAAATCGGTTGACTCTGCCGGAAGACCGATCCCGCAATCGTTCAGCAGCTGCTTGAGGGCGGGCAGCTTGGCCGAGTGCGAGATTTCGTTGATCGTCGAGTTGTTCTGCTGCAGCTGCGCCATTATTCGTTGGTACTGCGGGTGAGATTGGTTGAGGACCAACTTTGGATGATTGCAAACGTTCTGGAGATAACGCAACGCCTGGAATATGTGCGTGTTGCCTTGCATAGAGCTTGCACTGGCACCAGACGAGATGGATTCCTACAGATATCGATATCGAGTTTAATATTGCCAAGTGACTCTTCGGTGTTACCGACTAACCTGTAAGGACTGGTGGGCTTGCGACTTGGAAAAGTCTTCGTAAAGTTGCTCCTGCAGCGGACTCAGTTCGCAGTAGTAATCTTGGGTTATTTTCGGAGGCAAGTCGTCCAATACATCTTCTTTCATTCGTCGCAGCAGAAATGGAAGAACTTGTCTAATGCCATGAATGAATGTATGTATTGACAAAATGCGATAGAAAAATTGGGTTATTAAAGTTATAAATAATTCAATAACTGATAAAATATTGTTTTTTTTTTTGTTAGAAAAAACTATACAAAAAATTTGGAGAATTTCCTGAGACAAACGATTTTTGAGAATTTGGCGTACTTTTTTTATAATTGTCAATAAGAAATGCCAAGATCATACATAATTATATACGGGCTACTTTTACATGTGTAGGAATCCTTCAAGTTTCTATTTTTAATATAACCAATTGTTTTTTTTACTTCAATTTTTAACAGACATTTGCGATTTTTTATTTAAAATCTGACAAAATTTGATGAAAAATTATTTAAAAAAACGCAAATGTTTAACCAAAAACATTAACAACGGATAAACAATTAATAAAAATAAAGTGCCTATAATTTCTTTTCTACAGGTCCTCCGAGAACAAAAAATTGACCCACTAAAGCTCGCAACAATTTATGTGTTCAATTTACCAAGACCAGTTCAATTGATCGATATTAAACAAATACACATTTTTCAAAACGGCTCAACTGACCCAAAAATATGTATTTAAGTGCAACTTAGTGGTCAACTAAACAACGTAAATATGTTTCAAGGAGAGTATTTTACATTTTTATTAAAATGTCCTTTAAAAATTGTTCAAGGGGAGGTACATACATCTGTAGGGAAGGCTTGCGAAGAAAGAAATAATATAAACTTGTCATATTATTCTTTCGCTTTGCTATTCTTTTTCTTAAAATGTAGCCGTAAGGTGGCCAATCACTTTTGATATTCGTCTCACCTGTGCAACGCTTCCATCGCCAAAGCGCCCGCCTCCTGATCCTTCGGCGAGCACTTCGGATCCCTGCTCGCCAAAATCGGCCGCGAATACTTAGCAGTGAACTGTTTTTCCATGCCCAAAAAGCCGGGCATCAAGAAATCGAACAGGCTCCACAGCTCCAGCACGTTGTTTTGTATGGGCGTGCCGCTCAGTATGAGCCGGTGGTTGGCCGTCAAATTCTTGATCGCCAAACTCGTTCTCGTCTTTCCGTTTTTAATCACGTGACCCTCGTCGAGTACGACGTAGTTCCATTTGACGTTCGAAAAGAAATTGTTGTCCTTGCGCACGATGTCGTACGACGCGACCACAAGGTTGTACCGTTTGAATTGGTGACGTAGCTTCTCCCTCTCTACCGGCGACCCGTTGTACTGCAGCGGCCGTAAATATTTTTGGCTGACGAATTTTTCCACTTCGTACACCCAGTGGCCGGTCAGCGTAGGCGGACACACAACCAAAGAGGGCAGAGGAGCGCAGTCCGCAGACTTGTTCTCTTTGTAGCGCTGCTCGCGGTAATACTGATCCCCGGCCAAGATGCAAATACTCTGCAGGGTTTTGCCGAGGCCCATGTCGTCGCACAGTATGCCGTGCAACTTGTACTTGTTGAGGAACGAGAGCCAATTCACTCCCGCCTGTTGGTAGCTTCGTAATTCAGCCGCGATCGGTACAGGCACCACGTAATCGGGAATGGTAGATGGCGAGAGGAGTTGTCGGAGAAATTCGCGCTCCTTGTCGCGTTTCGCCTTGAGCGCGCTCCCTTTGAGGGCGACCGGTTCCGGAACGCCCCCGTCCAAAGGCATAAGTTGGACGAGCGTGGCGAAACAGTGGGTACCCATCAGTCTGACGGAGACGTTTTGGTCGGACATGCGGCCCAGCAGGGGCACAACCAGCAAAACTATATACGGGATTATGTCGTATTTGAGGTTGTCGACGACGCACGCTATGGCCTCCACGGCACCCTGCCGGTCTATATCACAGTCGGTGGCTCCTAATTTGGGTAATACCTACGAGAGGGCACCAAGTCACGTGCATCGTAATCATAGTTCGTTAATTAAATATAACCGGAGATTTCCCGCACATTTTTTTTTTAATTGAGACAAATAAAAGATGGCGCTTTCTAAATTGACATATTCACCTCGTTATTGAGTTGTGCGGTTCTGTTTGGAGAAAGTGAGTTGTGAGGGAGTGAGTGTGTGTGTTGATGCTCTATTTGTGTGTGCGGTTCTATTTGAAGAAAGTGAGTTAAAGTACTTAACTTGAGTATTTTCCCTGCTATTTGTGAAAAGTGATTGTATTAATTTTTATGTATTCCCATGAGTTATACAGAAAATTTTAGTAATGACATTTCGGTTAAAACTAAGTTGAATATAAAATGTTGTGTAGCCGAATGTTGAAATCGGACCAAAAGGAGGCATCGTTTTCCAAAGAACTTATAAATTAATTGGATAGAAAGATAACGGCTTGACAGTGGAAGAAACGAAATTGATTAAGTACAAATCTACAAAACATTATTTAGGTTTTCAATTATTTATTTCTAACTTTACTTGTACTTTTTGTAATTAATATTTTGTTAAAACATCAGGGTCCATAGACAGAATTACAGTAATTAAGACGACTCAAAATCAGTGTTTCACAAAAAGTTGTTTTTAACTTTAAGCTCAAAATATCTTTACTTTTATAGATATTGTGGAGATTAATATAAGAATTTTGGAAACCCGTGCACGAAATCTAAGTTCATTATCAAAGATTATACACAACAGCTGGAATTTCAATAGCATTTATAAATATATCCAAGTTTTGAGTGGTCGAATACATCGCTGGCCCATTAGAGTATTTAAAGACCAATTCCAAACATTTATTTAGTCACCTTGCCGTTTCCACTCCATCAGATCGGAGAAAAGAAACATGTATTTGAAGTCATCAAAGCAACCCTGAGGGAGTCCCCTGTCAACTTCTACGACTTGTCAATCGATTGATATCTGTGATTCAGGTAATTACGAATCAATTGAATCGTCTTAATTTTAAAAGTATTTCAACTTAGAACAGAGCATAGGATTACTACAATTTGGTAAAATATATGTAATTTTCTTATGAAGCTGAAGTTATGATGATTAAAATTTTGTGCCACTCAATTTAGGTTGACTTGAGTGATCGTAAAAAGTTTCGATTCGACCAAAGAGTGAGCCGTTTCGGCTGAGCAGTTGGAACACTCAACGGTCTCAACAGTTGCAACACTTCAATATCAGGGTAAAGCACAAAACTCCAACGTGAAACTCCAAATTGCACCTCCCAAGTAGCCTACAGAAATAACAACTTACTCTGTTTACGACCACCTCCATGACTTGCACCGAGTCCAGCTTGGCTAGCACGGCCAGACACCTCGAAGCCAAATGCCTCACCGCCCGATACGGGTGAGACAGCAAGACGCTCAGCCTGTTCAAAGTCTTGGCCATAAGCTCGGGCCGCAGACTATCGTGCAAACTGGGAGCCGTCACCTCGAGCACTTGCAACGCCCATACCAAACGCTCGGCCCGATCGTCGTCATCGTAGCTGGGTAGGTAAGTGGCGAGGTCGACGGTTTCCTCCAACTGCCCGATCGTCAGTTCCCACAATTTGGGCAATTTCGAGGGCAGATCGGGGCCGAAGAAGCTCGCGATTTCGGTGAGCGCGAGCGTCGCGCCGCGACACTGGATCCTATTCGTCCTTTGAGTTTCGTCGTCCTTTTTGAGTTCTTCGGTCTGAGCGTCGTTTGCAGGCGGTCGACCGGGTCCCCGACCGCTACTGTTGGATCGTCTGAACGAAGCGCGTTCCGCGATCCGTTGCTCGTTGACTAACGTCAGTATTCCGCTATAATTGTCCGTTTTGTCATCGCCTTTGTGAATTTGCGGCGTGAATTCCGGATCGCATCGCAAAAACGTGCACAGATTGACGAGGATCTTATCGTTCGGGCAAGGGTCGCGGCCGCGACACTGATCGAGAAGCATCGCCAAATGGCGGGCGGTTATTTTTTGCAAGTGCTCCTCCGGCTCGTGCTTGACGGATTCCATCAGCGGTTTCGCGACCGGGTTCAGTTTTTCCGGCAACGCCCGGAACGTCACGATGGCGCCAGCGATGGCGGCTGAAATCGAAACGCCATCGGCTATATTTCTGTAGCAAACCGACCGAATTAAGATAAAATCGATTGATTTTCATGGAAACTCAGGACGACGCGATAGCGATGTAACGCACATAAATTTCATTGCGTTCTTAAAATTATTTCGATCAAATGACGCAAACAAATTAGGAATAAGTTGGTATTGTTTATTAACAGTTAAGGTTTTTTTCGAAAAAAGTTTCGTGTTTCATGTTCGCCCCGAAAATACTTACAAAATGAGCAGAAGTCTGAACGAATCTGTTAATAAACAAAAAAGTTATGGTTATGGAGGTAAAAGCTGATATTTTTTGATGAATAAAACAACTGGATAGTATGGAAAAATTTATATTGGAAACTGACTGGGGCTTCGTTCGGTTTGGTGGCCGTATAGTCAGAAACACCATTAAGACTAGGAGTGCGACGGGGCTGAATTCTCTCACCTCTTTTATTTAACGTTTACTACGAGTATATATTTCAACAAGCATTAGAGAACAGCGAAACTGGCATAAAGGTGAACGGTAAAATATTTAACAATATACGCTATGCAGACCACACCGTCATCTTTGCTAACATTTCAGAAGGCTTACAGGAACTGATAGACAACATTGTAGAATCAGGGGATCAACATGGCCTGACAATAAATATATTAAAAACAAAGGTGATGGTCATGAGCAGAAATCAAAACTTACGGGCCAATATAAAAATATAGAAGAGGTGAGAAAGTTCTCGGGTGATGAATTACCCAAAACCTTGATCCGGAGGCCGAAATTTGAACACAAATTGAAAAAGCAGAATCCACTTTGTGAGAATGAAGACATTCCTAACAAATACTACCCTGTCACTGGATACTGGATACCGTTTTATGAAAACATACATTTATTCTATTCTCTTATATGGCATGGAATCTTGAACAATAAGAAATAGAATAATGCAACGACTATGTGGATCTTCCCACATAGACTTTTGAATGAGACTGTTATAAGAATGATGAATGAAACGACACAAAATCAGCTATTTGGGACATATATACAGATGAGAAAAATATCAACTTTTGAGATTGATCATGGAAGGAAGGATAGAGGGCCGAGTCTCCAAACATAAGAGAGTGCACAAGATTAGACACATACATGGTATTGCGAACGGTAAGGAACAGAGAAGAGTTTGCCACCATTGTCGTTGACCTTGAGTAATGGAGAAGGCACCTAAAGAAGAATAGCAAAAAAAAAGCAAAGTAAAAAAATTAAATTGTCGTAAAATCATTTAACAATTAAGGCATTCGCTTCGAACTCAAGAGTGGTGTCAAAAATATGTTGAGCCATATATTGATACTAAATTCGTAAAAAATGTCAAGATTTAAAAAAGTCAGTAGCTTACATTTGTTTTGTCAATTATATTCGTAAAGATACCTCCCAGGACTGTACTCGATAATTTCAATCAATTAATTAACTTTTTATATAGTAATAAAAACTCCTTACAAAAATAATTTTTTACAATTTTATTGTGCACAAGAGATTTTGGATTGTTGAACAGAAATTATTTCGGTGCTTTTAATTTATGTTTTTAAGTGTATTGTTATTTTACCCTTTTTCGCTTTTTTGTAATTGTTTATTTTCAATATTTCATTCTTTTTCTAGTAAAATTGTTTAGTATGTATTTAAATGTGTGAATAGTCTTATACATTACTTATTATGATTTAAATGTCAATTAAATTTTCATGTCTTAAAATTTTGTTACGATTCCTTAGTAATCCCAACAAACCCCTAATCTATCATCATTACAATTATTGTCTGGAATTAAATGTGGTTTATTCTATTACCTCAAGACACTAATAAAAATAATATAATATAGATATGTTTTTCAACTTTTCTAAGCATGTTACCGGAATTCGGCATCATTAATGCGTCGACCCACCTTTTGTACTTATGGTAAGTGTTCTCTGCTCCTTCCCAGTTTGCCTGACAGAGTTTTGTATCGCCCTTCTCCGCTCCTCCAGGCTCTCCTGTACTTTGGCTTTTAACTTAAAATTGACTAGAATAGTTTCAGTACTGGGCCCCGTCAGTTGCTCGATGAGGGGTAACGTCAACGGTGTTTCGTTCTGGACATCGATGGGCACCTTGTAGTGCCTCAACGTGGCCAAAAAATCGCGCGTCTCCTGCGCCAATCGCGTGAAACTGTGCGCTATCTCGTCGAAGTAGAGGTTCTCGTCCTGGCACTGGTGCAAACGTTGCCTGAGATTGGGCGGACAGTCTTTTGTTTCGGTATCTATCTTTGCCCATTCGGCTATCACCAAACCTAAATCCATGCATGGATTAATGTCTAGAGAAAAAAGTCCCATCCATTACTGTATCAAATTTTTCAATGAGTTATCAAATAAACGGCCTAAACATTTCCTTTTTTTTTTAAATCTGCTCATAGTCATAGAAGCCTACATAACACAGGAGTTTCTTGACCACAGATGTTAGAAAAGCCCTTTTTAAGAACTCCGAGTGCTTAAAAATGCCTCAAGCCTTTTTGAACATAAACATTTATTTAAGAAAAAATACGGACAAACCACTCCCCCTCCATTTTCCTACCAGAAATAGAGAGAACAGCATTAAACAAAATTTTTTTGTAGAAACAGAGTTTTAAAATTCAATATAACAATTCCGACACCTGGTAGGAGTTTCAGAAACTAGCTAAGAAATTTCCAGCATTTTCTCTTGACCGATTTAATTACTTTTTTTTTTAATTCGGACAACCGGTATATTAAATGTACTATTACTACTTGCCTACGACTAAACGCTGTTGCGCAGACTTCGAATTCAGATGGACCAACAGTACTTTCTCGTAGCAGTCGATGGGTTTCTCGATACCTTGGCTATAATCGATACCGGGCGCAGGTTTTACGATATAACACGACAGTAAACCCAACATTCGAGCGGCCATGCAGCGTACTTGGACGGCGTTCGCTTCACGGATAGCAGAAGGCGTTGTTTCGCTCCCTAAAATAATTGTTCCTAGGTCATCATCAGATCATTACCGTTTTTTTTTTTAAATTTTAATTTTCACCCATTTCACACATTATTTTCCTTTGTTTGTATTAAATAAACCACTACCACGATTGTGACTTCGTTAAGACGAAATCTGACACTTGCAATGAATCATGTGGCAACCCCGCACAGTTAACAATGTGTATTATTAAAACAGTCCTAGTTGGCTGTGTTTTTGAGATAAAGGATTATTTTAAACGCGCTGGGTCGTAATAAGATAATAAAAATGAAATCTTATTGATATTTATATATAAACATAATTTTTATAATAAAAAAATATATTGTTCTTTTGACATATTTTTATTACTATTATTAGTATTATTATTATTATCAGAAAAAATATAAACTAAAGACATAAACACTGGAGAACCTTTAAAAAGACTCCTTAAATTAATACAATATAAATATTTATACTTATTGTTACTTTTACACTAACCATTATACCTTTTTAGAAAACGTATAGAGTTCAATCGAATATTAAAAAATATACCTCACATTTTATATACCTTTGGCTTGTACCTCAAAATCTAAGTACGCCACAGAATTCTGAATGCTCAAAGAAAAATTCGTAAATTACGCACAAAATATTTGGCGATCATGTAAAATACGAATTTGATTCACATCCAAATAACTTTTTAAAAAAATATTAGTCTTTTTTGTATATTTTTTGTCATTTTAAAAATACCAAAATGAAGTTAAATCAAAAAAACTTATTTATATATACGAATTGATTTCTTTTAAACGGATCGAATGAGAAAACTTTAAATCAGAAAGAATTCAGTATTGTGTTTAGTGCCTTCATTTAGATTTTGAAATTGAAAGAATGATAATTATTGTGTTTGATTTGTCATCATTAATCTGTTCATGATTTATTATTATATATTATTGAATAATAATAATGTATGTTATCACTTATTTATTTATTCATTATTTGAAGGCTGCTTTAGCTATATTGCCATTAAGCATTATAATAATTAAAATAAATATTTTCAATCCAATCTTGTGCAATAATTGAAAGTATTAGACTATTGTTATTATTATTATTATATTACTATATTGTCTTCTGTAAACCATTGTATGCTATGGCTATCCTCCGGACGGTTGTTTATATTAATTGATTTTTTGGTTTTCGTCGTCGAACCCGAGAGACTCGCCGAAAGTCTCGTATAACTGAGTTAGTTGTAATAATTATCTGGAAAGTCTGGTGTGCCAAGTCTGTTCCTGTCAACCAAAGAACCCCCACATAAAATTACTGAGAGGCGGGGAACCGTTGCAGCAAATTCTTTTAATTTTTTTTTTTCAATTCTCATGGAACTTTTTCAATATTTTAGATATTTTGTGGCCCCACAAAAAAGCCCCGATTATTAATATTATTACCTCCGATGTACAATTTGGGATGGCCGATCGTATGATCGAAACTGTTGAAGCCGTTGGAGGATTTCCGATGGGACTTGGCGTGGATGAAAAAACTCGAATCGAACGGCACCCGTACCGATTGCATCGCGAGGAACAGCCACACCGTGACGAACGGGCACGCCGCGTGCAACAACTCGACCAACCCGGAGTTGCGCACCAGGTTGGTCCACGCTTTTTCCGCCACGTCGCGCACCTCTTCGATCGGCTCGACGAGGACGCGCTGGAACACGTGACGCATGGCGTCTTGCAACAGCTGCGCCGACCAAACGGTCGCCGATCCGTCCGCCTTTTTCTCCGTCAACGTGCACAAAGTCTGCAAGGTGGCGCGTCTCACAGTTGAAGTGCCGTGCGATAAAAACGGCCACAATCGAGGCACCACGTCGTTCAACGGTTGCGACGGTAGTAGGGCCTGCGTTTCGGGCAGGTTCAATATGGCGGCGAGCAGACCCATGAAACTGTTGCAAGCGGCGGCGAGTTCGTCTTGCTCGGAGAGCAGGTCCCACAGCTTCGTGACCACCTGCGGAACGGAGGTCGAGACCAATTGGGTTAGTTTCGATGCGACCGGTATGAGAGACGAAGCAGCGACGGCGCTCACATCGTCTACACCGTCCGATAACCCTTGAAGGATATAAGGAAACGCCGTCGGCAGTAGCTCGTCAATCATGTCTTCCCTGACGGCGAGGAGGTACTTCAAACCCAATAGGCCTCCGTGTCTGGCTTCCCAGTCTTGGTGGTCCAATAGCTGCAGCAGTACTCCCATCACGCTGCGACACGATTCGGGACGCATGAGTTTAATTATGGTACAGAGGACTTGGGCGCAAGTTTCTCTAACAGGAGCGACCACCGCGTCGGAAACAAAGTCCCCGAATCTGTCCAGCGCCAATACGCACAACAGTCTTATGGACACGTCTTCTAACCATATCTGATGATACGTCTCGTTCTGTTCGGGCGATAGATAGGTGGCGCGACCGGCGCCTTTGCCGTGTACGGACATCACCTCTCTAAGGGCGGTCGCCGCGCCGTGCCGAGTTTCCCAACTGGAGCTGAACAAGTCTTGGCTCAGTTGGTCGCAAAACCATTCCAGCGGCCATTCGCCTTGGTCCCCTGCTTCCAAATCTGATAAGAAAAATGCAACGATCTGAACATCGAGAGATCATAGGAGAGTGACAATTTAACAGAGTTCATGATCATTTATTATAAGCGTAAATGTTAAAATGTTAATGTTAAAATTGGAGGAAATGAAACAACTTGTCCCATTTTGGTCGTGACTGACGGGTACGTCTGTTGTTAGTGAAGATAGAGCCCTGCGTTTTCGCAAACCTTAGGTACTTTTTTGTGAAACGAAAGATGACGTTAACAAAATTGTCATGACTTGTCTAGTTTTTAAAATACTGAGTGATTTTGGAAATATGAAGCATCTCAGGTTTGCCATGAACTGTCCGAAAGATAGAAGGCGCAGTCGATATAGACTTTTCTACTATTAAAATAGGTTGGCTTCATGCAAATTATAAAAGTTTACTTTGCAAATACTGTACTGTCAGGAATAAATAAGGTAATAATCTTAAATATTTAATAAATTCTATTTTTAAAGCCTACCGCAACTACCTTCTTGAAAATTAAAAAAAATAATTTTTGTGATTTGAAATATTAGTATGCCATATATTACATTTGGTCTTGGTATATTACATTTGGTCATGATATCACAATTAGAGGGATACATGCCATGCAATGCAACTCTTTGTTTCATTTCCAATTTTTATACTTACAAACTGTTATTTGCATATAATGGATAAATAATTACGAATATCATTAAATTAATAACGACTTTTGCACCTCTTATTTTGGCGTTGTTTTGAAAATAGCAAATATTGTGGGTTATAAATTTTATTGTATTTAAACTATTTATTACCTTTTAAATATTATTATTTATTTGCCATAGCAACGCTTACATATTTGAATCAGTGGTTTTCAAGGTGAATTCTGGTAAGATACCCATTTATTATTATTACCCCATTTGATTTTTCAAAAATGCGAAATATTAGGAAGCAAATAAAGTTTGGATGGCGACCTAGTGCTGCTGCGAGAGGACTTAATTTCTGTTTTAAATCCTAATATGTGGAATACATCTCCAACCTCATTGGAGGAGGTTGAATATCTAAAATATCGCTTAAAAGAATATTTTAATAACGTTGTGATTGTGATTCACTACAAGTGCTCTTCTGCATACACACAACTTTTTTCTTTTACTGGGTGGGGCAGAAAGAACTTTCCAATTTAGGAAGGTAATAAAAACATACAAAATGCCGTTTTAAATCAGTGGGTTTTAAAAATTGACATAAAAAATTACACAATTGTTGATGTACTGAATAAACCACTCCTGATTATCACTCTCCTGATCGTTTCGACAGTAATTCCCTGAATTATCGACTTTTCAAAAGCTTCCAAAGTATTGGGACGACGTTGAAACACCCTTTAATTCAGGTAGTCCGAGAGAAAAAAAATCACATGGGGTTAAATGCCCAGAAAACATTTTTTTCAGAATCGTCATTGAACGGCAAGCTGCGAGGGTTGTTACTAAATCCTGATGGAACCTCACGTGCCTTCATGTTCTGTAGTACTTCTCTAGCATCTCATAATACCGATACGCCTAGCACCAGTAGCACCGTTTTCCTCGAAAACATACGGATCCCACACTAAATTCAGACAAGGCACACCAAACTTTAACCTTAGTCTAAGTTATAGATTATACTGAATTACATGAAAACTCGCTCCGCTATAGGCATAGCTAGATGCTTTTAAAACGGGGAACCATATGAATGTGAATAACGAAAAAAAAAAACAGACTTAATCTAACTGTTTAACGTAACGTCAACAAAAAAAAACAACGATGAAAAGATACAACTTTGAACTCAAAAAATAAAGGCAGAAAAATTAGGTTATAATCAACAAAGTCACATAAGAGTGAAATTTCATAAGAGGTGCGAAAAGTCACTAAACCCGAAACATCCTTAACGACTTATATGACAAATCAGTGTGATTGGAGCCAAAATGTTGACAGTTACCAACGAATATGACACTCTAATTCTCTACGATAACTTATATAGCGCATTGGAAGGAGAGACGAAAGCGTCGATAGTAGTACGCGAAGAAGAAATTGTTTGTACTATAAGCAGAAGTTGGAATAGCCGTAAAGAGGCCACTTGACATCCGCTAGTAACCAAAATCCTAGTCTTCAGAAAATGGCAAATAGCCATTATTAAGTGAAAACTGATACTCAATTACCGCAAGTGATACTGCTGTATCAAGTGCTAAATAGTTAAAAAAAAGCGGCGCTCACCATACTGAATGATTGCGGTTTTTTCCTCAGTCTTAATTTTCTTAGTATCAGGCTCGTCCCCATTCGAGTGTTGCCTATAGGTCGCCTGTCTGGCTTTCCTCTTCGCCCTGTTTATCTCCCTAGAACTTAAACCTTCGTTGCCGCACGAAATGACATCTTTGACGGGTTTCTGCAAACGCGACGTCCATTAGCATTTGAAAAAACCCACGCCGCATGCACCTCACCTTATTGATTACGTCAGCGGTGACGTCGTTGGAGTCGGCTTTGCCGGTGAGCAGATCTTCGTTCGAAAATAACGTCGACGTGTCTAAACCGATTTTCGCGGCCACGTCCAAACCCAACTTGCTGTTGAGCAATTGCCTCTGCTTAATCATACGCTCCTTAATGTCCACCCCCAACGCGGAATCTTCTTCGACATCGAACTCCTTGCCTTCGGACGCCATCAGGTGGGAGCTGTTGGCCAACACCTTGGCCATGTCGAATTGTTCGAATCGTAACCTCCCGATAGAAGACAGGGGCGTCGATTCTCCGCCATCACTGGCGGGGTTACCGTCGACTCCCTTCGGCGACCACCGGGGCACATTGCTGACGATAGCGCGAACCGCTTCGCTGGCGGCTATTCGGGTGTCCCAACTGTTTGAGCGCAGGTAAGTGGCAGTGCGGGCTAGCAAATTGTTCAATTCGTGAGGGTGCAGTTTTTGCACTTCCCCCAATTGCTTGGCAGCGGCTGATCGTGTGACGGGGGAACTTCCTGTCTCTAACAGTACGAATAACCTATCCAATCTGAAATAATATGATAATATATTAGAAAAAATAAATAAATTAGCTGCCAGAGCTACACTATTAAAGCCCTCAGAGCTACGGAACAAAATCTGAACTTTTACTTCTTATTTATTTTTTACATAGTTTTTAATTTGATGGGGCAAATTTTTGAGGAATAAGTCAGAATTTCTGAAATAAGGCACAGTGCCAATCGAAACACGGTGAATGTCCTATTAGACGTTTATAGGGAATGACTTACGGTGAAAACCTGAAACGTTGGTTACTTATGTAAGCGAATACAAGCTTCCTATGTAAAATATTGTTGGCCTTGCGGTGTTGCCAGATATATTCGTAACGTATATCAATTTTCGTTTTTTCAATGCAACACAATGTATATTATTACATGTTTAGATTCTGCGAAACATTCTGGAACTTTTTTACGTAACATTTACCATACCCATCTTGGACATTTTCGGAGATAAAAAATACTTTTTAAGAAATTTGACAACAAACAACCCGATATAAAATAATTTTTTCACACTTGAATTTTTGGTTGCCGTTCCCCATTAAATTGCGTTATCATAATGTAGTTTGAGAATTAACTTATCGCGTATAGGGCGTTCATAAGATCAGGCCCAATTGGCAAAAGATATAAAAATCCACATTACGTGGGAATTTTAACCCCACTTTCATATGGGCACGTAAATGAGCAATTAATTTGCCATCTAAAAGTACCAAACTATGGTATACCTACTTTCACTGGTTTTCGAGTTATAAGCAAAAAACCAAAATATTGCAATTAAAGCGAATTAAAGTAATCACGTTTTATCTGGGTAGCAGGCTCTGGCTAGACATGACGTTTTTAGTAAACAAATTTGTGTTTGACATAAATAAGCTTAATAGTCCGTTATTAGCATGTTCAAATGAGTCATTGTAACAGTAAAACTGGAAGGAAATACATATGCCAACAAAAATTTATTCATAGAAACTGTTATACACAAAACTAATGTTAAAGACTAATAAAAGGTTTTTCAGTACAAACAACTAGATATTGTGCTTCAAATGACCACCATTTTTTCTAAAACATCGATGGATTGACTTTGCACTGTTGCCCTTTGAATTTGCCTGCGATGTAGCGCTAATGGCAAATTGTGTAATTGTGTAAAATATCCAGATATCCTCGTTCAAATTCTCGTAGTAGATACAAAAATCTATACATTTCATTGTTGTTCATTAAAGTTTGTCAAATAAATGTAACTCTCAACTATGAAAATGCGATAAAATGAGAAATCCGAATGCATGTCACAATGGCCGGCCAGAGACTGCTTCCCAAATGAAATGTGATTACTTTAATTTGCCTTAAATACAATATTTTGCCAATATTAAAATGGCGTGTTCAATTAAAAAATTCCCACGTAACATGGATTTTTATATCTTGCCAAAAGTTAAGTGTTTAGCTGCACAGGTTGCGCAAAAAAAATTATCATTTTATATCGGGTTGTTTATTGCCAAATTTCTTAAAAAGTATTTTTTACCTCCGAAAATATTTAAGATCGGTATATCATATGTTACATAAAAACGTCCGAAAGTTGATATACGTTAGGAGTATATCTGGCAACACCGCATTGAAAACAAATATTTTACATCGGTAGCTTACATAAGTAACCAAAATTTCAGATTTTTGCCGTAAGTCATTCTCCGTAAAAGTCTAATAGAACACTCACCGTGAATAACCCTGTATATGTGGTAATTCATAAAAAACGGGATATTGCTACAATATGCCTCAACATACCTCATACAAATGAAGTTTTTTTTAGCATAATAATAATTTTAATAACAGTTTTAGGTTTTTTGACAAAACAAATACGAATTTGAAACTTATTCGGATCTGCCCCTAGAGGGTGCTGGTTTCACCGTATTATTTAGACATATGGAACACATGACGAAAATCTGAATGAGTGTTTAATCTTTCATAGAAAAGGTCTTAGGCGCTCTAACGTTTTCGTTTTTTGACTTAATTACACTTCAAAAGTTCAAGGTATTTTTTGAGATTTTTTTTATCCACACTTAAACGATTAAAAGATAATAATATTTTGGTGTCTAGTCCCGTTAGTACAGAAATTACCCAATCTTTATAAATCACCCTGTAGATCTGATGTTTCGATGTCTCTTACGAGAAACTTATGTCAGAAATTCTGACCAGCTTTTCAGAAATTCCGGCCGAAATGTTGACTAATTGCTTAAAAATTTACCTTATTAAACTATAACCTATTTTATTTTTGTTGTAGTTAATAGTATAGTTACAAAGTTTTTCTGGAAATGATTTTATTATTTTATGGTCTTTATGGAGACTTAAAAAGGCAGTAAATAAATATCAAATGTCAAACCCAATATTATCAGTGCAATCAAAACAGTTATAACGACGATCCCTGGAAATCCTGATAATATAATAGATAACTCATCTGTCGTATAAACCCTGTTTGAAATATAGAAATTTATACAAATCAACCTGAATGTATCGCATATAAAACATACCTATAAACTACTATCAATTGTTCCGCAGGAACGGTTTTTTAAAACAATCGCTGCTTTATTATATCGCGTAAGCGTTATCAACGAGGCTCATATACTGGGCATGTGCCGTCATCGCACATTTTTAATATATCATTCATGCACTTACAAAATAATCTATGGACATTCATAAATACTAAATACTAAATGCTTTAAAAGCAAAGAATTAATGTACGTACTTTTTCATTTGACTTGGCGGAAAATAATGTCAATTCACTCTGACATTTTATTCTTATTATCCGTGCGACTTCTAAAACTTCACTACTTTGACTAACTTAATGTATCCAAATGAAAACATTAACAAATGCGTATGAAATATGTGTCATAAAAGTTTCTGAATAAATCTTTATATCCAGGTAAGTTTGTGTACATTGATTGGAAAATTCGACATACATTTCTAGAGCAAGGCTAATAACAGTTTAACGATGCGATTAACCCATATTATCCCAAGCATAAAGAAAAATAAAAAATACTTTCTTCGTCTGAAATTATTTATTTTGTTGCACTTAACATACACGAAACATACAAAAAAATACTAGTAAGTAAACGAACCACTGGGAAAAAACATGAAATAATCTTTTGGGACACGTAAGATGTAACATATAAAAAAAACGCATAATTTTTTATGGTGCGCGAGCCGGTTTTATTTTTGGTGATATTTTACAAAGCATGAAGTATGTAAATACATATTACACTTATTACAAAAGTAAATTGTGTGGCTGTGGCAGATTTTACATGTCCTTCGGGCTTTATTAGCATGAACAATCATGACGTGACCTTGATTATCACAACGCACTTCATCTGTGGCAGGTGCAAGATTTCTTTGAGTAATTGTTTTATCAGTTTTTAAAAGTCGCAAAGCAATTGAAGATTTAAAATCAAATCAATCACTTCGTCATCAAAAAACATAAAAAATATTTCAAACGGAGTATTTCCAGGAAGCCTCACATGATCTAAATTCATCGGATATAGGTGTGTGAGTGTACTCAATCTGACCTATCTTCCATTTGACAGTAGAAGCAAGCCTGTCGTTTGCAGAAAGCATACGTCTTCTTTTGAATTCCAAGGTTTTATCATATGATGAGTCCCATTCAGGTTCAGTAGTTGATGAATTACAGGACTGTTGAAGGACAGCTGTATCATTCGTTCGTATTAGTTGGTTCCCCGAACTCTTGTAGATTTATGTTATCATTCATATCTTCTTCGTCAGTCATATAGACCGCGTCAATATATTCTGTAAATATTTTTTCACGTTATTTTTAGCATAAATTTACAAGGAATGAAATGCTACAATACATAAGAACACGTAAATCCAAATAATACTTACGACTTTCATTGTTATTGTCCTCATCCATCACCATCTCCTCCATAGCCTCCTCCTTTTAAGTCAAATACCTCGGAAATACCATATTTTACGAACTGAAACGTTCACTGCACAAGACACAAACTAATACTAAGAAGAATTCTACTTGCGCTGACTTGTCTAGACTTGCAATAACAAAGCTTTGTTTCATTTGTGCATTCACGCACCAGTAAATATTTTCAAAAAATAAAGCATAATCAATATAGTATTTCCAATATAATGTATGTAATCTACATGCTATAAACTTAACAAAAATGGCAATACAAATCCAAAATATATTTTTTTTTACTATTTTGGATTTACTTGAAAATGTGATACAAATTTATATACCGCTTTTGTTAACTTTTAAAGTCATATATAAGATCTTTCATTTAATCATAAATTAGCGATTTCTACGGTCTTATGTCCTTTAGGAGTGATAATAATAAAATTTCTAAATGGATGTGCAGAAATATTTCCTGTATGTGACAAAAAAATCATAGAATAGGTGCTGCATTAACGCACCCCTGGGACAAAATGGGTTAAATCATAATCTATTATAAGCTGACAGTTTCGCTTAACCCCTGAGATATAAAACTGATAATATTAAAAACACCGGTGAGTAATTTACAGTTTTTACTTTAGCACAGTACGTTCACATTATCTTTTTCTATAAACTTAAAACGTGTATTTCCCTTTTCGAGCACAAATGCAGCCAGGCCACCCGTACACCAAAATATCCGGCGGGATAATTCATAATGCAAAGGATATCGTGTGGGCGTATTAAAAAGGAAACGCTCTGCTGCATTATGCGATAAATACATCCACGTCCGAGATATCTCTGGATGAGAGGAATATTTTTGTTAGCAATAAACACGTCTAAAAAATAATACTAACAGCAACAACGGTAATAATAGAAGGCGATAGCATAAATTATTTCTAGCTGGTCGATTTTCGCTTAATCAAAGGAATTATAATTACGCCTTAGTTAGATATTTACGAAAGTTCTAAGATTAGGTAATTTTAAAATGGAAATAAAAGGTAATATGAAAGTTTATTACATTCAAACGAAAGCAAAAATACTTTGTACAATTGTATATTATAGATATATAATTTCAATTAATATAAAATAATAAAAATGTTAAAGACAGTAAAAAATATCGCAATTTTGTTTAATCGGCAACTGTTCAAAATAATTAGAATCTTTCATATCAATAATTCACAAATCGACATCGTTTATTTTTCACTGAAGAGAGTATTATTTGTTCTCGAAAGACAGGAAAAAAATTATTTCCAGTTTTTCCACGAAGGCTATAAGCAAGCGAAGCAAGAAATTCGAAAAATCTCTATCATTTTCTTTTTTGTGTTTATCCTTTTGCAAACTAAAAATTTTTATATTTAATTCAATGAAGTGTTTACTAATCTTTGACCTATTCCAACCAAAAATTAACAACAAATGTTTTTAATAATCGGTCACAGGATCTACCAGTTCGCTACGCAAATCTTCACTGATTTAATTACATCACATCCACCGATTTATAAGCCTATGGGCAATTAAGAGATAAGCATTAAAATCTACTAATTATGCCGTTAATTCAGGCCGCACACGTTATGTCCTTTCTAAATATGTTTAAGAGCGCATTCAGAACAATCATAAATTATTTTCATTTTAAAAATGACGCCGCCTCCGCTGTACTTACCTACTGGAAGTCATTATGCTTTGGCGAAATGTATCTCAATTTCCTGAAATTAGAGGAAAATAAACGAAATTATGGGCAGATTGGAACAGATAATTTATTTCCACGCACACGGTTTTATTTATGGCCATATGGCTGCTAAGTGAATTGCTGGCCTAATTTTAATGTGTAAATAAATAGGAAATGAATCTGGAGAATGTCGGAATTACTGTCTTGATTTTATATCTCTAAATTCAGATCAAATAACAGCGAATAAAATACGATTGTGCCTAATGTCAATATTGCTAAAATGTACCAAAATGTTGTTAAAAGGCAACAACTGTGTCATGCAGATTTAAATGTTAAACAAACGTCATGGAGAATGAATTTTACTGAAACATTGCAAATCCGTCCCGAATAAGCAATTGTGAGGGACTTACCGCATTCAATCTAGCGTTATTTGATTGCCATTAGCATTCTAAATCGCTTCATCCTAGTAAGTGGCCGTTTTAATAAAACAATCGGCGAAAATGTGCTTTTATATGGTGATTTTACTGAAGGAAAGTTCATCTTGCAATGGACAAATTTATACTGACAGCCATGATGTCGTTGAGCCCGACTTTATTCGAGCAACTCCTTCCCATTGGCGGAGATAACGAAGGAAGGTGCAAAGCGCAGCTTAGTCAAAGGACATACTACTTTCTTCAAGCAGATACAACCCGATTTTAAAAGATATCAAATTGGTTACTATGCTCCTTGTTTATGGCTGTTGGTATAGTGTTGCGTGCGTTTAATTATTTTCCAGATAATTTTAAGAATAGTCGATTTTTAAACATAAAAACATAAACTTATGAAAGTAGACAGTCGCTTGACGTAACATTTGACGTTTCCTAAATAGTAAACAAACCGCATGTTCTTCTTTACACATGGCGCGGAATGTTTTTGAAAAAAGACCGAAAAAAACGAAAAATCGTGCAAGCAAAGTTCATTTAGTATTCGATGAAGCTAAACGAAGGTAAAACAGCTTAAATATATAAAATATCTATAAAGTGCCCATATTTAACCTATACGTTGTTACCATTGCCATAGGGAGTTTTTGACTGGTTTTCGCAAAAGGAAATTGCAGCGAAAAAAGCAGGCGCAGGAAAAACTTGAGAGAGAATTAAAAGAAGAGCGGAAAAGACTAAAGGTTGAAGCCAGGGAATCTTACAAAAACCTAGTAGTGTCCCACAGGCCCATACCCGAGTTAGAAAACTTGTTAAATGAGGAATATGAAGAAGGAGACGTGACTGTGAAAGTAGTGGAACTATCACCAGATGAAATAGCCAAACAAAATCACTGGATAGGATCTAATAAATTAAAGTATGAGGACGAGGATGCATCTAATGACAATGAAGACCAGGAAAGTGTTAAAACGGAAATTCCTGGAATGGAACTAAAGCCCCTAGCAAAAAAGCAAACTGTGAAAAAACAATTTGTATCTGAAAAGCAGTTGAAAAAGGAGTTAAAAAAACAAGCAACAAAGAATGTTAAGAAGAGCAAAGTATTTCAGAAGAAAAATAATATAGAGAGGTTGAAACAGAAAAAAATGTCAAATAAGTTAAAACAACAAAATACTAAAGACAAGAAAGGTAAAAAACGGGGAAGAAATAAAAGAAATGTTAATTAAATATTAAAAAATTAAATCTGTTTATTTGGCTTGAACATTATTTTTAACACCGTCATGTTCTTTCCCTATATATTTTGAACCAAAGGGACAAATATGATTATTCAAACAAGTGGCACATTGTGGTTTCACTGGTTGGCAAATTTGCTGACCAAAGCCAACAAGCAAATGATTAACTTCACTCCATAATTCACATGGTAACCAGGCTTCTAGCGATTTTCTAGTTTGCTCTGGGGTTTTTGTATTTACCCATCCTAGACGGTTAGAAATCCTGTGGACATGTGTATCAACCCCAATTCCAGTTACTTTCCCCCATGCCGTTTTCATACAGATGTGCGCCATTTTGGGACCTACACCGGGCAGTTTGCACAAAGCTTCTACACTTTGGGGAATATCACAATCATATTGAGTTTTTAGAATTTCTGATGTTTTCTTAATATATTTTACTTTACTCTGAAAAAAACAAAAGTTATTAATAATAATTTTTGGACTATTCGCAAAGCATCTCACTTTCCAGAACCCAACTGGATAAATCAGTTCTCCCAAAATTTTATCTGGGGTGACCAAAATGTTGTCAACAGTGCAGCCATGTTCTCTTAACCTTAACATGGCAGCATGTACAACCTGGTCCCTAGTTTGGCTACTTAACATTAAAGCAAGAAGATTCTGGTACCTCATAACTTTGGGATTTGCTTTTTTGTCATGGCATTGGTGACATCCCATAGTATCGACCGGGGCATCGAATTTTTTACGCATTTCTCTTAAATTTTGTAAAACCTCATTCCAATTAGCTGGCTCCGTTTTCGAATTTTTTACATTTTTAGTATCTCCATAACTCTGGGGCAGAGAATTTTCATATTCAATTTTAATATGATCCCTTTTAACTGACGATAGGTTTTGAGGTGGAGATTTTGAAACCTTATCTTGGATTTCTTTGCTTGTATCGTCGCTCACTGATTTAAGAACTTTTTTGCGAACAAATTGGTATTTAGAAAAATCAGTTTCACTTACTTCCGGTTCTTCAATTTTACTGTTACTTCTTGTTGCTTTAACTGAATTTTTCACGCTTTTCATTGTGGCACGTGATAATTTCAAAACGATATTAACATTTCTAGTACAAAAGGATATACATTTCAAAATCAAAACCATTAATAAGTTAGGTTAGTTTGTACAAGTGAGCAAAGATAAAAAAAATGTCTTTCAACTTCGAATGAGTATCAAATACGAAGTTCACAAGCGTTATTTATTTGTGTTCAATATTAATATTAGACAATTAATCCTTAAAACTACCCAACTTTCACTTTACAAATAAAATTAATATTGTAATTGTATTAATATAGTTCTCTTTACTTCAATCAATATAAAAGATACCCCTTGGTCATCTCGGCTTCCTATATTTAGCTTGTATCCAAATCCTGTACATTTTTAAAAGTTTGCCTCTATTGACTTGTAACCTTTTGTCTGCTCTATTTTCCTCTTCTTCAAACCCTGTTTCTTCCATTAACTTTTTTATTTCCTCTAAAACATATTCAGATTTAAAACTAATTTTTACACACACAATCACATACCTTGAGTAAAAAAGTATACTCGAGTACCATCCCCTCTTGCATAAAAGTTTTTTCCCAATGATCTTCCTGGTTTAAATCTCAACTGGGCCATATCATATCTCCCATAATCTCTAAATAGTAACAACCCTCCCGGCTTTAGATAAATATATATATTTTTCACAACTTTTTGAAATCTAAAATGTAAATATAAAGGGGTTGAATAACTAAAATTGATTTTCTTTTACTTATCAGGGGATATTGCTGATAGAACAAATATCATAACAATAATATCTTGACTGTTTTTTTCGAAAGGTACACGCCATTCATCATTTGTAATATCCAAGGTAAAAACACAACACCTGTCTTTGTCAAAAACAGCAGAATTAGTTACAATATTGATAGCTTTTGAAGAAAAATCACAACCATATACTTTCAAATTTTTGTTGGTACTATACTGCAAAATTGGAAAAATGGTGTTGCCTACACCACAGCCTACTTCAAAAATGGATAATCCTTCATCCCTCTCATTGGTTAATTCTGGAAATTCAGTAAACAACCAATGTCTGTCCTTAAAGAACTTATTTTCATGGATATCATAAAATGAATCCCAAGAGGAGTTGGCCTCTATTTCATATCTATTTATATCTTCTTCTGAAAATTTAACTCCGCTATTTGCTGTTACTTTAGCAACAGCTTCTTTTTCCTGATTTTCATCCCATTCTACATTATCCCTACAAGGAATACACATTTGAAATTATTTATATTCCACTCCTCTGTGAGCTAGCACAATTTCAAGAAATCTATGGATGGCGAAAATTTCTTAAATTATTTAGCTCCCCTGGCAATATCATACCATGCATTGTGTTGGAAAACATCTTTTCCTTCAGTTAAAAATCTACTGCCAAACTGAGGCCGCTTGTTTTCCATATTTTTGAAATACTGCCTGCGTTCGGTACTTTGCAATGTTGGGTAAACGTTAGATATTATTTGTCTGCACGTTTCCGCTTGTTTTGAGCTAAATGCAAACGGTTTGATCAACTGTCGCCATTTTTTCAATCGTGAAATAAGATCGCGTAATTTCTTCAGCATGTTATTGACAGACTATTATAACCTGAAAAGATGTATTTGACCTAGTGCAAGTACACAAAAGTTCTGTTTTCTGGCAGTGTTCATGGAATATGTGGTATTACAGATTATTACGTTGAAAAGCAGAATACTAATGATACTTTAGAAATTATTGATGAAATAGTAAAATAATTCATAAATATAACCACAAATATATGGGGTTAAGTGTATCATCCAAGTTTTAAATATCGCGGTATCAACTATTAACAGTTCAGCCCAATCGTCGAAATGCCTTTCTGTATGTAAACATAACATTTTTTAATGAGTCGAATATTCCTGCACGCAGCCATGGTGAATTAAAATTTAGGTTAATTTGTCCATTTTCTTCTTTTTTTATTCCAACGAATGTCTGCACTAATTCTTTTTCGCCGAACTTTAGTTTGTTTAACTGCGAAAAAAATTACCGGGCATACAAATGGTGAAAAAATGGATATATGTTCTCGGAAATATTTTTGCACTTTATTTTATTTAAGGTTGTACACCTACAGAACCGAGTGTGTAACATTACGACTAGGGAGAAGACATAACAAGATGTCATATTGTTTTCAAAAAAGATTGGTATTTATCTAACTAATAAGAACTTTATGTTTGAAAATATATGCGTCTATGTAACACAATCTTTCATTTAAATAAATGGTGTATATTTGGTTGCCGATACACTTGAGCAGTAATGCTCGTTCATTTTACTTTAATTTTTTCCGGCAGATTGCGCTTATTAAACAAACACAGTCTGGTCTTACCATATCGATAATATCGCAGTCTTGATTTCGTTTTTTCGAGTTTTTGATTGACTATGTAACAAAAAATGCATATTTTTGACATAATACACCAATGTGTTCGATTTTGGAATCTACTGTTCTGACGAAAAATGTCCAATTAAGATTATTTCACATTTTCAGACAGGACGAATATTTAATCGGCTTGGTAGGACAACGTCGGCTGTGGACGTCATTCCCGATTTGACGTTATGCGCAGAGTGCATTTACCAAATACCGATGGTGTATGTGGTTCGGTGCGTTAAATTTCACTGAAAACATTTTTCCGTTTCGAATATTTTCTTACAAGAAGTAATTTTTATACAAATTTACATCGGCAAGATCGAGTAACAGTAATCTTGATAGACTGTCTTTTCGGGATTCGTGTCGAAATTGTTTGTTTTGGGCGTATTGACATCTGTCAAATCCAGGAGGGCGTATACATTCCTAAGGATTTTTTGCCGATTTAGTTTCACATATTCGTAACTACATATTTACCGGGACTCACTTATACAATACACGGATGCCGGACAGTGCCTTTTTAGGTTGATTTTTCGCGGAACGGGACAATATCCAAGAAAACTGTTTCCTATTTTGTCCCAGGTGAGTACTTCATTTTTCTGACCATTGATTTTTGCTAAAAGTAAAGGGAAAACAGTTTTTTTTATATAACTCTAAACTTTGCGGTAAAATTTTAAAACGGCGGGCGGCATAAGGGGTCAGATTTCTGGGTAATCCCGCTGTCAGTTTTATAAATTCAATTAATTACTGTGTATTGAATATGCCAACCATCACCTATGGATTTTATGTAATTCATGCCAAACGATCCCAAGATTTTGTTTCGTGTCGGATACGATGTTCTCACAACGCCATCATCCGTTCTTACGTAAATTATGGTTTTATGGTGGTATTACTGGGTGAAACGTTGTTCGTAATTCTGTAGGGTATAGGATGTGTGACATGTGAACAATTTTTTTTTATCGGTCTTTGGAATCTCACAGCCCTCATGTCAGTAATATTTTTTTGTCCTTTATTTCGGAAAATTTTGCAGTTTGACATACATTTTTTGGATATATTTTATTTAACGTTATTTGCAATTTGCAAAAGTTGTATGGGAAATTATTTTTTAGTGATGTAGTTACCACAATTCATGAGTTCTCCACGTATTACAGGGCATTCTACCCAAATTTGTGGTGGGGGCGACTTCCTGCACTTCGATTTATCTTGTTGCAGCTTTGCAACAATATCGATTTTCCGCAGTTTCGGTGGCTTTGCTCCGCGCGGCGTTGCCACGAATACCCGCTTCGAGCGGAAAATCGCGGAAAGCGGCGATTTCTTGGCTGCCGACGTTTTATACGCGAAATTATTTCTAATTTCTAATAATCCTTGATTTAAAACTGTGTTGACGTTTCTCAAACGCACATTTATCTTTAAGCAATTTTCCAAATATGGCCCTACGACATTTGTTTTGATTACATTATTATGGATTTTTTGCTTTTATGCAAAGTGTTTAGTTTTTTACGAAAGGATAATCGGAATCTAAGTGGAGGTTTGTCGTCTCGCTCGATGACAGAACGCCTTTTTTTTCTAGGAACAAAAAATGTATCAATAAAAATTAATCTTTTAAATGATTCTATATTAAATGTTCCTCCCAACGCAATTGTACAATGATTGATTTTTATTTTCTCGAGTTTGTGTTACACAATCTACCCCCATGGCTGTATGCATTGACCTTTCTGGTAGCACAAGTCGCGTATTAATATGAATGGGTCTTTTATTTTGTAACATTTACCGGCGATTGTTTGAAAAATGTTGGTTGTATTTATACGAATGAGAACGAACTCCGCTCAGACTTTTCTGCGACTGTGGTAAAATGACATTGACGTTATTTATTTTTATTTTCGTTGCTGGAGACAGTCTTGAGGTAGATATATGCTGGTTCTCGTCTTCGGAATCTGCGATTATGTTAGGAATATTTAATAACCATACCACCCATAAGTGTTCAATCAGAAAGGGATTTTATTTAAGTGAGCGTTCTTGTTGTTTTGTTTATTTTTTGTAATTTTTTCGCTCCATTGCTAATGCGAATTTCCATAATCAAATAAAATTATATGAAAACCTTTTTGTGAAATTAAAATGCATCTTGAGTTTCGGAACCAAGTTGGGGACTTTCGGGGCTAGTACCGGGACTTGCAAACTTTAATAGACATATTTTGCTAAAATACTGCCCTAAAAATGTCGCATTCGAACTTATTATTGACGATCTCTCACCGGTCATGTTCGTTGTTGAATGTCGCAGGCTATTGTGACTGGACCTTTTCAAATTTTATTTAATAGTTGCGTTATAAGTTCCTGTATAATCGACATAGGCAGGTCCTCAATATCTCTAGTAACCGCATGAATTACTCACATTGGTAGCAAATTTCCATCAAAAAAGACTGGAGACTATTATGTAGGCACGAATGCTGATGTTTTTTTAGACTGTTTACGAATCTTCTGGATTCCTCTTATTCACAGCTTAACTGAAACTCAGTTTCAGTGTTTCAAGATGATTGGCAAAACGTCAGCAATTTTGATTTATATAAAAAAATTGAAGACTATTGCAATAAATGCGAGATCTTATACCTCCTGGGGTCTGAATTAAAGCTTATTTAACATTCTGATAAACTACCTGTACTGACGCGGTCGTCACATTAGTTTCATTCAGCAAACTCAAAGAACTCGAAGAACATGAAAGAGCCTTAAGACTAAGACAAATAAATTCTTCAGCAGTTGCTGAACACAATCATGAAACCGGACATAAAATTGTATGCTACTAAACTAAAATTCTTGGATATAATCAATTCTTCTACCAACGAAAAATCCGAGAGTCTATAAAAATCTATAAGCAACCTAACAATATGGGAATCAGTCATCCGAGACGGTGTTTATACCCCTCATTTGTCTCCGCCCCCCTCAAACAATATAAAAGCCGGTACAGAGTAAAATGCCAGCCAGTTTCAGTCAAACTTTGAAGAAGTCAACAGGATAATTGGCAAAACGTTAGCTGGTTTGAATGATCAAAAACCGACGCAGGAGGAATCCAGAAGTGTTATAAAAAGTATTATGTGGAAGTTTCTTTGAAAAAAGAATGCTATATTTTGTTTGCCGATTTTAAAAGCGATTTTCCACCAGGATATATATGTACCGCGAGGGAAACTGGAAATTGCCCTCCCCATCTTTAATTGTTCTGTATTGTATTGATCGATTGATTTTTTATTTATTTATTTTTTGTTCGGCCAAACGATCAAACCCCCAATAATAATTGATCGGCAACAGTCTGCGGAATCTGATTGTCAATGTTGACCGCCCCCCCACCCCCCGGTCACAGCAGGTATTCACTTCCTCGATGCTTGAACGATAAGGACCGTTAGACGAGGCCAGACGCCATTGTCAGACTGGTCTCGCGATCCGGAACGGGCCAAAGATTTTATCGAGAAATTTCGGCCGTCTGTATCCGATGGATGTCCGTGAAAACAGAAAATCTAACGTCTGGGGGGCCCGTATGAGGTCTTGGCGGCGCACCATCGTTACAGGGCCGGACCGAGGTGATCGAAATTCACAAAAGTTCGCGTTATGCGGACTAGGAAACCAGAGATATAAAAAAACAGATACATATCATTGGATTTTGTGTTCATTAAAAATAAACGTTTTGTGATTTACATTATACATTGTATACGGTTTTTCAATTTTTTTGCATTCCTAAAAAATTAGCTCGCTGTGCTTAATATCCAATTTCTCTTTTAAAAGTTGTTTATTAACCTCTAAATCTGATTAAAAAAAAAACAGGCCACAAAGAAAATGAGTTTGTTATAAATTTGAGAAAATATTTCTTGGTTGGACCAGACATTAAAATTAAACGAGGAGAAATAAAAAAAAACGCATTTTTTCGAAGATCCACGTAGTGTCTTTTTTTATTATTGATTTTTGTAATGGACAAAGGTTGCTAGTAGTCCCGTACTAGTCGGATTTGGTAAAAATAAGTCAATAACAAGAGTGCAATTTTTTATAGTGCTAGGACTAGGAATATTTTTTTTATGTCTTGCAGTTTGGTAAGGTTGGATGGGGGAATTAAATAGTATTAAATTAGATAAATTAAAAAAATAAAAATGACATGAAAAATGTTTGCCACGTTTTCGACAAATATGACCGAGTACGGCTCTGTCGCGGCGCACCATTCCCATCGGGCCGCGGATTATTCGGCCCGGCTACGCCGGTCGATGACCCCCCCGCGGCTACCCTGATCTTGTCTTCGGGAGAAAGTCTCTCTTGCATTATATTCCGGCTAGGTCGTGGCACCACACCATACGATTCGTTTATCTAGGTTATTTTTTTACCCGGTATGCGGATTCCTATTTGCTGCCGTCATAATGAAGAACGCAAGAACGTAACCTGAAGAGGTTCTCCAGCGTGGACCGGGATTTTCGCGACAAGAGGTTGATGAGAAAGGTCACCTAATTCCGAATTTGGTCACGGTGGATTTTAATTAGTAAAGAGGGTTTTATTTATGTTTTTATTTTCTGCTTCATAATTTAATAACAGTTTTAGGGAGGCTGTCATTAATTCTCTTGATTTCCCAGGTTTAATTTAATGTTAGTCAAGACTTTTCTTTATCGAAGCTAAATTTGATCTGTTTGTTTTTTATGCGTTATATTCGCGTAAGCCAAAAAAAGGACAATAACTGTCATTTTGCGAGTTTTAGATATTTAGTCACTAGTTTATTAACCATTTGCTCCGCTTGTGCCAAATCAAATTCGTTGTAACTTCCGAAACAAATAAATTCGACATCATGTAGCGATCTATAGACTTTATATAGCTATTTATTCTTCTCTTGTTTTTATTCTAGTCAAATTCAATGTGTTCCTACTCTGTAAAAACCACTTTCTCCAATTATAACGAAATAAATTTGAAGGTAAATGATGGTTACTGCATTTTTAGCTTTTTTTTTTGCTTTTTTGCAATAGGTTATCTAAAGAATCTCGAAACATTGACAGTCGTGGTCGTTGACGTCATAAAGCATTTTTCGATGTTTATTTCCGGGTTTTATTTTTAGGCTAAACTCCCCCCGACCCCCGCACACGCGACAATATATCTCCGTCGTTAACAGATATATTCCAACCCTCGCCCACGCGGACGTGTCTCATTTTAACCCCCTCTACCCCCCTACCCTTTTTGCGTTCGCCGACCAGCTCGACAACACCCCTCCCCCTCCACCCGCGCCGCCGTCGGACGGCCCACGCCCGCCGCGCCGTGACGTTGCCAAAACGGGAGTTCCAAATTGAAAACATACCGCCCCCATAGAGTACAGTCGGCATTATACCCATTTGTAATGACGTAATTTTTGTTTATCTTTGTTTAATATACAGAGTGTTAAGTGTTTCAGAAATCTGTCACTACCTATAACATTTTTCTTTATTTTTTTTAAATTTATTTAGACTGATATTGCAAAATAGAATAAATTGCCTTAAACAGAATCACAAATCCTCAAAAATTGTTACTCTCATTTTGAGTCGATAAGTGTTATCCAACTGGTACCGTGATGGCCCTTCAGGAATTTTCAAATG